CTTGTTCTTGAGTTTGTCGCTTTTTTTACTGCCACTACTGCTGCCCGGATCGGCGATCTCCAGCCCTTCCCCACCTGAGCGAGGTACTTGAAGATCTGGGGAATCTCGGACCCGGGGTGCCCCAGCTTTCGTCGTGAGGGGATTTGTTCATCCAGCTCTCGTGATATTATCGGCCGAAGGGTGGGCTGAAGTGTCACGTACCCATTCTAGGCCTAATAACCTTACCACCTAGGAAATCCTGTTCAGCCTTCATTTATTCAGATAAATCGAGATATTATTTCCGATTCTAGCCCCTTCCCTCGGTCTGGCCGCATGAACCGGCGACCTTTCTCGTCTGTCTCGGCTCGCTGCTGCGGAGAACACATGGCAGTAAGCGAGCGGCAAGGGAAACCCTGAGCTATATCTAACGGCCGTTTCTTTCTCTGCTCGTTTTGATAGGAGTTTGCTGATTAATTGGTTATTTTGGGTAGCTAATGCATCTCGCCATGGTGATACCTATCGTTGATGTCGAGTATTTGAAATGTTTATTGTTACTCTGACAGATATCACAGAAGCTTCTGGATCCTCGGCGTGGCGCCACCGACCGTTTTAGGGAGATACCCGCGCTGGCCCGAGATACTAGTTTACTCCGCTGTGCGCATACGGACGTATGACTCGGTTGGTGGAGATATGTCGCCATTGATGAGCATTGATCGCGAGTCAGGTAGAGGCTATTCATTATAATGGCGTGATATGGTGGACGTGCATATGCCCTTAGGAGGTTGTTCCTGGTAGCTCAGTGAGCGCTGTCTAGGGAGTAACTCACGACAATGCGCGCTCCCATTTACCTATCGTCACGGCAGTCCGGAGGTCGCCTCGTGACATTTCGCTAGGACGGCACTCGGTTGTTGCGGTACTCAATTCGAATTTCTAGTTTTTATCAACTGGATGGTTCCGTCTCGTCACCTACCTAGATAAGTAGACTAATCCCATCCCTTAAATGGGCTTAGGTCAAGTGCCTATTAGACTGTGGCCATGTGCTCAGATACCTACTTCACATATCAGATCTCATATTAATAGACCATTACGGATGTGCCAACCTAGGTACCTGTACATAGCTCCAACTAACTTACAAGAGCACAATTACTTCCAGCTATGCTATTATGCTATCTAGTACCTATTTTCGGGGTGTGAATAGGGGTTATTCCAGCGTGAAGCGATGTGTAGAGTGAACATGTTACGGTCAGATGAAAAGCTAACGACTCTTCGCCACGATTTGGATGATATGTTATGAACGATCTACCTTCTTATCTTTTCGGTTTGTATCGGGGGCCTTGGATACTTGAGCTATCTACTCTACGCCATGAATGACCAGATGATGAAATTATATCTGGGCGCAGAGTCTTGGGAGAGTATACGATGGTGTACATCCATGAGCCCTCGTCCTCACAAACAGGATACGGGAGGCTAATGCAGGGGCCGTTCACTTCTGCTTTGATTCTATAACGAGTGTGTATGTATGTATGGATAAAGTCGCTTAAATCACATGTATCTCTAAGGTGTCAAATATTTTTATATCGCCTCATTGTAGTTGGCCTTGAATTTGCAACTCCACTCCTAGGATACTTGGCGAATAATTCCACGGCGCCTCTTGTCTCGAACGTCTTTCAAAATGCTGAAATTGTCTTTGATGTCCGCATGTTTGGTCGCCTTAGCAGACAAGCTTTTCCTAGACTTGATGCACCCTGCATGAAACAAATAATTGATGTCCATTTCTTCGACGTATTCGTTACTTACGAAGTTTATAGCTCTTGCTACGTCGATAGAATCTGGTTAAGCCATAGTAGTTATCACATTCGCAGAACCACGGCCCAGTTCTACCTAGGTATACTACAATAAGAGGTTCTATCTCCTATCGCGCAGTACCATATGCCAACCAATTTTTAGACCGTCACCGCATACACGACCATCCGTATCTATCTACCGGCAACGGGCTGCAGCGCGGTCGGATGGCTATGCTGAATTCGTATTAACTAGACCGAGCGCCTTTGCTTGGTGATCCACCCCCGCGAAGCTCTCTCGAAAAGCTGAGAAGGGCACCTGGACGTCGTCGAGCTCGCCTATAGGAGGCGTGACGACGACGCCCATGCGCAAAGAGTTCGGAGCTAGTTACTATAAGGGTAAAGACGCCTATATATAGGGAATAATTGTTTCACATCATGCCAAACTCTCGTCCGTGCTTTCACGATGAAGAGAGGGTTTCTAGATATTGTCTTGGCTAGACTATAGTGAGCAAGCCAAGCATGCCGTGAACCGCATCATTCGGGCACCCAGGCGTCGCGACTAGGTGTAAATTTTGAAGCATCTTGTCTTCCGCGTGTATTGTCTTCAAGACACATGCCTATACTCCTTTATTCTGTATACATTCGGGTTAGCATCAATATTGGTATAGGGTATGTATGTACCTATACTACTAATATCACGAGAGCCGCTCAATGAAAGAATCGTAATTCAGAGACCTTGGTGTGCACGTAAGTATAAGTGTATTAGCCTAGCGATTAAAATCACTATATATTCGTTTATTGTAAATGTGGTTTATGTAAAATCGCTTCACTTTATGGTAGGACAGGAAATATACGGCCGATGGGCCTCGAGCACTTACTTACATATCCATACGTCTAAACGTTATATATCTTAGCCGCCTTAATCATCAAAATTCATCTGAATCTATCCCGCCAAGTCATTACTCCTACTTACCTAACCCAACTCACCTCAATTGTAAGGCGTGTAAGGCTGAGTTTTTTTCCCTTACTATGACGCTTTCCCAGCCAATGCCAAGTGCTTGTGCGCGATGAGATAAATTAAGCCAAGTCGTGGCGATGATGGTGGTTGTGCGCGAACGTGCCAAGATCCCCACCTCGGGAGAGGCCGTCTGGGCGTTTCGATACGCGATGGCGGCTCGAATGCTTGGTATAGAAGAGGGCTGGGCGTAGACGTCTGTTGTAAGGCTGAAGACGATGCAAAAATGCATGGTTACTGATCGCGCGTATATTCTTCTCTAAATGCAGCTGGGAGCATCAGCTCTCAAGATGAATCTTAGCCCACCGGATTGTGTCGATGAAAGCGCTGAAGTATTCTGTAGTCAATATTGAATGCACCTCGATTGATAGACTATTTTCTTTTCTGGTCTCTGGTTGGTCTGGGATGCAAAGTCCTTCCTGAGGGATAGTAAAAAACGGTGGTCTCTTTGCGCAACTCCATAAAAGCGACAGCTTCGCCAAGGTACACGTAGTAGGCTTGAAGAAGCAGATGGAGAATACCTGTCCGGAGCCGGCAGAAATTCTTACAATGTCCTCGATGATTAATGGACATGCGACTGTGCGATTCGGATACTTTCGGTCAGTAGCCCCTGAAAACACAACGGATTTGCAACTTCGTGATTTCGTCTATCCACGAAACTGTGGATCAGGCGGAGATAATATTTTCTCCAACTAATGATTCCAAGCTGGAACATTTATTGGTAAGAATGGGCTACGACGTTCTCCCACAGAGCAATAGAAATAAGTTTCGTCGTGCTAACGGGAGCCTAGCCACCTCGTATACATAGTACGGATTGAACATTGTCGCGTCAAGTGTTGATGGCGTTTGGTGGAAGATCCTAGAAGGGATACCCTTGGTTGGGGGTGTGTTGCCTCGAAGATTGATCCACCTTGGCCCTTTCAATTCGAAACACCTTATCACCGCCCCTCGGACCGTCTAATCCCTATTCTCCAACAAGGTCGCGACGTGTCGTTGCAGGGCTCCGTCGTAGAGGGGTAGTTCGCAATTTCGGTATCTTAATCATCGTATTCTCATATACCGACCATCCCATGATTACGGCTATTGGCTTTTGGGGTCTGCCGCGTTGGCTCCAGCCAGTACTGTTCGCTCGTTGATTGTTGCCGCCTTGATAAGTAAATGGTAGAATTGACAGATGCGACAAAGTGCAGTGGCCGGCTATGTAGCCATAATTGAGACCTACTACTTCGGTTGAATACTTCAGCCAGGTGACTTAAAGATAGATAGAATACCCAAATATCTTGGCAATTTAGCCTGACTTGCAACATTCCTAACTTGGCTTTCCGCGTCGGTCTAGATTGGAGGCCGGGTTCGAGCCGAAAATAAGTCGGAGCGGGTCCGGGGGTGTGTGGGTACCCGGTGCTTAAACTTGATCCGATCCACTAATTCGTCCAAACTCGTGACGAAACTGGCAAATTGCGGGTTGATTAGGGAAACTTAGCTAATATAGCTAATAAAACCAACAGCAACTTTTTTTTCGGGGAACTTCTCGTCTCAGGACTTCTCTCTCATACCCAACCCACGTCGCGATGCGGGAGGCCCACTTGCACATGTTCGCTAATTGTATCAAACTTTGATACCGTTGCTGCATCCTGCAGTTAAGGAAATTGCAATAAATTACCAATTGGACGTGGTCGAGGCGAAACAAGCTTTCTTAAACCGGGGCAAATTCGAGCGCGTGGCGTGACTTACTCGATCGTCAGGCCACTTTGTCAGCCTAAAACCCCTAAAAATGGCATCTCTTCCTTTCATCATTGCCCATTGGCGCCAGAGCTTCCCAATCTAGACGCGACGCTCTCTCACAGGCCTCCCAGACCTCCCAGGCACACAGTATTCTAGTGAATCATCTGTCACATTCGGACCTTATCTGCCGAAGTCGGGTCTCTTCTCGTAGATAGAATTTGACCGAGGTGAAAAAATTGTCGGGAAAAACCTCCACGAGAAATGATGAAATCCTAACAGGGGTCCGCGATGGCGGTCCGTTGACTTGACATTGCCACAAAATTTTTTTTTCCTCGTGCTGATACTTGGTGTCCCCTTCGGTGAATCGTAATAATTCCATAATATTTCCTCCCTTTTTCAACTCGATTATTTCCTTTAATTTTCGAATTTCTTCTCTGCAATCTCAATAATATTCGTTAAACCTTAGAAAAAGGAGGTCCTCGTTGATTCGAATTTCCATCTGCCCCAGAGGCATTTCACTCTTTGCCGCGACCTCCTTACACATAGACTTTATTATTGTATGTTGCGTTCCTCCCATCCATTTTCTAAATTCTGACAATTTTCTTCGCTCAGACAAAATCTGTTAGAAGAAAACCCAGAAAAAAAAATTAGATTTTACGCCCTCGCCGTCGTCAAAATGATCGTCACACGTCTTATCTCGTTGACGAATTTCGCCGTCGCCTCTTCCGCACTTGGCTTCCAAGTTTTCGTCCTATACCCGTGGCACATCCAGTTAGATAATTCGTTCGAGGAATTGAAGAAAGAACATCTTAGAGTGCTGGAGGCAGTGAGAGAGGTTGCAAAGGAGGTGGATCCAGATTCGCGAAAAGGCATGGCTGATTCCATATTGGGTCGTCTGGGAATCAGCGCTTTCAGCGTCAGAAGGTGATTTCAATTTTAGCACGCATGCAGTAACCATGATCATCTTACCAAACGAGGTCGACGCTTATGCCAACCAAAACCACAGTCTTTTCTCGCATGAACCAACCACCCCACCCATCCCAAGTGTCTTCGACAACAGTAATGCTGTAGAATACGTCGCAAACGGCGTCGCCGGTATTTCTCCCGTGTCGACCAAGACGGGGACGAGAATATCGGAAATTGCACGATACGCCTTTTCGGGGGCCATTTGCTGCTCTTTCACCCACGCCATTTTAACCCCAGTTGATGTGTAAGCCATGATTTTGTAGCTTTGATTGACCATCGCCACCAAGGGAATATCCCTTGTCCATATAGCGCTGAGAGCTAATACGTTCTCAGCGTCAAAACTCGAGTCCAGCTTGAACCAGTCAAGTACAACCGCGGCCTAGCAGGCGGTATGCGCCAAATTGTCTCGAATGACGGAGCTCGGGCTTTGCTGACCGGATTTGGCCCGACCGTAACTGGTTACTTCCTCCAAGGAGCCTTCAAATTCGGCGGATACGAATTCTTCAAGCGACAAATGAACGAATACTTGGGACCCGAAAAAGCAGCCGCTAATCGTAATGCCGTGTATCTTGCATCCTCCGCCGCAGCCGAATTCCTCGGCGACATTCTCCTTTGTCCATTTGAAGCCGCCCGCATTAGACTTGTCTCGCAACCGCTGTTCGCTCCCAATATGCTGACTGCATTGGGTAAGATGGCCAGGTACGAGGGAGTAACCGGTCTCTACTCCGGTTTCACACCTATAGTATTAAAGCAGTGAGTCGCTGGCCTAGAGGCTGATTTTCGTATTGCTTGGGCTGTGGCATAGACAACTAACCTCAAAAATTAGGGTTCCGTACACGATGGCAACCTTTGTAGTGTACGAGAAAGCTATCGAAGCAGCATATTCGTGGATTAACAAGGAGACCGCCTCAAACATGACACTTTCGGGAGTAAATCTTGGCTGTGGATTGATTGCTGGTATGGCGGCCGCGGTTGTTTCACAGCCTGCGGATACTGTGTTGAGCAAAATCAACAAGGAGAAAGGCCGACCGGGTGAGGGCACAGCTCGACGGATTTTCAATATCATTTCCCAGCTAGGTCTGCGGGGGAGCTATGCAGGCATTGGTCCACGATTGGTCATGGTAGGCGGAATGACGGCCGTTCAGTTCGGAATTTACGGCCACATCCAACGAGTATGGATCCCCCATTGTTATCTTCCATTTAACTTAGGTAACCGACGACTGACTATTCGTATAGGCTCTTGGCGCGACTAGTAAGGCCGTAGAGGTCAAAGACGAAGTAATTGAAGTGGGGAGTCTCTTGGAAACTGCGGAATGTTAATTCTTGTTCGGTGAGACTGCTTCATATGCGCTAGGTATTCATACCTGGTGTATGGATGGAAACTAGAGGATCGGAGATAATGGCATCTCCGGAATATGGTGCTGGCGCACGTAATTGTGCGTATATGATCTTAGATGCACTGCCATATAAGACGATTGAACGTGGTATTATTAGATACGATTTGTATATAGGGAGGGATATAAAGATAGAGAGAGTCCTAGAGACATAGACGCATAGAGGGTATAAAGGGTATACATGTTTGCAGTATAATAGACTATAAGAGATTGTCAAATATTGTGTGTGTTGTTGTTATTCTAGCTCTGGCTGTGTTCGCAACGTAAAAAAAAAAGGTTGAGGATTTGAGTAGAAATAATAAGATTGAAAGTTAGAAGAGAAGAAGACAAAGAAAGGAAAAGGGAATAAAGTTGAAAATGCCTCGAAGACACGGAACCTTAGAAGTGATAGCATCCAATCTTCAGGAAGTCGCACCCTGTCTGTTAGGTACCTAGTAGATGGTGTTTAGCGAATTTAGGTAGGTACAAGCGTCATTGCCCCACCAGAATCCCACCCCCACCATTATTTCTTGCAGTAGACGGCAATTACTGTCAACGATTAAGCTTTAAACATTTACTACAATAACTATACTTCTTTCATTATTTCTACAATACCATACCATACAACACAACCCCTGTAAACCACGAAGATGTCGAGCAGGCAGCTAAGAAAGCTGCAGAAGCAGAAAGAGCTTCAACAACTCTCAGCACAAAGCCCCACCGAAGACGATGAGTCGAGCGATGACGATAAACCTGCGAAGAAGCCAAGAGCAAGCATATTCTCGGGTTTCGCGGCTCTCGACGGCCAAGATAATGATGGCGACTCTGATGATAACCGTGATGAGAAAGAGGACGAGACGGTAGATCCTCTCACAGACACTCCCGCCGAACCTACATCGGTCGATACGTCTAAAAATTCGGCGAAGAAGAACAAAAAGAAGAAGAAAGCCAAGAAGCAATCGAGCATGTCGACCAAGACCGAACCTCCCCTACAAACCGGGTCGGATGATATTGACCAAGCCTTACAAGAACTCGAGCTCTCTAAGAAGAAGGAACAAGAAACAAATGACGAAGCCTCCCCTGCGAAGCCCTATGAACGAATATGTGAACTTTTAAGCATCAACACACACCACCTTAAAGTAATCAACGAGATGAGAAATCTCTTTGGTCGGGATGCTATTACAGCTGCTCAGAATGATGAGGAGGAAGATCAAGCACGTTCGAGACGACAAAGACAAGGCTTAATACAACAAGTAGATATGGAAACCTTTCTCAAGGCATATCCAGGGAAGAGCTTGCCAGAAGTAACATTACGCCGAAATCCCTTTTTGGCTGGAAAGGAATCGTGGCCACGTGCATCTACAGAAGGCCTGACTATGAGTCGAGTCAAAGAGGAACAGGAGGCCACTATACCCGGAGTTGTCGAGTTCTGTTTTACTCACGATGCCAGGTACAACACGCTAGAGAAGGAATTCTTCGGGCTTGTTCAGATGTATGACCCTATGCGAATAGTGCACTTCCTGCACGCACACCCGTACCATATCTCTAGCTTGGTCCAAGTTAGTCGAATCGCAAAACAGGACCAGAACTCAGCACTTTCTGCAGATCTATGTGAACGCGCCCTTTTCACATTTGGCCGAGTTTCATTATCTGCTTTCCGACAGAAGATAGAACAAGGGAAGGCAAGACTATCGTTCAACCGACCTGAGAACAGGCAATTCTGGCTAGCTGGGTATCACTACCTCAAGAATCTAATCATGAAAGGTACTTATAGAACAGCGTTGGAATGGGCCAAGCTTCTCTTTGCCGTAGACCACTCCGACCCTTACGGTATCATTCATTTCATCCACCCACTTGCTATTCGTGCACATGAATCGAAATGGTTCATTGACCTCTGTGATTCAGAGGTCTTAGATAATGATCCGGCAATCCAGTGTGCCTCATACTACATCAGACAGACTCTCGTCTTAGCTAGGCTACAACAAAACGACGCGGCCGGCGCTAAGGCACTGTTGGCGGAGGGTATTCAGCAATTACCTTGGCTTTACAGCCATCTCTTCAAAGCACTCAATTTAGACGTCCCCAAAGCGGTATGGGGTATACAGCCACGAAATCGAGCCGAGGAATTGCACACAGACGTCTACATCCACCAAACGAAAACACTCTGGGATAATGCCCAAGTTATCTCGCTCCTGAAGGAGACAATGAACGATGCAAAGAGGGTGGATATCAACGACACAATGCCAATCGTCCCTACGGTACCGATTAACTTTGCACGTTTTACTTACTTATTGGAGATTCCCTCGTTAATAAGTCTAGTACCGCGTGAGTTGTTGAACGCGGATGCGAATTGGGAATTCGATCCCCTCCCACCCCCTATTGACGAGAATATTTTCTCGCATGAGTCACAAGCAAATCCGTTCCACCCTCCGTCGCGTGAAGTACAACGCGGCACTGGACGTCCCGGAAACCGTCAGGATCTTCAGGAAATATTAGTTCAGGCGACGCGGCTCGGAGCACCAGAGGACCTTCTACAAAATGTTCAAGCTGCGATACTTCGGACACCCGAGGGCGATGGCGTGGAAGACGGCGATAGTGGGGATGAAGATGCCTGGATACCCCCGGAAGTAGGGGTTCCCATGAGGGGATTGTATCGGACGCTTGCGGCGCTGCTTGGTCGTGCTACTGATAGGGCCAACGCCAGCTCGAACGTGGATCCTGATAATATGCCTCATATACCAGGTGGCTTTCGCGATACGGAAGACGAAGACGGCCATAATGCTGATGCTGATGACGAGACTGATAACGACATGCCAGGGCTGATATAAATCAACATTACTAAGCCAAAGTTGCGAAAGTGTGCACGATGGCGAAGGGCATATGAATTCGATGCCTATGTTGTATGCACAAGTACCTAGGTATTTCAGGGCCATCTGCATCATGGGTTCCTGCAGGAAATTCATGCGACGACAGGGAAGACGAAGATCATGAGGCAATCAATGCATAGGATGAGTTTCGTTTCTTCGAGGAATTTTGGGTTACGGCTACCTACACACGCATTGCAACCCTGTATTCTATGTATAGCTATTTAAGGTACCTTAGACTAATAAAATGGTAATACAACGCCCGCTACTTAATCTATTCTGCCTATGTCTGTCTATGATTCATAGTTGAGCAAGTTTTTACAATTGAAAAGGTGCGGCAGTCAAAGAGGGTTTCACGCCTAGAAGGAAAAGAAGAAAAGAAGGGGGTAGGGGTTCGCTAAGAAGAGAATGGAAACTTGCTCAAGTTTCATATTAGTCTACACCAAACTTCGAGGTTGACGTTCTCTGTCAGTGGTAGCACGCGACGCTTAGGGTCATAGGTGTCGCACGTATTGTTACAGTTTTTCATACTGTGACTATAGGTATGTCTCCCCTTAATTCCAGTGCTTGTTGGTGGACAAGTTAGCGTGAAATACAGTACATGGTGGATACGAGACAACGCGCCGCACTGTCGGGATAGGTACTATTTCCTATTTGGGCGTTTGAGTTCTTTGTGCGTACAAACCGTAGCGGGGTCTCTCGGAGGGAGGGGTGATAAGGAAGGGGAAGGCGTTATTAATCCCGCTCTTGTAATGGAATAGCGCTATTTTAGGTACCCTACGTTACGCCTCCGTTAGGCTGTTTGTTAGGTACTGAAGGTGCTAGAGTTAGAGATTCAAGTCACTTCTAATCGATCACGACATTATTAATCCATTAATCCAGAACAAACTTTTGTGACCAACCCATCGCCCGTGCCACCATACCCGAGAGATATTTAATATCCATCCTCCCTCGTTCTCCTTGCTGCCGTCTTGCATTTTCATCTGCGTCGCATTTACATCCATATCCATACATACGTACGAAGACGAACATCGGATCTACAATCTCTCATTCTGCCAAATCAAAACCAACTGCGCATCTCATTACCCCGCCGACCCGCGCATTCGCATTCATATACCCCTCTATTTTCCTCTTTCGCAACGCCGATACATATTTAATATTTTCGCAATGGCCGACTCAGAGCACACATACAAGTTCAACGTTAGCATGAGCTGCGGAGGTTGCTCCGGTGCTGTCAACCGTGTTCTCGGAAAGCTAGAGGGTAAGTTTTCGTGCTATTCTGCTTTCTTTACCGCCATTTCCCGATAACTTGCGCAACACCGAGGGTCCCACGGTTTCGCTCCGAAACTGCGGTAGATCATTTGGTTACACGATGCGCATAGCAATCAAGTGAGGAATAGTCTTGCTAACAAGAATGCGATAAATAGGTGTCGAGAGCTACGATGTCTCCCTCGAAAAGCAGGAGGCCATTGTAAAGGCTAAGCCTGGTCTAGACTACGAAACCGTCCTGAAGACGATTAAGAAAACGGGAAAGAAGGTCAACTCGGGTAGCGTTGACGGCGAGTCTCGCAGCATTGAGATCACGGAATAAAGAGATAACACTGGTTTGAGACGAGAGACTTGGATCGACCGTCTATGGACTGAGATGTTTTCTCTTCTGTCCCGCTTATGAATATGGAATGATCACGAATCAATCAGGCGTAGGAAATATGAAAGTCGAAAGGCTCGGCTGGGACTTGATTTATAGCCTGCTTTGCTTACCTTAGCATAGCATATACTCGATTTTATATATATGTTGTTTTCTGCGCCAACAATAGAACAACAAGCCTTTGATGCGGTTTGATGAATTATATTGTCGTCTATCCTCTTCTATTTGACTATGTGTGATGTATAGGCTGGCTGTACACTTGTACATGAATATCCAGAAGCCGACAGTCTGTATGAGTGTAACTTGTTACATACTCAGGTATATAATCATTACTTGGAGATGTACAAAGTGTTCTTTTGTGTGCATGTGATGTGAACGATGTCAGCGACGCCAGCAATTGCCAATAATGGACGATGGTCCTCCGTTCGCCGAACCAGATCAAGCAAGCTCGTGTACTATCCAATCACCCACTGAGGCCCCTGAACCGCAGCGCACCTACCTAGGTAGGCATGATTAGCCACTAAATCTTACCTGCCTAGGTACCTACAGAAGGCCCTAGCTCTAATCGGAGATCGCTGCAGAGAACCGGCCGAGACCTTCCATTTTAGGACAAGCTGCTTGTATCTTGCGCTAGGTATATAGGTTATTTTTTTAAGCAATCCCAGCATCTCAGCACTAGGAAATCGGCATTCTAAGAATGTCTAACATCTCGATTGGTCTAGTGGTCAGGATACCTGCTTGTCATCTCAAGACAGTACGCAGGTGGCCGGGGTTCGATTCCCCGATCGAGAGCATACTTTTTCTTTTTGTATCTTTTCCACCTTTTCGATCAGGTGTATTTTTATCTTTTTAAAACTTGGAAATCCAATGCCAGAGTAAGAGTAAGTCTATACAAACAATACGAACGAAACGAGTATGATTTACTTCCTCCTTTAAACCCCTGGAGTACGTTCCAAGGCGGAGTATGTAATGTTCTTTCGTATTTCGTTCAGCTCATGTAAAATCGGTAATTACACGGGCTAGTCACACCGAAGAATATCTTGTTGGTGTCCTCATACATCATGACGACGGGTAAATTTCCGCAGCGATAGTTATATGATAGGTCATTTGGGGCTGTTACCGCTATTTGAAAAGTATGTAATATTCCTTTCTGCGAGCTGATGATTTGGAATCCTTCCCAGAGATAAGACATCTATGGAAATTGGGAAAGCCGCGGGGAAGCGGACGGAAAGGTATGTATATCTACATGCGGGAGTATTCCGACTTTTGTGGCTTCAAACTAGATCGATTTATGATCACTTTTGGTTTAGTTAGATACTCCGCCGTCAACCCCGACGATCGATCGTATCACCCTCTATCTACAAAGGTACAGAAGATTCATAGATCTCACCCAACCATATAGTAGATAGCTTATAGTGGTGGCTAGTTTCCGTACCTCACTAACTGAGCTCGGTATTTTTGACTTATTATAGCTAGACTCACATAAAATTGTGAGTAGTTTGTGCAAACCAACACACATGATTGTCATCGAAAATAAATCCCTAAGACACATTTGTGGAAAAACTGGTAGGTGTGTAGGCAAGTGACTTTTGTTACGGTAGTCATCTTCTTGGAATATAATTAGAAACAAGAGCGGGCGAATGGACGAGACAACTAGGGAAAAAATTCAAGAGCGGTTAGTATCTAGTCGAATGAATATAGCCGCCGGCTCGACGGAAAGCTTCACTAAGTCAAAAGTCCAATAGCTACCCTTCCAAATACTTCTTTTCCCATAAAAGATCCCCACGGGGTCAATTCTAGCTGTCACCTCGGCCAAAGAAGCCCCGGAATCTGGGATAGATCTTGTGGAGATGGGTATTTTCATTGCAACAGAACAATATGCTACTACGAACAACAAACCATGATTGGCCAAAGACGTCTTGATATTGGAACATAACGCGGATGATGGAGTCAAATTTGGGTAACGGATGTATAAATTTACTTATGTGATTGGGCGTTGTTATGAGGAACACTCCACGAGAGCTCTCGAGAAGCTTCGTTAAGCTAGGCCATGGCGAACGGCAGTCCTCTGAATATAGATACTTATAACCCGGTTGTAGGGCCATGCATAGATACGATCGTCATGTAGTTGTATAGAGTAAACTTCATTCTCAATAGCGACGATCCCTAAAGTTGTGACGATGGCGTTTTCTAACTTCTTACTGTCTGTTATTCTTCCTGTACTTCTCTCGGCGGTCAGCGTACAAGCCCACGGCATCGCTAGCGCCATTGTGATAGATAGCACCTTGTAAGTAAAGTGGTAGACATAGATTCTTTATCAGACCAGCGTAGCTGACACTTAGACATAGCTACGATGGCTACAATCCGAGTTACCAATACAAAAGTCCCCCTCCTACGGTAGTTGGCTGGTCTGTTCCGGATGACCTACAGTAGGTGGTTGCTATTATACTCATTATAATCAACGAACTGTAATAGGACTGATAGTGGAACAACACAGAAACACATTCATCGCTCCAAACCAGTTTAGCACCCCGGATATGGTATGCCATCTTGGCGCCAAACCAGCGGGTGCGGCTGCTCCCGTGAAGGGCGGCGACATAATTGAGGTGCAGTGGACGCCATGGCCAGCTTCGCATAAGGGACCGGTCCTGGATTACCTTGCAAAGTGCGACGGGGCTTGTGTGAGTTTTCCTAGAAGAAATACCTTACTATATTTCGTGTTGGTAGCACAAGATCTATGGGCTGACTGTCTACAAAGGAAACCGCCGACAAGGCCAAGCTAAAGTTCTTCAAGATCGGGGAAGCTGGATGGGTGGACAAAGCAAGCGATTTATGGGCGGCCAACGTGTTAACCAACAATAATAATAGTTGGCTGGTACGAATTCCTGAAGATATTGCGCCCGGAAATTACGTCCTACGCCACGAAATCATCGCGCTTCATGCCGCTGCGAACCCCAACGGTGCTCAGAGCTATCCATTCTGCTTTAATCTTGCTATTGACAGCAAAGGCACTGCAGCACCTGACGGCATCCCCGCAACTCAATTTTACAAGACTGATGACCCGGGCATCAAGTTCGACTTGTTCTCACACCCAACGGCCTACGTGATCCCTGGTGTAAGTTAAGACCCGACATATACTTACTCGTTTAGTATTCGTAATGTTGCATTAAGGCTGACTGCTTTGAAGCCGAAATTGTATAGCGGAGCACTCCCAGTTAGCCAGACGAAACCGGCTGCCATCACGGCCACTGCCACTGGTGTTTACGCCTTTACTGCAGCTGCACATGTTAGGGCGGCGGTCACTACTACAGCGGCCTTAGCTGCCGATGCTGCGCCGACCACATTTGTAGTTGCAGCAAAGGCGGTGTCGCCGGCGGTGCCTCAAGCAACCCAGGCATGATGATATCGGTTGGTTTGTAATAACCAACTGCGAAATAGGAAAAAAATTGGTATTTATGTAATGCTCACCTAACGCATGATATGATCGCATAGTGGATAGATGTTCGTTGCTGAGTTAATACTTTACTAAGCTATTCGTAGTTGTAATATTCAAGGACCTTTTAAGCCAAGACGTAAGAAGATGCGAGCCTCGATGCAACGTTATACCTTCATTATGTGGCCCAAGTGCCGGAAAGACGTCGAGATTTAGTTAGCCTCGCTGGCTAAGCTTTTTTTCTGAATCGTTTATAGGAGAAAATCGTCGCGCAGGTGCATCATCTCCATCGCAATTCGCACTTGTTTCACCCCGGATTCGGCCATGATACGAAGGGTAGCGGTAGAGCGGGCTGAGCGGTAAGGGTTGTTTGTTAGTTTGTGAGTTGAGTTAGCCCTGTATCCAGTTTTGATGTCAAGGGTAGCGTCGTTTTTTCATGAAAAAAGTCCTTCACATAAGTACCAGTTTGCCCTTTTTTCCTTTTCTCCATCCTAGCCAACACGTGCGACTTGGTTACTTAACTGGTCCGGCTGCACAGATTATCGGCCGATATACTCATTGCGGTCATCGAATATCCGTGCGCCAGGCATACAGCGGACGGAGGTTGCCTAACCCTACTGCAACCTCGTTAATCATGAAACGGCGGAGAAACGAAGGAGAGGAAGAATCGCCGTGATTATCAGGCTTTGAAGAGTAGATAGACCATCATCTCGGAAATGATGATGAACCTTGGCGTGATTCCAAGTAGTAACATGAATCGGCCGAGTCAAGCGAGACTGCCGGACCAAGAGGGGGTCAGGGACCTTTTCTGTGGTCCACCCCATGGCCCCCATACTTTTGTAGATACGACTACGGAATACGTATGTACCCCTGGCCCGTGAAGAATCCTTGGCGTCTTTTCGATTAGGTACCTAAGGATGCCAGGGAGAAAGACTAGGATCGGATCACGTGCCACGCTTATACACTCGGTGGAAGTTCTAGACTTGTCCCAGGTAGGCATCTAGAAACAGCACACTGCCGTTGACAAGAGTGGAAACGGCGGAAAATCCCTGACGACGTGACTCTATGCCGGACTACCTTTCCAAGTTCTAACACCGACATGTCTTAGGCCGTTAGGTGGGAGGATTTTTCGTCAGTTTAGATTCTCGTAAACTAGCGCTTCGTCTTTTGTTATTGTTCCCTAATATCGTCACTACGATACGATAGGCTATAGTCCGAGGAGGTCTAGTCAGTCAGATGTTCCATTTGATGGCATCTAGACATATTGACTGACTGACTTCCTCCGTCATGATCCGGGTTACCTGGCTTGGCTTCGATTAAATCCATGAATCCACTTGTTCGTCTATTGTTCAGTTCATGCAGCCGGCTGAACAACGGCTGCGCAAACAAGCCCTAATGGACCACGGGAAGTCGCCGGCGTCGACCAACAGCTTTCAAGGTCCCGTCTATAACTTTATAGCATCTTCCCGAAGCGTCAAACGTCCTCGCCCGGTCAAAAGTTGCCTGGAATGTCGGAAGAGAAAGCTCAAATGCGATCGAGCTTCGCCATGCTCCCAGTGTCAAAAGACACAGCGGGAATGCCGCTATGCGGCCGAAGGCGAGGCGGTGAGTCTCAGCGATGGATCAGATGCAGAGGGATCCGAAAGGACTACTAAACGAAACCGCCCCGCGCCAACTCCAGGATCTGGACCGCGCGATAACGACTACGTTTCTATGCTAGAGGATCATGCGGCTAGGCTTGAACGGCTGGAAAGACAATTACTATCAAGAGCTTCATCTATCGCGGACTCTGGCGGCGCTCCCACCCAACGTCCCGCAGCGTCCTCACTAACGCTTCGCGGCCTATCAGTGAAGGGAGGACTACGGACGCGATTTTTTGGGCAAAACAGCACGCGCGTTTTGGTCAATCTTGTGAGTCATGAACTAATTCAATAGTTCCTCAACATGGCGTTGAGTGTCTCAACTAATCCAGTGCTAGTTTGACGAAGCGAAATCATTTATGATCAACAGAAACAAATACAGCGACATCCGGGAATTACTTCAGAACATCCAAAGAATTCACAAGGCTCTACAGGATGAGCACCGCAAAGTTACTGCACCGATCGCGGTATTTGTGGACTCGATGACGCCTATTCAGAAGCGAATGGCGGATGTGTTGCCAAGTAGGCAGGTTTGCGACACGCTCCTCAATATCTTCCTAACTGGAACCGAGACGCTCTATCGCATCCTCCATATTCCTACGTTTATGAGGCAGTATACCGAATTTTGGGCGGGTAATCCTCAACCCGATTCATTTCTACCACAACTCTTACCAATTTTGTGTGTTGGATACCGACTTGTCGGAGCCGGCAAGGGACATGGACACGACCGAGAGGGAATCCATATTCCGACCGCCACTTGTCTCGTAAGGACTTGGCTCGATGGCCTTCGGGGAAAGCAGCTGGTCGAATTTAGTACACTTCAGGCCGAACTCCTACATCTTATGGCACAAAGGATGATCAATCCGCAAAATCAAGAAACATGGACTCAACTCGGGTTGATTGTACGAATGGCCATGACTATGGGCTTACACCGGGATCCTTCTGAGTATGCGCAGAAAATATCGCCTTTCTGGGCCGAACAAAGAAGAAGAATATGGTATACTATACTCGAATTCGACGTACACATGTCTATGCAGTGCAACCTTCCGTGTTGTATTCGAGAAGATGATTTTACTTGCAGGCCACCTAGAAATATTAACGATGACGAGATTTATCCCGAAATGGTAGAGCTTCCCCCATCAAAGCCCATCGACCAACATACTAGTACGCGTATCCAGGTGTTTGTCGCTAGCACATTGCCTATGCGCTTCAAGGTTGTGGATGTGATCAATCGTACAGACAGTCTTCAGGATTACCAGCAAGTTTTGGAACTCGGTAACGAACTCGAACGGGTTTTCGATGACTTGAGATACATCGCGACGCCAGTACAATCAAACGATCCGAAAGAAACACAACGACGATGGATAAGACGAACCGCTATGGACATGCACTGTCGCCGACCTCTTTTAGAATTATACCGACCATTCGCCTTGAGCAGCGCAGACGTTCCGCAGCAAATCGTCACAGGGTACTTGAGATCGTCAATGATGCTACTTTCCTACTTGGACGAAGTAGACCCATCTGCGTCCAATTACCACGAACTCTGGCACATACACCAACTAATATTCAAACAAGAGATACTTCAGGCTGCTTTCAGCATCTGTTATTACATAAAACAAGCTACCAATAGCTCTGCTTCACCAGCACCGTCGAATTTGGAGTCGACCGGCAGATCAGAGTCTACAGAAGACTCGTACACACTAGCGTCGGAAAGCTCGTCTTTGCTATCCCTGCCACGGCTGAAGAATGCTGTTCAAAAAGTGATAGATAACCAGTGCAAAAGAATACGGGAGATCGGCACGGATTTGAGAGATGTGGTGGCGCTGACAGTCGTATTTCATACCTGCCAGGGTGGGACACCTGAGCAGCAGCGGGAAGCCATAAGAAATGGTCTGCAGGCTATATTAGATGCAGGTTTGCAAGCAGTCCATGCAAACCAAGTAAATATTCCCTCAATACCGGTGAGGAAACCTAACCTCCTACCCCCTAGTATTTTACTCACCATTCGCCAATAGATTGCGCCAACGGCACCGGTACAAATAAATACCATGCAGGCGGCTTCGGGTTTCGTCAATCCGATGCAGCCTTTTGTGGCGGCGCCAGATACCCCCAATTCTGTACGTTGCCCCCCAAATCCCGTTGACGAGAAAAGCAAATCTGATTTATGCAACAGTTAGCCGACGATTTTGCTGCTATGTGGGACATGGAATTTTGGACTCCTATCCTTAACCCCGGCCTACCTTGATACCTCCCATTATCCCGAATTCTCGATGCTCCGAATCCGAATAATCGTTCCGATACCATCAAAGCGAAGATTTTTCTAAATAAGCGAGTCGATGTAGGATCTGTCATAAATGCCTAGATGAGGCATTTTTATTGCAAATCCTATTCAAAATCAATAAATTGACGTTACCGAATTTAAAATCCACACACCATTTCATGGCTTACCGAGATACCTACCTATAGATATATCACGATCTGCCACCCGGGCAACTCCACGCCTTTCCTGATACGTTTTCCCGCATTATCGATCCCTTTTATCGAACGTTAGCGTTGTTCATCGAATAACACGGCATAAACGGGTGCAGGGTCATTGCTTGTTCTAAATGAAACCTGACAGCGGGCCTATTTGTATCCCTTTGCGAGATACTACATGTAGGCACCACGACGAAAAAAAGCCATCAATACTCTGATAGCGACGGTGTTTAGAGAGAACATGAAATTGCAAAAGGTGGTCGTAACGTATAGTATAAGAGAACATTCCGACGATGGGTAGGAGTTGTGTCTGTTGCGTTGCGTTGGCATATGCAGTCCAATGTGAAACTCCGATAGCATTCTCCGGATAGTATAGGGTCAAGTCGTAACCTGACCGAGTATGAGAGGACAGCCCATCCCTAGGTTATAACATGGGAATTCTTCACCCTTCGTCATATTTCTAACCACCCATTTAAATCAACTATTGTCTACCACATGGAAACAATAAGGATATGTTTCTTTCCAAGAGACCGTTCTTGTAGCTTGGCTGAATGAATACCCACTGAAGTGCCTGTTTGCTTTTTCACATCCTAGCATGTAACACAAATATTCCTGGTTATTCCAAGCCACTTGCAAAAATTTCATATCCGTTGCATATCTCGAATAACACAAACCCATCTCTGACCCCCACGTTGGCTTCCGACGTCCTGATAAGTACCTAGGTAGCTGATTAGTTGCCGTTGCAAATGACATCCATCTTTATCTTTAACTATTAATTAAAACTTAAAGACTCAAGAACTCCGAAGTCTATTTTGTATTACATAAGGTATACAAACACAAAGTAGTAAGCAAAAATAAGGCTATGCCATTTTAGGTATTGCCTCGGTTGAGTGAGTAGCTAAGCCTAGGTCCCGAGTGTGGGGAAATAGAACTAAGCTGGATTGACATAACAAACTCCACTTTCTCTCCACACATTCACGTCGTTCTTGTACCATCAAGGAGCAATTCATCGGACGTTGAAGACTAGGTAGTTCGGATCATGCGGCGCAGTTCAATTTCTACTTCATAATTGTTATATTTTCTATATTTCGATTGCGACAGCAGGTTTTCACAAAACTTTCCGGGTTTAATTCGACAACGTACTTCTCTTAGTGTTGTGTTCTCGTTACAAGTACCTCTTTAGTTCCACTTACACCTTCAGGCCTGATGCTGGGTACTCTGCCAATTTGGTATACCACATACATAGATCTTTACGAAGGCAGTCAAATTTCAAAATGCCGGCCAAGCAAAAGCAGCCAGTGTATGTCCTAGGCGTAGGCATGACCAAATTCATCAAGCCACGCGGCAAGGTCGATTACACGGAACTAGGCTTCGAAGCCGGTGTTAAAGCTATGCTGGACGCTCACATCAACTATGACGACGTCGAGCAAGGAATCGCTTGCTATTGCTATGGCGATTCTACATGCGGACAGCGTGTATTCTATCAATTCGGCATGACCCAGATCCCCGTTCTCAATGTAAACAACAACTGCTCCACCGGGTCGACAGGATTATCGATGGCTCGCAATACCATCGCTTATGGTGGAGCCGATTGTATCCTCGTCGTTGGTTTCGAGAAGATGATGCGTGGTAGTCTCCAGAGCTTCTTCAACGATAGGCAAAACCCCCTTGGCCCTACTCATAAGATGATGGGTGAGACTCGTGGCTTCACTAATGCCCCTGGCGCTGCTCAGATGTTCGGCAACGCCGGACGGGAGTATATAGAAAAGTAGGTTCAATCCAATTCCCTTTCGCAGATATAAGAAATATATCATAATTAACCGCCAACCACACTCTAGGTATGGTGCCAAGCTAGAGGACTTTGCAGAAATCGGCCGTGTCAACCACGCGCACTCTGTCCACAACCCATACTCACAGTTCCAAGATGTCTACACGTTAGACCAAATCCTTAAGGCGCCTATGATACACGAGCCCCTCACCAAGCTCCAATGCTGTCCGACATCCGACGGTGGTGCCGCCGCTGTACTAGTATCGCAAGACTTCCTAGACGCGCGCCCGCACCTAAAAGATAACGCCATCCTAATCGCAGGCCAATGCTTAGCTACGGACTCACCATCACTCTTCTCCCGCTCTGCCATTGACCTAATCGGCTTCGATATGAGTAAGCGCGCAGCCGAGACCGCACTAGGTGAAGCTGGGATTACATCGAAGGATGTCCAGGTCGTTGAGCTACACGACTGCTTCTCAGCTAATGAGCTTGTAACGTTGGACGCGCTAGGGCTATGTGAACCGGGGAAGGCGCATGAATTGGTGAGGGAAGGGGATATTACGTATGGCGGGAAGTACGTCGTCAACCCCTCCGGTGGCCTGATATCTAAGGGCCACCCTCTCGGCGCAACCGGCATTGCGCAGTGCGCGGAACTCGTCTGGCATCTGCGCGGATGGGTGAATAATCGTGCTGTACCGAAGACGCGGTACGCTCTCCAGCATAACCTGGGACTAGGTGGCGCGGCTGTAGTTACTGTGTATAGTCGACCTGATAGAGGATTGGCCCCGACACCAGCATTGGACTCCGTGGCAGTGGGTCAGAAGAATGGGCTTGGGTATAATCCCGCGGTCGAGGCGAGGGGGTTTGCGGCCGCGCAGTGCAAGAGTGTGCTTAGTAAGAAGGCGTATAGCTCATGGGCGTTGCAAGATACGGAGGAGAAAGTTACGGCGAGGTTTTGAAGAAATATGGTAAGGTACCTATGAGGAGATATCCCTTGTGTTTATTAAATTATGGGATGAAATAAGATATGTACTTTGTCTTGTTTAGTATTAGGCGTGGAATGTGTGTATTAAGTACCTATGGCGACTAAAAGTCCCTTACTGAAATGTTTCCCTCTCCAAATATATCGCATCATCTAGAGGTGTCATGGATGATAACATAGCTCACAGCTCAGTAACTACTGGAGGTCTCGATCCTAGAGCTTGTTGCCAACATTTGTAGGGGCCATAATACATCATGACCTTGGCCTCAACCCTTAATTTGAGGAGTTGTTCCTCATAGTCCCACGCAGCAATTCTGACGCTATTGTCCCACGTAGGGAGATTCTTTGCTACCATGTGCTGGAGCCGGTCGTGTATAGCATTAATTTCATCTTTAATGGTAGGACATGACATAACTGATCTAGGCGACCGCTCACTCATATACTTCAGCCCAAGCGGCAGGAGTCTTCGACGCTCCGCATGTAGACTTATATCATGGAATTCAGGCCATGGCACTGGCTCGAGGCCGGCGATACTCAGTGCAGATTTCTAAGGAGTTGAAACTTATCGGCGAGTAAATTTAATCGCTTGTCTACCTAGGTAGTGATGCGGTATCGAGGACTACATTCTGTATTTATGTACATAATTCGGTGTTTGATGGGTAATCCCTCTCGAAGACTTGTTTAAGATTATAGATCAAGACGACATCGAAATCCGGTCGGAAAGCCCGATATATTGACAATTCACGCCTGATAGATGTCTCGGGGTAATACACCTCGAAGCATGATTGGGCTATGCCCCGTGCTTCGCGACAAACTCGCATAAGCTTTGGGAGATCAGTACGGACTCTTGGCCCACGAGAAGTTTCCGGCGCCTGTACCGCTTCTTGTTGACTATACCATGGTTGGAATATCCGGCGTGAGGGCAAATTCCCAGATCAGATTCCGAAGCTCAGATGGCAACGAAGTAAACAGATTAAATTGTGAAATAGGTCTGGAATTCTGGACTGGCGTTTCCGAGACCTCTTTATTAGCCATTGGGCTAATGCTCGCGTGATACATATGCATTATGATGAAGGGCAATGAAAGTCTTTCGTCTCTAAGCTGCGGGAGAGGTAAGGGAGCTTGTTTCCTCAGTGCTGCTATTGTTGTTAGCAGGGAGATGTGTATTATAGATGGGAGAGGTGTCTAGGTACTTATAAGCTTTCTAAATCAGCTACTGCGGACGTAATGGCCGTCAATAGGTGCCTGCCCGGGTACCTAGGCATAGAGGTCGCAGCCCTGGTACTTAGGCACTTAAGGCACCTGAATAAGGGGCTGACGAGTACCTAGCAGCCCTAGGTAAGTACCTAAATAGGTGCCTACCCGCAGAACTTCATAATCAAGCTCTTGGACCTCTTTTCAACTTCGTTCATATTATGATTCTACAATTTAAGTAATCGAGTATAATTCTTAGGATTATCTCTATATCAACACTCCGCACCTAGAAAGATCCAGGAAATCATGCGGAATCTATATGCAGTTTCGTCTCAGCTGCCCGAATAATTATTCGACAACCACCTGCCGTTTCCCTAAATCGTACTTATCGCCATCCTTAAGGAAATAGAAAATAGACGAGCTATTTGGAAGATGTTTAAGATCGCTTCCTTCCCTTGACCAGAAACCTCCGTCGTAAAATATCACATAAGTGCCACGGTATACTTCAGCATTATTCTTTGACACTATAAGCGCAGTGTTCTCATCAATAGCAATTCCCAATAGCTCGGGCCGGACTTTGAGGATATCGAACATATCGAATTGGCGGTTTCGCACAAGCACATGCTGGTCGATGGCCACGTCCTTCACGAAACCAAAGCCTACCTGATGGTCGCCAACTAGGATCTGATTGTTGGCCGTATCGCCACGGGCAAGGAAACTTCCCTGAATCGACGCTCCTGCTGAGCTTCCGCTCACAACGCCGCCGCGGTCGAGCACCTCGTGGAATAAGCGCTCCGTGAGCGTACCCGCGTATGCATCGACTAAGCGCCACTGTCGACCGCCACCAAAGAACACACCCTTAGCAGTTCGCAGCGGAGCCGCGAACTCTTCCGTGTCGGCGACCTTTGGGTCGTAGGTATGGAGGACAGTGACGTTCTTACTGCCAAGCCTTCGGAAGGTACCCGCGGATGCGGCATCATCGTCGTATGTATCGCTTCCTTCAGCTGTAGGGATAGTAACAATAGGAGCATCAGGTCCTCCAGCTAGGTCGATAATGCGTTGGTAAATCGCATCATCCTGAGCGTTTCCTCCTATGATAACTAGTGTGCCATTCTCAGGCCCCACGTACGGTGAGCTCTGTCGCTCAGTGATGGGTCCCGCGAAGGCGAGAGCCGCTAAGGCTAAGACCGAGTTTTGAATCTTCATGATTGTTGAGTGATTGACTGTCCGAGAGAAAACCACGATTGATAAAGACGTTGGAATATAGGACTTCGATCGCCTTTTTATATTATTTCTATTGAAATGCTTCACAGTCGGTTGTAAAAGAAAGATCGATTATTTCCCCACTTCCCAAAACGAAACCTTCCTATTCCATCTTGATTTCGACGCCGACAACCAACCGGATCGCCCAATTCGATGTCGTGCAATTAAGAGTATATATCGCCATCTATGGCGCGCATCGCAAAGTGGATCGATTGTCAAATAGTTTGAAATATGTTGTAACTGCACCATTGACTAAGGAATCTCATCGCAGACTAATCAGGTATTTATAAGTCAATTAGGTCTCTGGCTGCCTTCATAAATACCTTTTATGAAGAATGAGAAATCAAATTGGATTCATATAGGGAAGGATTGTTGTCTGAATATCTGGGTTGGACGCTTCATGATAAATGTAACAAGTGAGGCTTTTGCGAATTAAGAAGTAATAAAAAAAACTCATTTGTAACTCTAGCCAGGTATCCTACTCGAGGTCTTTTAAAATTCAACGATGTAATAAGTATAAGACATACTGTAAATACAGCATCGAACAATTTTCACCATCTTCCATACAAAACATTTACTCGAAATTAAAATGACGGCAATTTAGCTAGATAAGTCTTCCAATACTAGGCTTTACCGGCAGCTAAGATGTAGATAGAAGCTGTCACTGTAACATATGTATTAATTTTCATTCATATACTAAGTTTCCCAATGGACGAAAAGTGATCGTTCTAGAACATGGCTCTATATGAAGATCGCGCCACATATATTGCAACGTAGATGGAGGGCTACTTATTCGGTACACCCTTAAGAGGGCTCTGTGTGAGAGGAGATTGGGTACTGGATGTCCTTATAAATTATGATAAGGATGTATGATCGAGACACAGCATATAAAGTAATTTTCATACAGCCTACGGCTAAGTAAGCGGCATAAAAAATAGTAAATAATAAAGGCTAAATGCAGATGCATACCTATCCGTACCAGGTATCAAGGCATTGTCTTGGAGTAGAAAAGGCCAAATATCCCCTAAAATTTCTTCTAGACATAATTCATTACGGAATCCAAGCTCAACTCAGGGCGAAATAAAAAATCATGTGTGGCTTCCAAGCTGGAGGTGCGGCGGTCTGCCTGTTCCTCGCGGGGCAGACAGCGCTGGCTAGCCCTACTCATTATCGACGAGCTGCCTGTGCCGACTTATCGACGGAGACACCTATCTGGAGGATATCAAATGCGGCCTCTTCGGACTGGCCCGGCGGTGGGGGAGGACGAGTTGAACTCTGGGCAAACCACATTCCTACGGGCGAGGTAGCCGATTGTGACGTTGAATACCGGATGAATGCGACAGACGGATCAATCGTCGGTTACGATCCCACGACAGTCATCACATGTACCAATTTCGGCACGGCGGCTCTGAACACGACCGTTCAGCTCGATATGGAAACGCTGCTCTTGACGATAAACAGCACTTGGGCTTGCGAGGAGGGAGGCGAGGCGAAGTACTCGGCGACTGGGTCGACGACATTGAACAGAGACACATCCCCAGAAGCGTGCCTGGTGGAACCGACTCAAGTTGGCCCCTCTACAACTTGCCCGATAGCCGACGCGGAGGTTGAGGGAAAACTTGAGGAATAGGCGTAAAGTGTCTTGGAGATGCATATCGAATTTGGGGGTCGCACGGCGGCGAAGAGTACCGATACCTACCTAGGTACCTAGGTAGAGACGCCCTTTAGGGGGTTGTTCGCTCTATGCGACATTAAAATTCCATCCTAATACATATTTTCGACGCTTACTAGGTGTGCTTGCAGCGCCGTATCGCAAGTTTACTCAATGTTCTAGATCCTCCACTTCGTATTTGACATTGGCTATATATCGTTGATAGTCGTCGGGCGCATTAGTGATTGGAATTGACTTGACTTCGTCCTTGGGTAATCGACGGCCATATGCCCTCCATAAAATCTACATGTAAATACCAGGCAGAGCCCTCGGTCCCTCCCAATCCCACCTATAACCTTGATGTCTTTCTGCCGGGGGGCTATTTAAAAACCAATTCATAAGCTCACAAGCTTCGTCATGCTCCAGGGTACTGAATCGTTTCCGCTCAGGGCCTGGGTCCAACCAGACTAATCCCTTTTGTATAGATTCCGCGGTCTCGGTCAACGATCGGTCCACCGTGGCCGGATCTACCATTGGAGCTGTAGTTTTCAAGAATTCCTTGAGTCCTGAAACCTGAAGATGCTCAGGCTTCACTTTATATCGTCGCTGTCGGCTTTGACGTGTTTTCTCGACGTCGACGAGTAAGCGAACAAATGCATATCTCACGCATTCTACCTTCGCCCCTTCTCTCAGTCTCCACGGCTGGCCCGGATGTTTATCCTTTGATACAAGGACGACCCAGCTACCCGGGACAAATTCCTCTGATTTGGCCCAAGTCACAACCGGGCGCACCTCACCACTGTTCGGGACCCCAAGGGATGATGACCCGATAGAAAAGGCATATTTCTCATTACGCAGCCAACGTAGAAATCCTGCCGCAAAAGCTTCTGGCTTGAGTAGCGCGTGCCCCATATAGTAATATGTTGGAAAATGTTTGCGTTGGCCGTAACCGGGTGGGGAGCGAACGAGCATGTAGTGTACGGGGAAGATATCAGGAGGCGGATGACAAATTGCAGGAAGCTCGTGAATGAGCCACAACCCACGGTTTAGAGCCGAGGAGAATGCGCCAGTCAATGTTACGTTACCATGTTTCAACACGTGGGGCCTCCTTGAAAGTACCTTGAAGAAGTTGATGCTATCTTCATCGACAGATCGCCTCGGCCCCTGGAAAAAATGTAGGTCTCGTAAGGATGGTGAATGAGATAGTGCATCTAGGATGTCGATCGTTGTGCCTTCAATCGCGTCAGTACAGAGACTGATAGACTTCACGTTACTAAGCTCCTCTGTTTGAAGCGCAAACCCAATAGCTTCCGCGGATATTCCCCTGAGTCGTACTAGGTCAAGATGCGTTTCTCTTTCATATGCGAGGCTTATCAATTGCCCAGTCGAGCGCGAACTGCCAAGCTGTGCCGAACACTTTTGTAGCCATCGCTGCAACAGGTTCTTGAAGTCAGGAATGCGCCGCGGACCATCGAAAATAGATATATCGAAATCGTCTATTGTTCCGGTACTATCAATTAGGGTCACAATAGCCTGATCACGAAGTGACTTAGTGACTCCACGGGTACTAGTGGCACCCTGTGGCCAAGTAACTGTCCATTTTAAATGTTAGTCGTTAAAACGATAGATATCATCACGATGGGTGGACTCACGGTCTACGAGGGCTTTGTCAATTATCGATAGTCTCTCCAGTTCCTTGGCATTTTCAATACAATAGTTAAACCTATACTTGGTCAAGAAGTCCGTACCGGAAAGTAATGGGTTTTGCTGGTTAATCTCGATCACATGTGCGGGGTGACTCAATAGGTCGTTGACATTGTCCCCGAAGCTCATAATACCATACCGTAAATGATCTAGGTCTGATATATCGAAGATGATCATGCCCTTTGCCTGGTCGAGACCTTTGATATATACGTGATCCAGGATTCGTGCCGTATGAGAAGGGGGGCCGAGATTTGAGCAAACTGCCAGCCAAAGACATGTTACCGTAAATGGAAACGCATGCATTTCATCATTTGATGTGTCCGACTCAAAGGTAGGCATCGGCTCATTGTGGGGATTTTGGTACAGATCGATGCTCATGGCCCGCTCAGCCTCAAGGTTGTAACGGTTAGCTGGGTCGGATAGGATAGTCATTAGCATCCAGCTTGTGAGAACGGCCTGCCTGCCACCTGGATTCCTGGAATGAACCTCCTGCGTAACAGCAGCGAGAGGACGATGTGTACCATCAACCTCAGTGACGATATAGTATTGCCAAGTATCCGGGGGGTTCGTATAGATAGGACGGACGCCCGACATAAGCTCAGCGGGATCGACATAACCACATATCCCAACTGGAGATCCATTTCGCTGAAACATTATTCCTACTTCGCGTTCACGGCAGCTACATTGGTTGTATGATGAAGTAGTGAAGTAGCTAGCAATTTATTCAAGAAAGTGGTTTCATTATTTCTGCGCCAGGCTGCGATTTGAAGTTGGGGTTGCAAGGAAAATGGGACTGTTGCCTACATGAGTAACCGGTAAGAAATCCCATTTGGTGTCTTATAGAAGCTACGCCACATAGCTACCGCAAATTCGCATTAAATTAGTAGCAATCAGTAACTTGAGGATTCTGATATGTAAGGCATGCCTATGATAGATTTCAATGATATTTTGATACTTTTCATTTACGTACCTCGGTAGATATTCTACGGGTAGGACTGCTTGAAACCCCCGCATTTTGAGCGTAGGACTATGCCCAAACAAGGCCCTGAAATGAAAACTCCGGCATTAAATATAGAAAGGGATAGTTTGAATACTCAGTCAAAACATCAATTATATGATTTTCGTAATTCGGATATGAGCCATATAATTGTCCAGAGTCGACTAATAGGACGGCCCTATGAACAGTCTCGGCACCATAGATTGGTGATTCATAGCCACGATTGTTCTTAGTCTTATTACTGACTGGCTCTTCCGTCAAGCAGATAAGAACAGCAACATCGCCAACCCATCAAAGTTGTTTTGCTATTGCGCCGCTCATACGTGGTATGGGTAGTCCGTTTAATAGGTGGCAGAAGGTTACGATGATATATCTATATGCACCTAGCATGTCTCGGAGAGCGAGGACATATCCGACTGTTTGATAGCCGTCTATCTCTTAGAAATGACCGACGGCATGACGTTGGTCCGAGTTGTCCGTTTGCCGGCACCCGACGGAGGTCTCTAGCCTCTCCGGCGGCGGCGCAGCTCTCTACCATGAGAGAGACTGAACAAAGGAATCAGCCAAGAGAGATCGTCGACTTTATTATTTAATACCAAGCCGCCAAAACTCATTGGAGTTCATAAGATCCAGCAATAGTAAAGAATGCTTGGCAGGTTGGCAGGGTGAGATCTTGTGTAAGTTGTGGCATATCATTCTTTACTGACGCCATATTGATTTCGAATTAAGTTGATACTCATTTCGCCTCTTAGATTGTACGTATCGGTTGATTGAATATACAGTAAAAATGACTGACATCACCTAGAAGAAAGAAGGCGTAGCAATGCTCTCAAAGTTGTGAGGATACAAAAAAGATAAGAGAAAGGCCTTACTCAGCAAATCCAGGAACAAGAATTTTTAAATTGCCGCTACTGGCACAGCCACCCCTATTCGCTAAAACGACGCCACCTTGAACTAGAAATTGCATAGCCACAGCCACATGACTAAACCAAAACAAGCTTCGAGATTGAATTTTAGATATCCAAATTTCGGCGATTTTAATATTTTCATCACTTTGTCAACCCCTTTCCTTTCTTGCGCCCATTCGTTCTAAGGAACCACTTATAATGCGACCTGGGCGCTGTCAGGCGAAGCTACCATGTATGGCATCTACTTAACTTGCATGATATAATTTTATCACAACACAGCTTGGTTTCGGTAAGTAAAGTCGGGATGTACTTAAGTACCTAAATTCTAGATAGGTATTCATGCATTCGAAGAATATACACGATATACACAGCAAACGCCAGCAACACGACTCGTCATCCACCTTTCGATTTCTTTAAGGAATTTGGCTAGCTAGCTACATACTGAGGTAGCTCTCCGGTTAGCATAGCCGAATATAACCCACCCCTACACTTTTCGATACAGCATTAGAAGAGTCGCCACACTGAAGACTGCCGATGATAATAGGGTGTGAGCTCTAGAATGGATTCGCTAGGTTTACTATGTGCGTGCGATACGATCGAACCTTCTTTTTTCTCGGAGTCCTTACCGATCTAGGTGAACTGCCGTAGTGGCCCCCGTTCAAAGTTGTGCTAACTCATCGAACTCCGTGGGGCCAGAGGGGAGGCTAGAAAACTTGAGGTCGAGACTAACAGACTACAGTGGGGAGATCTGCATCAGATTAAGGTGAAACAGCCTCATCGCCGTAGCTGGGAAAAAGTTATTTTTGTAAGTATTGGCTGCTTAGTATTATACATATTGGTATGTATGTACGTACACACAAATGGTGGTGTGTCAATTTACTGCTATGTAGGCTTGTTACCTGCATTGCACCGGTAGATAATTTCCTACTAAGCATGTTACAGATGATAGGTCCTGGCTTGGTCAAATGTTTCGACGTTTGAACATTTTAATCACTAATTAGAAATAATATGGATTATTACGGCATATTCCTTGGAACAAGGTATTTATTGATGATAGGATTTGGATCTACGCATAAAAATCACTCTGAGATGAGCGCCCTAGGATCGTCACAACCCCCCAACGCAAATCCTATATGACATAACGGAAGATACCGAAAATCGAAACAGGTTGAATTTCAAGAGTGTCACCCTAGGTAATTTTGGGCACGGCATTTGTTAAGCATTGTATTCTTCAAATTCTAGAACGACAATGTCGTTTCCCATGATAACCTAGATAGTTAATAATAGCTATTAAGGTATGAATACCGCAGTACGTTAGGTTTGTATGTGGAGTTTGCTGCGCCTGAAGTATTCGTCTTCATATTAGATAATGCAGCAGAGACGAAATTCCCTGTCGAGCTGAAGAGAACGAACTCGAGGAAATCTAAGCCTCGCTCACTAATCTAAAAGCAGGATTAGCGCACTCGTGGTACCACGGGTCTTCGAACGGACCTCTAAAACGATAAACCACCGACATCGTGAATGGAAGAGTCTGATAGGTCGGTGTTCTAGTGCGTCCGACCTCCCGTAGTTCAACCCGTTTGAACCTTAGGTACACTTTCAAGGCTCAACGTGCGCTGGTGGACAATTCACCATGTCCGTCTCCGAGCCAAGGGAAACTTTACAAACTTCTTCACTTGCGGTAAAATCCGGAGCGCACGCACATGGAAACTCGGACACCAACCACATGTCTAGTAACTAGTAACTTTTTTTTTTTCTTTAAAAAAAGCCAATTGGCATGATGGATGCTTATTTCTTTAATTCCATTCTGCGCTTGGCCGTTGAAGCCAACGTTTTAACGCTCACCCCAAGAGTGTAAAGTCCGAGACGAGAATCCTATGTTTGGATCGGTGATTATTTACTTGGGTCTCGAACAACTTGTCGAATGAATTTACCATAATCCATCAGTAATACAAAGATGACGGCAGTGGCTGTGTGGCTAGGATCCAATCGAGCTAAATTTCCTCCTTTTTGGGGGAAGTTCGGGCGAGTCGCTCTGTCAGGGATCTTCACGTTCTGGCACACGTACTGTGGTACATACACTACTTGTTAAGTCTCGTATGTTGTATGGGACCGTCGCGTTTAGGACCATTGACCGAACCGGTTTACCAACGGCCAATTACCAAACTAGCGAGGGAATACATCATTGAAAAGGAAAAGAAAAAGACATGTTTGCATTTGTTTAGTACCTAGATCTTCTTAACACAAGACTAGTACATCGTAGAACTAGGAATCACATTGCCGTGGTCCCGTAGAGCCGACGGGACCGATTCAACAAGGTATCGCCTATTCTACCGGAGAAGGTTCCACGTTACTTACCTGTCGGTCGAACAATTGCAGCCGTTATATGGCCGTGGAAGTTAGTTGTTGTAGGATGCTCATGTACTCTATACTTCCCCATCTGGATTCCGAACACGAAATCTCCGCGATTAAGGAACCAAAACCTGGAGTACTTGCGACATGGTACAGGCTCAACTAGTCCTTTTTCTTTCTTTCTCTTTCGGCTGGTTCTTCCCAAACAAACCATCTGGATCTGATGCATGTGTGCTACAACCTACTAACCCTACTGGCATTTATGGGACAAATAAGTAGTGATAGTAACCAATGCATCGTGTCCAACTTCATTGAAGGATTCAATTGCGTCTTGATTCTCTTGACTCTTTTCGTCTGCTTGTCGTATCTGTTATCGTCATCATTCACCGCCAGCAGAGAAGGGTTCATCATCTTCGCGTTTATAGAAAGAGGCTATTGGGTCCGAAGCCTCGAGTAGGATGGTCGTCGTAATCCTTGAACTGCAGATGCAGTTCTCTTGCAGCAGAGGATAGTCACTGGTAACAAACAAAGGACAACAATTAGTAAGTTAAGTGGTTGTTAGTAGCAGTATACTGTAACTTGTTAATGTATTTATTATATGTATTGTACACAAGAGGATGTATACATAAAAATATAGACTAATGTACATGGCCTACCCTAAGATATATACATGTGCCACCATATAAAAGTATATTACACGTGAAGTACCGCCGGCGGCTTTCAGAACCACCTCCGTGTAAAGCACGTTTCGATCCGGCACTCTAATTGGTTCGGAGGAACTCGCATTCGGCCTTAGCACGATTGGGGACCATTGGCCGGGAAAGGGGCACAACCTTCGCACTGGCTTACGCGTCCTTCCCCTCTTTAATCGACTGTCCGACCCCTGTCAACCTGCCCGACAAGGCCAAGTACTTGCCAAGCCACCCAGGGACCTACAGGGGAAAGAGAGAGCCCACCCCCAGGAAGTCAGGAAAGTTTCCAAAGTTAAGGCACCTTGCAACTTTATTACTCTTAGCAACTTTAGACGCTCTTTCCCAGGCATCCATAACAGCCAAATCTTCCATCTGATCCGCGCTTCCCCTACCAATCTCACCATCTTTTCCCTCCTTTTCCCTTTCTTCCACACGATCAAACGAAACAACCTTTTTTCTTTCCCCTCTCACCTAAATCTAAATCTCTATACCTACACCTACACCTACAACCTAAACTTTTAACACGTTGCGAACGGTTAAAGAACCGAAACTTTATTCCCATCCATCCCTTCGAGTACAATAATAATCTAACAAAGCACGCGGCATATTGCTATAGCTGACAAGTTCCCTCTCTTTGGCCCAGTCCGGTCCAATTCTCACTATAGCAAGCACGAAACTCACGCACGACCATGTCGGCTTCTAGCCAGTCCTCAACGAGTCCCACGGGCGTCGTTGATCCCTTAGATCTACTCGACTTTTCCGAGTATGATACTGTACAATATCAATCACCTTCGGCCTCGCCAGCTACGGCCAATAAAGCCCAATTCGCAAGGGCTTCAGCAGCAGTCTCGACACCGACGACTATGCCTTCGACACAGACATTGACCGGTCCTAGTCATAAATATGACCAATACAAGCAACAGACGCCTTTCGTGCCGGGTGCCGTCGCTAGCACGCTTGCCATTAACCAGAGCAACAACCAAATTACTGGATACACGTTAGATTATATGGCAGCGGAAATGGGTTCGAATGAAGAGATGTTTGATTTCAACAGTGCTCCATCGCAAAACATGGATTTGGATTTCGAGTCTCAGCAGGATCCGTCTTTCTTTTTCTCCGAAACCATCAACCCTAATGCGATTGGAGGCGAATCCCAGACAATGCAATCGCCAACCGTCCCAAGTCAAAGCAGTAGCGTTGGAAGGATGTACCCTGGCATGCACCAACAGGCCGCCTTAGCGAAGGCTCAGGCTCAGCAGAGACAGCAACAACACTTAATTCAACAGCAACAAAGGCAAAACCAGGCTAAGCAACACCGACCTAAGGCCCCGATGCCCTCGGATCCCATTGTGGAGCAGAAGATTACACAGCTATTGAACTCGATGAGATCGAAGGCCGGTGCCTCTCCTAGCGATGGTGGTGATTCGCCTCTCATGCAACTTCCCCGGCCGAAGAAAGAGGAGGATGAGATGGACGAAGATGAAAGGCTTCTTGCTAGTGAAGAAGGAAAGAAGCTGAGCAGCAAGGAAAGACGTCAACTGCGCAACAAAGTATCTGCTCGAGCTTTCCGTTCCCGAAGAAAGGGTAAGATTTAGGACCTCTACGTGATGTGAGATTATGAATATGCTAACTTTGCGATAGAATACATTACTCAGCTTGAGAGTGAAATCGCCAGTAAGGTGACCGAGAATGGTGATTTACGGGCCCAGAACCGCGCATTGGTGGAAGAGAACCGACGTCTTTCGGATCTCACCCGCATGTTATTATCATCGCAACAATTCTCTAACTTTCTCGATCACCTAAGCTCCAATCCCGCTGCCATTCAGCAACAACAGCAGCAGCAGCAACAACCCGAGCAAAGGCAATCCGAGTCTCGTCAGGTCCCTAAGGATATCAACCCGTTCGCTGGTCAACAGAACCACCAACAGCAAATCGGCATGGTCATGATGCCTGAGCAAACTATGGACTTCTCTATGTTAAATCTTAACTCCGATGCCTTCAATTACCAACCCCAGGTCTTCACTGTTTTAGACACGCCGGATATGCCCGTAATTGATACCGAGGCTTTGGCCGGAAAGTCATCCAACTTCGTCGGCGAGTCTTTCACATCGGATGCCGAGAAGACCGATGCCCCGGTCCTAGAGGTCCCCGTTCTATCATCGGCCAAGTCACCTGAGCCTTTCGAAACCCCTACTGGGTTCCCAATTTCTCAGGAGGCTCCCGCTGATCTTGATGCCGATATCTATGATGACGAGATTTCGGTCTCATCTCAGAAGCCAGTGGAATTAAATACCGACAGCCTTACCTCCGTTGATATCTTCGGAGGCATCGAGTCGGACAAGGCACTTGCCCGACTTGAGCTTGTTGGTTCAGAAGAAGATACTGTTGCTATCGCCGCCGCGAGACGGGTTGAGCGTCTTGCCGCCAGCTTAGAATCCGTGATGGCTAGATTAGACATGCTCACAATCGGATTATAGAGCTGTTATAGTAACTAGTTTTTTATCTAAATTCATTGGCGATGTATTGGGTCCCGGTCAAATTGGCGTTCAAAGGGTTTGCATTGAGGGCGAAAAGGAACGGGTCGACCTGGCTTGAACGAAATCTCTTGAAATATTTATTTTTCTATTTACTGCATACAAATAAGTTCCTATACATTTTTGGGGGAGGTGTTCCAGCGTCGCGAGACTTATTAAGATGGAAGTTTACGAAGCGCTTCGGAAGGGTGCTACTTATGAGAAACAAGGATTGGATGGCATTGGATAGGCGTGTCCTTACGGATTCGTCCATATGTTGATTATAATAGATTAGGTAGTTGGCGTCCTTCAATTGATGAAGAATGTCAGAATCATCTCGGTCTTGGTATGATCTATTCTTGTCTCGTGTTAACATTGATGTCACCGTGATAGACGTCTGACTGGCTGCTGACAATTGCCTCGGACGGTCTTGGCTTTTATATCACCAGTTTTATGCATACTGTTAAAACGACGACCCAGACAAATTCACAATATATCAAATGATTCCTATTCCTTAAATCCGTTACATCATCCACCATGTACGCAGTTCTATGCATGCATATGCAAGCTTCGGCCCAGGTTGAGATATTGGACTCGGCCGATCATCTCAGGCAGCCCAAACACCACGCACGATCTCCATCCGACAGAAAAGAGGCGCCGAGCGACGTAGATGATAGGGTAAAATAAGAATCCTACATAGCGCCATATTACGCACTGATTGGCTCATAGGCTGCTGAGTAAAACAGAAGATATTCCCGAGCGATGCTTACAAAAAATACGGACGGAATAACGGAATGGGGTTTCCCACCTGTTTACGTCTAATGGTCTGGCCAACGTCGCTGGGTTGTATGCATGGAGATAAGATATGAAAAAAAACCCAACGCCGTGGCTACGAAACACTTGTATGTGGTATTTTACTGGATGCTGGCACGTGGATTTTCTAGGGCTCGTATGCATGTGCTGGTAGATCTACTTCGTATACCCTGGCCTATTACTCTTGTTTCGTCCCATTTTTTATTTTTTCTATTTCTTTCTTTCCTGAAACTGAGGTTCGACGCGCTTGACGGCGATAAGAGCGACAGAAACTTGCGATGTTGGCTGATGCTTGTGCTACAATGCGACGATACCAACATATTTCTCTGCAAGACGGTTCGTGTCTATATTTACTCCGTTGTCGCAAGTATATCGGTGTGTGTTTTACCCAGGATGACAACCATCTCGATGTAGGTAGATGATGCGCAGTACCGGTATAAAATGCATGTTGTTTCTTTTTAGGATTACAGGTACATGATAACACGTATTTGGGCTGCATTCCATTATTCATGCAAAGGGAGGGAAGGGAAAGGAAGAGAAGGATGCGATATCACAACAATGTATAATCTTGAATTCCTTGTTAGGACTACGCATCATTAGGCACCGTAGCTTAACGCCGAGGGACTCAGCTCAGCTTAGTATCATTAATCTCATTAATATTATTTTATAATTACTATTTCTTTCTTATAGCCTCGAATGTGGATTTTTATCATTGGGGGGTGGCTCTCTTTGCCCCGCGTCGCCTCTTCGCGTTTTGAAGAATTCCGTCTGAACTGATTCATATCCCACATATCCCATGGGTCAATGAGTTCGGCCCGCCGACAACGACTAAAAAGCGTAAGGCTGCTTTTCCCGATCCTTGCAGGAAAGTCCCTCCTCGGCTAGACCCTCGATGAGTGAGTGATTCAGCTACCATCCGATGCCACTTTCTGGTCCTTAAGTCCTAAGTCTCTTTTTCATTCGTTGGGTTGTGTTGTTGTTGGACTGAAATGATTCAGGCTGCGAAATTGGCCGGGCTTTGAATGTGATGATATCTCCGATCACTTCGCAACCCCCTTCCATTGTTTATGGCATTTTCAATACTCGATAATAATAAAAGCAACTTGAAACAAATCCCATCACCAACAAGTGCTAATATTATCCCATCAGAGAGACTCAAATCGCGATGATGTGAGTATCGTGTAACCCATAGTTAGCCTGCGAGGTAAGAGTGAATACTTACACACCTTCAGCTTCTCTCCTTTCTCCACTACTTATAGCCGCTTAGCACCGTCTAGTACCGTCGTAATGTTAACCCGTCGCATCCGGGCCAGGGTCCGTGGAGTGACATCACTATAGCGGTTCGCGCAATCGGTGTTAATGGCCTGGATTCGTTAGTGATCTACCCTAGTAGTAAGCTTCTTGGGTCCGAGAAGCATTACAAATTACATGTAGGTACCGTATACCATGCGCGGGATCCTCCCGAATAGACGTTTCTGGTTACACAGTCGTCAACGCATACTCTTTAAGATATAAAAACATACCCTTTCACTTTCACGTGGGATCCTCTAGTCCTCTCCTGGGAACATTCTTCAGTCAAGTTGTGCATTAGTTTGACTGATATGCCCAAAGTCGGCTTTTGTCTCCTCACATATACAATAAGACATGTCGCCGCGAACGAACCCCCCAGATGCTACGGGCCTGGTCATCGCCGCCCAGGACAACAACCATGGACCTTCGGCTGAGGATAGCAAAGAGATAGGAGTATTAGAGGGTACCGCTCGAGGCTCCGACAGCACCATCGAAGATGCACGTCGCGAGTACAACTACTCCAGTGATGAAGATGCTCGCTACGAGGAACCCCATCGTAGCGCCGGATTCTGGGATCCTAGGATGAAAAAGATTCGTGGGGAGGTCGTCTATCTATGGGTTCGAATGTGTTAGTGTACCTATCTAGATCACGATAACTTCACAAAACAGTAGATCGTATAACTTACCGCGTATTTCTCTCTAGTAATAATCCTTATGCTCTTCGTCACTGGCGTGTTGTCCCTATACTGGGCTGTCCTATTCCACGTCAGCAAGAACCTCCCCGCGCTTAACGTCCACGTCGTCGACTTCGATGGGCAAGTAGCACCATACGGCGACGTAACACCGCTTGTAGGGCCGGCAGTAAAAGCAGCGCTTCAGAAAATGACCAGCTCCCCGACGCAGAGTACTCTCGGCTTCGAAATCATATCCCCGGAACAGTACGCTTTCGACCCTCTCGCAGTCCGCCAGGCAGTCTACGACTGGCACTGTTGGGCCGCCGTCATCGTGAACCCGAACGCCACCGCGCTTCTTCAATCTTCCGTCGCAACGGGAAACGCGTCGTACGACCCAACCGGCGCCGTACAAATCATCATCCAGTCCGCGCGCCAGGAAACCACGTCCTCGAGCTACATCGTGCCGCAGCTACAAGCCTTCGTGCGGCAATTCAGCGCCGAGTTTGGACCCATGTGGACCGCGAACGTTATGTCCAACTCCTCACTCTCTCGAGATGCGATCGCGAACGCGTCCGCTGCAGTAAACCCCGGCGTCTCGCCCTTGCAAATCGACTTACGACCCTTCGGCCCAGCGAGCGCGACACCGTCCGTGAGCATCGGGTTGATTTATCTAATCATCGTGGCGTTCTTCTCTTTTGCGTTTTTCTTGCCGATTCATATGGTAAGTCGCCCATACCCTTTTCCTTTTTCTCCGCCATGACGTTTTGTGTCTCGGTGTGGTTACACATAACCACATCTGCGACAGCGGGGGGAAATGATACATGTACTGACATGTATAAAAGAAATTCATTATCCCGCAAGGCCACCCGCCATTACGCTTCTGGCAGTTGATCGCTTGGCGATTGGCGGCGACTATGACGACGTATTTCTTCGTGTCGTTGATATATTCGTTCGTATCCTTGGCTTTCCAGATTCCGTTTTGGCCTGAGCCGGCTTCGCCTATTGAACCTGCGTTCAATGCTACTGCGTACGGTCGCGCGTCGTTTGTGGTGTATTGGATGGTCAATTTTGTTGGTATGAATGCGTTGGGTATTGCTTGTGAGAACGTCGCTATGATTGTGGGACAGCCGTGGACGGCGTTGTGGCTTATTTTTGTGAGTACTTATTTTTCTTTTTCTCCTCCCTTGCGTTATATGGGCTTCCACATTTGTACTCCGGTGTGTGAGGTTTGTGGAACAGGGGTTGTCCACTGGGACACCTCTGAAGGGACTTCATATAAAATGGAGAGTCCTTTTTGGATGAAAGTTGGAATCAGCAACTAACTGATTCGCATAGTGGGTCATCACGAATGTATCAACGGGCTTCTACTCCCTCGATCTAGCGCCGGGGTTTTTCAAATGGGGATATGCATGGCCGCTTCACCATATCGTACAGGCGAGCCGACAGATTCTGTTCGATCTACACTCGGAGATCGGGTTGAATTTCGGTGTCTTGTTCGCCTGGGCCGCCATCAACATATGTCTCTTCCCATTCTGCTGCTACTTCATGAGGTGGACGCAGGAACGCGAGAAGCGTGCTGCGGAACGAGGCGCTGAGTCGTACGCTGTGTACGATGCTCAAGCTGAGGGCCAAAAGAAGAATGTCCCCAAGGAAAAGGGAATGTTACCGCCCGTTAGGAAGAGGGGGTTCATGAGGGGTATGTGAGAAAGGAATGGGAATGATAGATGATTTTTGAATAATGTTTTTTGTTTAATTTTTGGCGTGGAAGCAAGCCGGCGTTTGGTTAGAACCTTCAGTGGAACGCATAGACAATCAAGATAGAATACCTAGAAATAACTTTATACCAATAGATAGACACATGACCAACCTTGCACAGAGGTGGCGAGGAGTCATTGTTAACATTCCCAACTCAGCTCACCATATTCGGTTTTAAAAACGAAGCATTGACCTGATAAGTATAGGGATATGTTCAGATGATATAAGGGCGGACTCTGCATACTTGAATAATCCCCAACGGTATTCCGTAGCGCAACTTTAAGGCGCGCGGATGACTCCCTCGCGGAATTAATGCATTCGGCGCAAAGCTATAATTTATTTTATTTATTCATTTCTAGTTTGGGAGATGTGCTTGCGCTGACTAGGGCCACCCAATAAGTCTTAAATTGGAAGTCTCGAGATGCTACTGCAGTATGTGTACCACAACATGTAAATAGTGGCATGTGTGGTGTAGCTACGGTTCAGCTTCCGGCTCCTACGGCTAATCCCATCCAAATGTGCGGGTTTGGGGTGTTATCTTAGATGCCTAGATATCTAATTGATTCTAGGTAGCTTCTTAGACTAATACAGTCATAATATTTCGGTGCCGTTTCCGCATCGCGGAGTTAAGCCTAAGGATTCAGCTTGTCTACAGTTAGTATAGTGATAAATTACAATGGAACTACATTTTGGAGCTGATATACAAACCTATCAAGCACCATACAATCCGATATCGTACACCCTCGGCTTCCTCCGAATATGGAGATAACTATTGGATGACCCCGCAGGATATCGCCGTGAAAGAGCTTCTCTCTTCTGGACTTTACCTGGGTATAAACATATGCTTCTCGTGATAGAATTGGTTGTTCCATAATTGTAATAAACCTGGCTAGATTACTGTTGCAAAACATAAAGATTAGTATCAACACAAATACCCATGGGTGATCATCAAGACTCCCGGAAGGCACCCGGCCTACCGATAACCAATCCTTGTGTATCTTTTTGGCAACAGACCACACGATCGTTCCCCTACCTTAATATAAATAAAGATGAACCAGTTCCGATAGAATCCAAATATGTTGTTATTGGGTCTGGTATTTCCGGCGCTCTGACGACTTATGAGTTGATTCAAGGGGGCGTGTCAGCAGAAGATATAATCATTCTCGAGGCGAGGGAGGCCGCAAGCGGAGCAAGCTCAAGAAATGCGGGACATGTGCGACCGGGTCAGTCAGTTAATTGAAATCCGATATGTACCATAATCCACGATGCTAATTTAAGGGATCTAGATGCGTTCCGTGGGTTTCAAGTCTATGAGCAATTGCATGGGAAAGATCAGGCTTTGAAGATCATCGCTAACGAGAAGCTCGTCTTCGAGAGGATAAAGGAGTTCGTAGAGGCGCATGGGGTGCAATGCGATTTCAACCCTACGACTACTTTCGATGTGTGCATGACGCCGGAATTTGCCGACTTCAACGCACGTAGCTTCGAGCTGTATCGAGAGGCCGGTGGTGATGTTTCGCACATCAAGTTCTACGAAGGCGAGGAAGCGCGGAAAGTAACCCGTGTAAATAAAGCGGTCGCCGCTTATGAGTGGCCGGCCGGCTCAAGTCATCCGGCCAAGTTGGCCCAATGGCTCCTCACACAATCCATAAATAAGGGCGTGCGACTGTTTACCCATCGTCCAGTTTCGGCGGTGACTAAGTCGGCCTCTTCTACTGCCGATCGGGTCTTTTGGGATGTTGTGACACCCCGGGGAAGTACGAAGGCTTCTATAGTGGTACACTGCACGAACGCCTTTGCGCCATTTCTTCTGCCGGAGTTATCGAATTTCATCACGCCAAATCGCGCACAGGCGCACGCCTTCGTACCTCCGGCGGCGTTTGCTGCGTCTAGCATACTACCAAGCACCATGTCATTGCGCCATACGCTAAAGCACTTCTATTCAGTGGCTCAGCGACGCCCGGACGGGATCCTTATCCTCGGCGCGCCGGTCGCGAACCCGAAAATTAGCCAGGAAGCATCGCAAAGTCGGTTCACTTCCGATGATAGCTTTATCAATGGGGAGGTTCGTGATGATGCTGTTGGTAATTTTGAGATGTGCTTCCCTGAGTGTGAGAAGGGGAAGCTGAGACATGGGGAGGGTCTGCTGCATACGTGGTCTGGTATTATTGGCATGACGACGGATTCGGTGCCTTTTATAGGTAAGGTGGAGAGTCTCCCGGGACAGTGGGTGTGTGCTGGTTTCAATGGCCATGGTAAGTTGACATCTAAGGAGTAATTTGGGCCGTAGAGTACAGTGCTAACGCGATTATTAGGCATGGCGAGGATATTTACTTGTGCTCCAGGAGTCGCAAAACTCATCCTTGGTGGATCATGGCAAGACACTGGATTACCTGAATGTTTCGAAATAACGAAGGAGCGCCTAGAAAAACTCCAAAAAGGAGTTCCCGGGACAGTGTTCTAACCAATCTTATTTCTCGGACGCGATAGTCGCCTAGACAAATGTTACATTGCTCGCTAAGGTAATAAGTCTGAAGGTGATTCTTACCGCTTCATGCTGTATCCTGATATAAATCAAGTATAACGACGCACTGTTCTAAATATATTCCAAGCTCCAATTTCTAAACTGCAGATGCGCTCTCCTTTCTTATTCTTGGCCCTCTGGCAAAAGAGATCTGTCTAAACCTCATAGCCATATCCCCCCGGTCGCCTTCTCGTTCAGAGTCAGTCACAGCCTCTTTATCCCTAGTAGGTACATTTGGAGGGGTTTGATTCGAAGCTGGCCCATTCTTGGGAAGGCCTAAGCCGGACCCATGACCAGAGGGAATGGGGGTTCTACTCCGAGACCTAACAATATCCACGCTCGGGACAGGTCCATTTCTGGACCTGGGTCGCGTCGTTTTCCCAAGGATCGTGCTATTAGACGTGCTGCCAGCCCCACTACGACTTAACAAGCCGCTAAAGAAGTCCTGCGCAAATGTAGTCTCCAGATCTCGGGGGCGACCGTCGGTCGTCCAGTAGCGCTCGTTACTGAGATCAACGCTCAAATGACGGCGGAAGTAGCGGTCTTGATTGACCCACCAAGCGCGCCAGCCAGCGACGATAATCAAAGTTAGCGGAATGGTAAAGGCCCAATAGATCCAGAATGATGGCATGACCACAGGGCGGGGCCAGCCGTCAGGTGCATCCTCGGATATTGCTGGGTCGCCTGCAGTACCGGTCTCCCAATCGAACATGGATACCCCGAATAGAGTACCGATGTACTCGCCAGGCAGGAAGATGGCGGTAATTACAGCTAGCGCTTTCATCGATGAGCTGTCTCTGGTGGATGCTACCGCCATGCGTGCATTGAGGTTGTTATCCTCTTGCGCCATCTTGGAGTAGATGATGTCGATTTGTGCTCGGCATCGTAGCTCTGACATGCGTCTATCTGTCTCAAGTGAGGTGCAAAGTCGCCAGGTACAGTCCAGATACTGCCTGATCTCATGCCAATGGACCGAAAGTTCTTCGTCTATTTCCGCTTCTTCGGCCTTGAGTTGACCCTTGGCTACCGTCTGAGCTCTCAATTCCTTTACGCGTACGTCTAACTCGTCGCCGGCTTGTATTATAAGTTTTAAAGCGCGCTCCATCCACCTAAGGGTGTCGAGAAGTTGAATTGCTCCTTTGAGCACGTCGTGAGCTTCTTTCATTAGGTGGATAGTCTGTGGCGGCACATAATCTGGGTCGAAGTACTTGCTTGTCTCTGGAGGAGGCGCTGGTGTGGTACTATTTGAGAAATCATGACTTCGTCGCCCTGCTCCTACCTTGGATTCCACCATCTCTTTGAGATTTGACGACAGGCGCTTGAGAGGTTGGAAGTGATGATGCTTCTCAGCTTGGTGACTGTTCCGCCACCAAGCTTCCGCGTTTGCTCGCCCTGTAGTGCCTGTCACGGAGTCGACATGTGCCTCAAGTTCCAATACTTCTGCATTGTTGGCTTGCACTGCTTCTTCCGTACGGAATAGCTGTACTTGTAATAGGACAACAGGGAGCACGAGAGGGTGAGACCATCGTGCTCTGCAAGAGTCGAGACGTCGCTCGTATTCGTCTAGCGCATCTTCGGCATGCCAACGAGTGTCGAAGGAACGCCGTATCAGGGCTGTCGTCGTCCTCGTGCGTAACTTATACGCCATCGAAAGGAAGTCATAAGGTGGTTGTGGATTGGAAGAAAAGCTTAGAATTAAGTCTCGGCTATGTTAGTAAGTCTAATATAAAAGACTATGTCAAGCTAACTTTTTTTTCTGCCTAAGCTGTTTTGCTGCACTTACATACTGTCTCTTTTCTTGAGTCCCAGAACAGGGACTCGAGGGTCAATCGTTGCAACGTGGGCAGAGTGCCTGAATGTAAACCGAGAGATTCATAGTCCTCCACGGTGAGATGTAACCCATCGTGGGAACTAGTGCCGATACCATCTGATTCGGGGCGAACGCGTCTATGAGCAATCCTATGAATTTGTTCAGCCTTCACGATGAAATGATAGAAACATAATAAATTCGGGCTTTAGTGGAACGCCCGGGTTACCTCGGCTCGGAGTTCGGAGAAAGGAAGCGGGAAGAAGCCCTATGTTTGCGAGAATTACTTACACCTGCCGCACTCTTCCCTCAAGCAAACGCTTTCCCTTGGGTGTAGCTGTGAAATTTCCCTATATATGTCAACCAATTGATCCTTCTTTATTCTCCAGCTTTTCATGATGGGATTTTGGGTGTCAGAGTAGTCATTTCGTATGGTATAACTCACTTCGTCATCTAAGCCATGGCCGTTCCTAACCGCATTCCGAAACATCTGCAGCCCCTCCTCGCCTTCGGACATAATACTCGGTGAGCGTGTTTCACCACCAGGTTCATTCGGCGCAAAAACCGCATACTCGTGATACGAAACACGGCTCTCTCCACCTGGCGGGAGAAGAACGTCACGTACTAGCTCACGCAAGTCGAAGTTGAATAGGTTCAATTCGTCAAGACGGTGCCGTTGCTGCTGCTGCTGCTGCTGCTGTCTTCCTTGGCCTTGTGTAACGGAGGACAACGCACCCATGCCAGGAACCAGACTCCCGCGACGTGTGCTGGGTGCTGTACGACGACTCTCATTCCGAGTCGGAGGCCCGGATACGGCAGCTAACTGGTGCCGCGCCTCGCTGAGCGCAATGTCCAGCTCGTCGAGGTTGTAGTCCGTATTCATTATCGCCGTCTACAACCACGTGGGTATATTCAATATGAACTATTCACGCTAGCGAGATTTCCAAGTACACGCCAAGGCAAGAAGGATAAATGTGAACAACAGCAAAAACAACAACAAGAAACAAGAAACCAATTAGAAAGCCCAATGCGCTTAAAATATGAGTTGCATCGGAAGGGTATGTTAGATCGTCATCCCATCCACCCAAGAGACTTGAGGCTGATTAGCATGTTTCTTGATTGATTCTTCAGCGTCTAACCAGGAAATTAATGCAATTGCCAAGAATTTAGGGGCTGTGTGGAATATTCCTAGCTGCCTTACCCAGCCGCTCAGTTGTCACGGTACGATGTGGAGTTCAGATCCAATTTTTCCCTTTAATTATGACCTCCACTCTCTAAATTTTGTTACAATATCAATTAGAAATTCCCATTTCATTGTGTTTGATGCCGTCGAAGATCTGTTCTGTTAAATATTCGTATCACTATTTTCAAATTTTGAGTAGTCTCGAATCTTCTCTACACTTGCGATATCCACGGTACATTTTAATTACAGATAAATATTCGGCAATACAGCTCGTGAGACTTAGTTCTCGAATAATCATATTACGAGAATACCCTTACCTAGCCAAAAGTGTCAACCCTAGCAACCATCCCCGCAGGGACGGCGTGACAGCGGCAAGAATGATATCAGACGTACACGCACGTTAATTTATAAAGATTGTAGGCTATAATGATGCCAGAGATCTCATCGGTTAAGAGCGCCGATAGTATTATATAAGGTTAAGCAATAAGATAGGGTACCTCTGGTGATCTGGCTCATGTCTCGGCCGAAACCGCGGCAATGTCCACTTGGTATCCTTTGAATTGTCTCGCAGGTACTTTCTTATCGAAGAGCAGATCTAGCTCTTCATAAGATCTACCTTTAGTCTCAGGAATACGGAAGTAGCCCCAAACGAGACAGATAATTCCAAGCCCACCAAAGAAGTATCCTAGCTTGCCCTGCATGTTCGCCTCGGCAGGATTGATCATATATGGAATCGCGACCGTCATCGCGATGCCGAAAACTGCTTGCACTGCGGTGGCTACCGCAATCGTTTTGGATCGGACACGCGTCGCCGAACACTCTCCAAGGATCACGAACGTGATGGGCCCCACCGACAGATCGTACACACCATTCCATATCATCATGAGTGTGCTTTCAGCCCAAGCAACACCTGAAGGACGACCCGGTATGCTATCTAGAATGCCGATAATGAACATCAAGACAATGAGGAAAAACAAGCCAACATTGAATATGCGTCTTCGGCCAAAACGCGCGAGAAGAAACCAAGATATAACAGTACAAACCCAGCCCATAGCTACGAATGCCAGTTAGCGGTTACTCCGATTTAATAATTCTTGCTGGGGAAGGGATAACTCACCAAGGAAACCGATACCCATGTAGAACGCGTCCTGGGTGGGTAGTCCAGCCTGTTCGAAGAAGTACGTCCCATAGTTGATGAGGTATATACCACTGAGGACTTGCGTAGTATATACGCCGGTAGATATCTCAGTTCGTCGCAGATTGACACCCTTGATGGTGTCCAAGTAAGTGCTGCCAGCTTCCATTTCCAACTCAAGTCTGTCGGTTTCGGCAATGACAGCTAGGGTCGCGTTGACGTCTACTTTCGCAGATGACAAGCGACGCAGAGCATCTCTAGCATCATCCACCCTGCCCTTGCGGACTAACCACCAAGGTGATTCCGGGATGAAGACTATGCCAGGAATAATGATCAGAACCCAAAACCACTGCAACGCGAATGGAATGCTATACGCCCAATGATTTTCAAGCGGGGCCGTCCCAGCAGTGATCCCATTCCCAAGAAGCTGGCCGGTGACGAAGCAGAGATTGGTATAACTCGTCAGAAATCCACGGAGCGCCACAGGACAGACCTCGGAAGCGTATGTTGGGCCAATGACAACGAAACATCCAAGTACTAGACCCCCCAGCAATTCTCCGACGAGTAAGACTTGGAGCGAGCGCGCCCAGAATTGGATGAAGACGAGACATGCTGTAAGGACGATGCAAGTAAAAAATGTCCATTTGCGACCGAACAATTCCAAAGGATAAGCGGAGAATAGTGCGCCGACTACTTGTCCGATGGGGTTTCCTAATGATAAGCCGGTCTGCCACGCCGCGGAAATGACATACTAAGTTGTTGAATAATCCATGGTTAGTTTCCATGCTGTTATTGAGCACCTAAGTCTACTATTGGTATGAAACGATAATAGATATGGTACATACCTCGCCGTCCAGCTCAAATCCAAAGTCTTTTTGGAATTGAGGCATCGCGAACATATTTCCGATAATTTGGGGATCAAATGCTAGCATGATGACGCCTATCGAGACGAAAGCTGACCACCCCACCGCCTTCGGATACAACTTCACTGCTTCCCAAAAAGTCAGATCATTTTCTTGTTGTATCGCTTCGGCCAGCGCGATATCAGCGCCGCCAGACTTGGACGGCGTATCGCTTCGTGTCGCCATTATCGTCGTCCCGTCAAGATTCGTTACACCAGATTGAGATGCATCGGTAGGGCTGGCGTCCTCTCGGGGGATATTAACGAAAGTACCGTAGTGGTGGGATCGCGTGTCCATTTTATCTATCTACCTGTCCCCTTATCATTAACCCATGCTATCCAGATTGCCGGCTACTCGAGCTGCTCGAATTGGGTACGCTTGTTATCCGGAACTGGCTAAGGATTACAGGGTGATCCGGCTGAATGCCTCGCCTTATAGGTTGGTAACGTATCCTAAAAGGAGGGGAAAAATCAGGGGTGTCTGGGGAAGATGAAAGAAAATCATAAAAAGATATGCAACGTGCGACAGGGTTCTATATTACATACATGGCTCGCTATTCTATCAGCTGTGCGTCGTATATAATACGCGTGGCCCATATGAGAGCAGGGGATTCAGACTGCATCTAGACATCTTATTTCTAGAGTTTGGATATTTGAAGTTTAGAAAACAAAACCGATTTTCATTGTGGATGGTGCTATCTACCTAGGTAGGAAGATTTGCTTTTGCTGAAGAGCACGAGTCGTATGCAAGTCATCGCATCCTATCTGGGTAGTGATCGTCACTTACAAGATTAGGTGTTTATATTGATGCCTCAGGCCATAAAGTATTATTATACAGCTTATGAAATTCGCATGATCATAACGCGACTCAAGCTTCAGAGATCTCACTCATCACGAGGTTATCCCCATCAAAGCGACGGCGAGTAATGTGAGAGCGATAAAGCTGGTCGTAGTAGATGGCCTGCATATGATATGTGCCACTTCTAGTATGCTGATGAATAGAATAGATCATAACGGTCATGTCGAAATGCCCCAAAAATTACAAACAGAAGACCTGACCGCCACGTCAAAATGAATTGCAATGCCTCGGCCAACCAACCAATACAACATACATCCTCTCATCTATCATGACATAACAACATGCAGGAAATGCGATCGGCGTTAACACCGAATTTCTAAAGCGCCGCTGGACGATCGCGGCGATAACTCAATGCTGCATTTTATATATACGGTGATCTACTTGCTATGCAAAATGATTACTCATTATGCCGATGACCTAGGTATTGCTCTACGATACTCCGGGCTTTAAGATACTATAAATTGTGTAACTTTTCCAAGGTAGGGCATCAGAATGTAGGTATCACTAACCACGACTTGGTATATTGTCAGTTTTGCCAGTGTTTAAGATGTTTCCCAAAATCAATTTCTTAAGCGCAATTTTGCCTCTCAGCGCAGCATTATCCCAACTGAGAGCTGATCTTTATAATGCTCCTCCTATTCCTGCAAACGCAACTCTTCCGGATGGCTCTGTCGGATTTTGGCAGCCTACTGTTGTCACTTTAATATCTGGACAGTCCGAGGCCGTACTTATCGACACACTCTTTACATCTGATCAGGCCGTTGCTCTCGCTAATTGGATTGAGGACACGATTCCCGACAAACGCCTTACCACCATATACATTACTCATGGACATGGCGACCACTGGTTTAATGTACCATATATGAAACGGCGCTTTCCGGGTGTGGAAATCGTTTCGACACGGAAATCAATCGAACATATGGCGACTCAGTTAACGCCGGAGTTTCGGACTTTCTGGCATCAACTGTTCCCCGGACAAATCGACGAGGAGTCATTTCAGATCCAAGCCAAGCCCCTCGAGGGTAATAAATTCATGCTTGAAGGACATACACTCGACGCTGTCGATGTCGGCCACTCTGATACGGATGAAACGACATTCCTCTACGTGCCTTCGCTGAAGATGGCAATCACAGGAGACATCGTCTACAATGATGTACATATGTGGATGGCAGAGTCCCCACTCCAGGGCCAGCGGGATGCTTGGGTGCGATCCCTGCATAAAGTCGCATCGTATCATCCTCACATTGTTGTCGGTTCTCATCATAGGCCTGGAGGTGTAGACGGAGCTTTCAACATCGACGCCTCGGAGCGGTATATTAAGACATTCGACGAATTAGTGCGAAAATCCGAAAATGCAGAGGATTTATATAGCAATGTGTTGAAGGCATATCCTAATAGGATAGGAAGGTTGGTGTTGTGGCTAGGTTGTCAAGCAGTCATATCACAAAAAGACCGGTCGACTCAACCGCCTCATGGTAACGAGTTATAAAAGTACAGTTATTTGGCGTAGTCGGTGGCCTGACCTTGGGGTGCCGGGCATCCCTTATCGCTATTTTACTGCTATAAAGCAGACTTTGATTAATTTGGTACCTAAATGCTTAGGAGGCAGGCAGGACATTCGCTATGCCGGTCTCACATCATGCACCATGAGGTCTGTTTTAGGGTCGGGAGGGTGTGATACAAATGATACTATTGACGCCTTGGCTGAACTAGCTGGCACCTCTGGCGCTAAATATTTGGAGCAGGGGCTTTTCGCCTTCAGCTAGGGGCTCTACATGTTTTGGATATTTATCGTAGAAGGTGTAGGTTTCCAGATAGCTTGAATGATCACTTAAATCTCCACGAACCCCTTGCTTACCTAAGTATCTCTTTGAGTATAGCCTTGCTTGGTCGCGACGTACCCCTAAGCGCCGTGATGCAAAATGGTGTCTGGACCCATAGTTATAAGTAAAATGGATGGGATCATGCAGGCTGGCTGCCAAGCTTCAAAATGGGATTTCGTTTCTCTCGCTCCAATTTGAATTGTGACATATCGTCTTCTGCCCCATACTCGCTGCCCTCTACTCTAGGCCATTGTTAAGGCGAACAACGAATGGCAGGTGGACACGGTAATGCCATTTTACTAGACATAGAGACCATTTCTTCTTGCTAGAATCTCTAGAGTCTTTTGGCCCAACGCGCACGCTTCTAGAAATATCGTTTGAAAATGGCGAGGGCAAGAGATATCCAACCTGGACTAGAAGTTGTTGAAAGATATACGGCACCAGAAGTGAGTATCAGATACGTTCCTCTTCTAGCTGAATCCTATACTTACGTGAATGCTACTAATCTGAATGATGAAAATCACTAATCTTCGCGATAGGTAGTTCCTAACGAGTATAATAGGGGGTATGGAGACGGGCTGGAGGTGCTATTAGCACAAGTAGGTGATAAAAAGGAGGATGATACACCGGAACCTACTCATTGGAACAAATCGCGGCGGCGCCTCATCATTATTGCCGTAGCAGCTTCGCTTGTCGTTATTGGAGCTGCCATAGGAGGCGTCCTCGGGGGTCTTGCGAGCCGCGACCACAACAATAACACTGGAGAAACACCAACCTCACCAGCTCCCACAGCCACAGCCACAGCAACTCTACAGTCGCTCCGGCCGAATTCAAAACTCGCAGTCGCAGGATGGCGAGCCAGCGGAGGTTTGGGGTTCAAGATCCGACTATTCTATCAGGATAGAAATGATACTCTTAGGTTTTCCGAGTTTTCGAGTGATGGAGGAGGTTGGTCGGCTTCCAACAAGGTCTCATCTAGTCAAGTATTACCGGGAACATCCATAGGGGCCTCGGCCTCCGTTTGGGATAATCCTGTTAGTCAATGCATTCCAATCTGTCTTCCCCTCTTCGAGAGAGGATGGTCAAATTTGATTCCAAGGCTGATGAGAGTTCTAGCCACGATATGAGTTATTTTGGCTCAATACATCGTCGATGCTTAGCGGTCAAATTTTCCGCTAGGATGGGACTACACCGCTTGGTGGCTCATCCGACTCTGTGAATGATTATCCAGTTGCGGCATATGACAGATCTATAGTAGCTTTGTATTGGCCTTACGCTGTTATACAAGACGTTGGCGGAAATTTGAGGCTAGTCACCTACCAAAGTCCAGGGGCTTACTTCAACAATTCAATAGGCTTGTCCGGCATGGAAAGTACAGGGATGGCCGTGATTCCAAGATCAGCCAAGTACAAGACACCTTGGACTGCGGAACTTATATATCAGATGCCCAATGGGCGTCTTGAAGGCTATACGTTAAGGTGGAATACATCGGGGCAAGGCTGGGACATCGGTGAGTTGGGTCTTTTCGAATACTAGAACGTTGATGTGGTAGTAAACAGGCTAACCAAGACCAACTGAAGGCGTTGACAACGCTATACCACAGCGCACGGCCATCGCGGCGTTCTCAGTAGCTAAAGACAACAGCGGCAGTGGCGATGATATCATCGCGTACGTTGTATACCAGAGTGCGACCAACGATATCGAACTCCTTATAAATGACGGCTCCACATGGAATTCGAGTACTGTAGCCTTAGGGGGCGCTGATGCCGGCACGGATATTGCATGTCTTACGGAATCCTTGTGGGGAGGTGATAATGTGCTATCGAGTAGATACGACATGAGTAGATGTTATTTCCTGTCTAGTGGCCAGATACGGGAAGTGTTATATAACGGCACAGGTTGGGAAGAATTAGGGAACATACCTCTAAGTTAGGGGGGTAAGTCATGGGCTATTTTGGTGTATCATTTATATAAGGATGGATAATGGGGGTTGGCACCCCTCGGCGAACGGGTGTCATTATATAAACCAGGATTCGGCGTTCACCCAGCACGGAATAGAAACTTTGGCACTAGAAATTGATTAGGTACATTGGTGTTAGTCTTAAACGCCAAGCCCACACTTAGATGCTATTCCCTAGCTCTCCGATGAGCTCTGTCTTCGGTGCCGACGACTATACGGATTTAAATAAAATCAGATACCAAAAGCCTGCTGTGATAGCTCGCTATCATACTCATTTCTCATCATCCTTCCCCTCATCCTTCTGCTTCCCTTCTTGGGAGTCTTTGCCTTCATCCCCTTCATCCCCTTCTCCCTTCCCTTTTTCCTTTTCCTTTTCCTTTTCACTATCCTGATCCTGATCCTTATCCTCATTTTTATCCTGTTCGCTGTTCTTGTCTTTCTCCTTGCTGTCATCTTTATCGTCACCCTTGTCCTTCTCACCACTCTTATCTTCCTTACCACTCTTATCATTTTCATCATTCTTATCCTTCTCGCTACTCTTCTTCTTCGCTTCCTCTTTAGCCTTCTTTTCCTCTTCCTTCTTCTTCTTCTCGGCCTCCTCCTTTTCTTTCTGTATCTGTTCCCTTTCCTGTTCCTCAAGCTCCTCCCATTTCTTAGAGTAGCTCTCTTCGCGACGGTGGTCGTGAACCTTCTCGTTTAGGCCACTGAGTCTTGGCTTCGCATCGCCAACCTTCATTCGTCCAATGAGAGTAATAACGATAGCAGCTCCTACGATAGCCGTTAGGACAAATCGATAAATTCCGTACCAAGATGGCGCCCAGGCTCGGGTGGCAGCGCGGGAATCGGCGAAGTACAACATGACGAACGCCGCGAATTGTGAGGTCAGTGCGAAATCCATGGGCATAAGCAAGGTTGGCCAGGCTACTATTGGCGCTAGGACACCAAGTCCGTATCGGAACCGCATGCGCTCTCGGTTAGGTATTTTCTCGGCATATTCCATACCCCAATGAACCGCACCAAGAAAACTGATTATAATGGCGCCGTAGCCTAGTTGTATAGGTTCGATGACGCCCAGTAATTGTCGAGCAGTGTCATGACTGATCAATATATTGTTCACAAAGCTGGATGAACTCGGCCACTCTGTGTTTAGATCCCACGATAGGTAAACGGTGGATAGCGATGTAGCAAGGTACGGTAAAGTGCCGGCGAGGCCTAAAACGTAGGGCTCCTTCGGAACACTAGAGAGGGCAAAGGTGTCTTTGACGGTTTCCTACATTCAATTCGTTAATTTATTGCCGGATTTAGGGGATGTAAGTACGGGTAGCTATACCAGATCATCCCTGATACCATGCTTAATAGGCTTTTCTCCCTTTTGACTGTCGGGTTCGTACAAATGGCGAACACTGGATCCTGTGGAAACTACTTCTGGATGGGCCTCAAGCTTCTGTTGGCCGATCCTCTTCTCTTCCTCTGGATCTCTCCCATGTTGGATGCCACTCGGCGTCTTAGTGGAATACCGAGCTTTATGTATAGATGGTAGACATTGGGAGATAAACGGTCTGGAACATAACGATTTAAATGTAGAATCTGTGTGTATTTTTTGTAAATATGGTTTAGGTAGCGAGGAGATTGGTGATTTTTGCGAGAGGAATGCCCTAGAAGAGCTTGTTAAGAAAGGTCGTGTGCTTCGTAGCATCGTTGTAGGTTAACGCATCTAGCGTGGCTTCAAAGTAAGTAAGATAGAATAAGAACAAAATTCACGCCAAAAGAGCTAGGTTTCTATTGCGATTCTAATACAATTTAGAGTTTGTAAATGACTGGTTTATCAATGTTGTGTGGCCATTTATTAAGGGAGGACGATGAAGGAGATGTAGGTAGTTTGCTAGGTACAGGAAGCTAAGGCTGTTAGACTGAGCCGAGGAGCCGGCGAATGTTAAAAGAAAAGAAAAAGGAGCTCCCCTACCCCGAGACGGGAAGAATTGATGCAATTACGTCGTCAGAGCCCCCTTTCGGCAGCCGGCATCTGAGAGGTCTTTCCCTGAGCTGTTCCTGATCGCGCTTGATGTAAACCGTACTTAATGACGTAATGAGTTGGACTTGTACTGAGTAGATCCCGGTCTGTGGCTTTGAGATTACTCCCAACCCCTCTATTTGTGGCTAAAGATTTACGTACTCCAATGTTCGTATGGCTCTCATGATGTAGTATCTAGTACACCTAGGTATTTAAAATAATTTGGTGTGTAGGGGCTTACAACTACTTCAAGAGTGAGATAGATTGACATTTCATGTTCATCATCTACTATATCGTAAATCAATTACACACGTTCAATGTACATTATGTGGCGCAAATCGATGTACCTATTAGTACTCCACCATATAGACAAAAGAGCGCTATGATTGGTCAAATTTCCCTAAGCTTATATGCCGGGTACCTTAGGAATTTGGGGTCGAACCATAAACTTGGACCAGCAACAGCGTCATCACTTCCTCTAAACCAGGCAACCTTTAAACAAGGTCTGACTCTGAGAAAAAAACAACCAACTTTGTACCTCACAGCATATTTTGCCATAAATCGATAATTGATGGGCTCGGTTGGGTTGTTAACAATACTTTTCCTTGCATAAAATATTGAAGCCCAATCCACTTTTATTTGCTGAAGAATTGCAGAATTGGTCGTCGACTTACCAACACCACCCAATAATAACGACCTACCTTTCTACCTACCTCATCTGTACATAACAATTAGGCACTCGATTTATTTTCTTGATCTTCAAGCTCTCAGCTCCATAGAGTGTCCATCCTACACAGCCTCAACTATTCCTCCTTCCTACTCCCTACTACCTCTTTATAGGGTATTCTGTTTGCTCTTGGTCGTCTATTCTACACAATTAAACGACAAAATCGATATTTCCACATCCAACTCTTCTCAAACTCTTTGTGTCGGCGCACGTGTCTCATGTCCGATTCCTGCTAACGATGCGATACTCAATAACGAACTAATGATTTACCTACCTTCTACGTATTCTCGCTCGATATAACACGCAATCCTCTCGGTCGCATAATTCTGACGATACGATAATCGGCCGACCGACCGTAGCGTTGTTTTATTATAACAAATCACTATCTCCCGACATAATTGCGTCCCCGCAGATGAAGCGACTTGATACTCCTCATTAATACGCGAACTCGTCCCGGCCCGGGTTACGGCACAATACAGTCAAGATGTTGGAAGGCTTGGTTGCGGGGTTGCTCAACCGCTTCTTGGGCATGTACGTCAAGAATTTTGACCCCGCCCAATTGAAAGTTGGTATATGGTCCGGCGATGTGAAGCTACGCAACCTCGAGCTTCGCAAGGAGGCGCTTGACCAACTCAAACTCCCTATCAATGTCATAGAGGGACACCTAGGAGAGTTAACCCTCGTCATACCTTGGTCCAATTTACGAGGAGCTCCAGTAAAGGTGTTTATCGAGGATGTGTTCTTGCTTGCATCTCCCAAGGAAGAAGCGGCTTACGATGAAGATGAAGAGGAGCGTAGGCGACAACGATTGAAGATGGAAAAACTCGATTCTGCCGAACTCTTGAAAGAACGATCCCAAGAAGGACTTAACCAGGAGGAACAGAAGAAAAGCCAGAGCTTTACAGAGAGCTTAGTCACTAAGGTTGTTGACAATCTGCAAGTCACTGTCAAGAATATTCATGTTAGATATGAGGATTCTTTATCCGCGCCTGGCCATCCTTTTGCGCTTGGTATCACTCTCGCTGAGTTCAGCGCGGTCAGTACTAATGGTGAATGGAAGCCTACCTTCATCCAAAATTCTACCGATACTACTCACAAGCTGGCCACGCTTGGCGCATTAGCAGTTTACTGGAACACAGACACTACGTTACTCGGACCAGGCCGTGAGGTAGGCAATGAGGATCAGTCAATGTCTCATGGTGATATGATAAAGAGCTTCAAAGATATGATCGGCAATGGCAATGATACACCATCGACCGATCATCAGTTTATTTTGAAGCCGGTGAGCGGCCAAGCTAAGATTGAACTAGACAAGACAGGCGATGTGCATGTGCCGAAATTTAAGGCAAGCTTGCTATTTGACGAAATTGGTGTTGTTCTTGATGATGATCAATATCGAGATGCTCTAATGATGGTTGACCTCTTCCATTACTTCATTCGCCACCAAGAATACAAGAAGCTTCAACCAAAGGGAGTAACACCGAAGGAAGACCCTCGTGCCTGGCTCAAGTTTGCTGGAAATTCAGTGCTTAGTAAGATTCACGAGAGGAATCGTCGATGGACTTGGGATTACTTTCGAGAACGTCGCGATGATCGACGTCAGTACATTGAATTATTCAAGAAAAAGAAGGCGAACCAGCAGCTATCGTCACAGGAAACTGAGGATCTTAATAAGCTAGAATGGAAGCTCGGGTATGAAGATTTGCGCTTTTGGCGATCTTTAGCCCGCAATCAACTGAGAAAAGAGAACGCCGAAGCGCTCAAGAAGGCACCAGCGAAGAAGGATCAACAACAGCAAGGGTGGATATCCTGGGTATGGGGTTCTAAGCCGGCTGAAACCACGGACTCGGAAGAGGAGAATACCCAAATAACTGAGGAGCAGCGTAAGGAGCTCTACGAGGCGATTGATTGGGATGAGAAGACCGCCCTCGCCGAAGCTGTCGACACACCGCGGGATACTGTTAAAATGCAGGTTGATGCGTCGCTCAGTACGGGAAGTTTCACTCTCAGGCAGAGCCCTCATGGGAGCAAGACGGATCTTCTGAGCTTGCATTTTGACGTATTCAAATCGAAAGCACTTAAACGCCCCGACTCCGTTCTTCTTGACATTAGCCTTGGCGGCTTCCGAGTTAACGATGGCACTACCCCGGAGAGCTTGTTTAAGGAGATTGTTCGAGTCAAGGACGCGCCGGATTCTAGTAAGAGGCGATTATCTATCGCTGAGCTCGAGAGATCCGAACAAGAGACTTTCTTCGATTTGCAGGTAGAGCAAAATCCTCTTGATAAGCAGGGTGACTTCGCAGTCACTGCGAAGCTCAAGCCGTTAGAAATAGTCTGGAACCCCAATTTCGTCGTCGGAGTCGTTGACTTCTTCAAACCACCAGAGAGACACATGGAATCCATAACTGCTCTGATGGAGACGGCCGGAGCCACCGTCGAGGGGTTGAGGCAACAAACGCGTGCCGGTCTTGAGTTCGCTCTTGAAGAACACAAAACTATTAACGCCAAGCTAGATCTCCAAGCACCGCTCATCATAATTCCACAATCTATCAAGACCCAGAGATCTACTTGTCTTATTTTAGATGCTGGTCATATTAGCGTCAACAGCGAGTTGGTCGATAAAGGAACTCTGAAACAGGTGCAAGATAAGCACAACCAAAGATTTTCCGAAGACGACTTCAAACAACTCGAGTCTCTCATGTACGATCGCTTCCTTGTTAAACTAACGTCTACACAAGTCCTGATTGGGCCTTCAATTGAGGAAACAAAAACTCAGCTGGTCGAAAAAGATGACACTCGCATGATGCATATCGTGGACAAAATCAATGTCGACTTTGTAGTGGCTCTATCAATTCTACCAAAGGCACCAAATCTAACTAAGGTCAAAATTTCTGGTCATATGCCTGTGTTGCAAGCTTCAGCTTCGGACACGAAATACAAGAGCCTCATGAAATTAATTGATGTTGCCATACCGAAGCTTGGTGGAGAAGAAGAGTTGGCAAGAAATCAAGGTCAACCTAAGAGGCCACGATTGCTCAGTTCTACGTCAAGTCGATCGCCCAAAACACACAATCGCAAGAGTTCAGCTAATTTATTCCTCACTCAACAAACTGCCGTTATCCTGGAAAATGATTCAGACTCTGACTCCGATGAATTTGAGGATGCAGCAGACGGAAGTGCTACTCAACAGCTCAAGACACAACAACGAAACTTTGAGTTCAAATTTGCCGTCGACAAGTTGCAAGGCTCTCTCTACCGAAGTGACCCCGATGGGAAACAACCTGAATCGCTACTGGTAGAATTGATTGCGGAGAATTTTGACTTGAATTTCTATATTAGGCCTTTCGATATGGCAGCTGAAGTATCACTTGGCTCTGTGACGGTGGACGATTTTGTCGACAATCCACCAGCGGAATTCAAGTCCATCGTATCTTCCGGCGATGTTGAAGATCGCCAACAAGAGAGGGACCTAGTTCGCGTGAAATTCACCAGAGTTAAACGAGAATCACCGGAATTCATGCCAATATATGAAGGTATAGAGACGAACGTTAATGTCGCCGTTTCTACCATCAATCTCATCGTGACCAGAAAGACGCTGCTCACTCTCTTAGATTTTATTCTAACCACGTTTACTAACAATAATGGCCCAAGCCCTCAACCGACAAGAAGGGTTAAGGGAATTGACGATGAAAATAACGAAGTCGAAATTGTCGAGCCGATACCTAACTCGCAGCAGAATGAAAGTGGTTCTATTCGCGTCAAGGTGGATCTCAAGAGTATTCGCATGATCTTGAATAACGACGGTATTCGCTTGGCAACACTTTCGTTCAACCATGCTGACGTCGGAGTTTTCCTGCTTGGAAAGACAATGAGAGTGGCAGCCAAACTTGGTGATCTTACACTAGTCGATGATGTTAACATCGGTGCGTCAGAAGACTCGAGTTTCCGACAGCTCGTTACAATCCAAGGTGATGAACTTGCCGACTTCCGCTACGAAACATTCGACTCGAGTAACAAGAAGGCCTACCCAGGATATGATTCCTCTATTTATCTGCGCGCTGGGTCTATTAAGGTCAACTTCCTCGAAGAGCCGTTTAGAAAGATCATTGAGTTTCTGGTCAAATTCGGCAAGATGCAAGCTATCTACAATGCTGCACGCCAAGCAGCCGCGAACCAGGCCCAACAATTACAGCAGAGCACTAGCAGATTCAAGTTTGATGTCATCGTCAATACTCCTATCATTGTTTTCCCTCATGCCCTCTCTCCGGATCGACCAAAGCGAGACTTGATCACAGCTTACCTGGGAGAGATCTATGCCCAGAACAAATTTGCGCCGCTGGATGACTCTGAAGATTCGGAGATTGCCATGAAGCTGTCTGCAGGGATCAGAAACATCAGATTAACATCGTCGTTCCATTACCCCCATGAACAATCTGAGGAACTTGAAATGATTGATCATGTAGATCTTGGCTTTAATATCACTTACGCTGAACATAAAGAGGGATGGAAGCGGCCGGATATGGAAATTGAAGGCAGCATGACCGACTTCAATCTGAGAATCACCCAATACCAACTCAACTTCCTCTTAGCAATTTCTAAATCCGTCCCGGCTGCTTTCGCGACAGACGCCAATGCACGAGGAGAAGAAGCTGAACGGGATGTTGACGAGGGCACATTACGACGAGCTAAGACGATGTCGTCCACTACAAGTGGGGGTGATGGCCAGCTCATCGACCTTTCTCCCGAGTTAGGCTCTAGGGAAAATACATGGACCAAGCTTGACCTCGTATTCAATATACACAAGATTGGTCTTGAGCTCATCAACGCTTATGAAGATAAACCCGTCGACAATATGGATGCCGCCAGTTTGTCACGATTTTCTCTAGATGATAGCAAGCTCAAAACTCGAATGCTGGCCGACAACTCGCTCGAAGCCGAGTTCGTGATACAGTCATTTACTATACATGACAGCCGCACTCGCGAAGGAAGCAAGTACAGAAGGATCATGACATCCTCTAACAAGACCGTCCAGCAGTTTATGGCGAGTGTCTCTATGTCCGGCGGTGAAGAGCGAAATGTAATCGCGGTAGTCGCTATTGACAGTCCTAGGATTATATTTGCTTTGGACTATCTTTTTGCCATTCAAAAATTCGTTATGGCTGGCTTGAAAGCTGATGAGCCTCCTGCGGCTGTTTTGGAAAGCCCTATAGAGACCCCTGATATTTCTGATGCCGAGTCAATGAATGTTCAGTGGACTGGGAAACAGTCTCAGAGGAGCGCACAGGCGCCTCAGTCGCCTCAATCAGAAGAGCCCCCTAAGAAGGATGAGGAGTCCAAGTTAAATGTTGCTTTCCGCGTTAATATTGTTGATTCGCAAGTCATATTAATCGCCAATCCCCTCAGTTCCAGCTCAGAGGCGATTGTTCTGGGTACCAAGCAAGTCTTGCTGTCGCAGCAGCACTCATTAACCTTCCAAGTTTCACAAGTCGGTATGTTCCTGTGTCGCATGGATAAATTTGACGAGACGAGGCTCCGCATCCTCGACGACTTCTCTATCCAGCTATCAATGGACAGTTCCCAGCCAAATCGATCAAGCATCCATGTCGACATCGATCCATTAATTCTCCGCTTATCACTTCGAGATATTCTCCTTGTTCTCCAGATTATTAGCAAAGCATCCGAGCTCTCTGGGAATGATAATAGTCGGCCTAAACCAAAAGTTAGTGCATCAGACAGAAAAGCGAAACAATTACGACAAGCTGGTATTAAGGAGCGCACCGCAAGTGGTCGCGGCCAATCTACTATTGCGGGCAACAAGAGTAGAACGGCCAAGACTCCGGGTACAATAGCCACTGGAAGATCTGGGAAGGGCCAATCCCACGAACCCCATGATCTCAGCAAAACCCCAAAGCGCCACGAGGAGCTAACCGCCACAATTGACGGAGTTCGCGTAATACTTATCGGCGACGTACACGAGTTGCCAATCCTGGATCTGAGTGTCAAGAATTTTACCGCATCTGCAGCTGATTGGTCGAGCACCCTCAAAGCCGAGACTGCCATTGATATGTACATAAACGTGTACAACTTCGCTAAGTCTGCTTGGGAGCCGCTACTAGAGCCTTGGCAAGTTGGCCTAGGTGTTGCTAAGCAGCAAGAGAGTGGAATGCTTTCGGTCGACGTTTCATCTAAGAGGACATTTGATGTTACGGTAACAACTGCAACGATTGCCTTAGCATCCAAGTCCTTTGACTTCTTAACAAGAGATGAAGATGTCTTGGGTAAACCTCGTGGGGTTGAAGCCCCATACAAGATTCGAAACTACACCGGCTTCGATGTCTCAGTTCAGGCTAAGAGCCAGAGTAATGAGAACATCTCCCTCAAGTTGCAAGACGGCGAAGAAGGACCATGGAGTTTCGAGCATTGGGAGAAGATGCGAGAGAATATTATGTCGGAAACCAATGCGACGAGTAGTGTTGCTGTTTTGATCGAGGGAAGTGGTTTCGATACAGTCAAAAATATTCGACTCAATCGTGAGGGAGAGTTCTTATATAGTCTGCGACCGAAGACGGACAACACTCTCCATCGACTACTCGTCGAAATCAAACTGGGCTCAGACAATATCAAATACGTAACCCTTCGTTCGCCCCTTGTAGTCGAAAATGAGACGCAAATACCGGTAGAGCTAGGTGTGTACGACGTCCAAGAGGGTCACCTACTTAAGATCGAAAAGATCGCGCCTGGAGAAAGCCGACCGGCTCCAGTGGCAGCTGCGTTCGTCAAATCTCTATTGGTACGACCGGATTCGGGTTTTGGCTACTCGTGGTCGTCCGAACATCTCTGGTGGAGAGATCTACTTAAGAGACCGACGCGCACACTTGTGTGCAAGGGCGAAAATAGTGAGCTGTTTTACTTCCAAATGAATACGAGTTTCGATCGAGGCCACTTCTTAACAGGGTAAGTTTCCACCAAGCATAATCATTTCTGTATTCTAACATTTGCAGAAAATATCCATATATGAAACTCAAGCTCTCTCCCCCAATAGTCCTAGAGAATCTACTACCTTACGACTTTAAATACCGGATCTATGATAAGAATACGAAGCGAGACTGGACGAACTTCCTCCGGAAGGGCGGTGTCAGCCCTGTCCATGTTGTAGAGCTGTCGCATCTCCTTTTGCTAAGTGTCGACATGCAAGACACTGTATTCAAACCTAGTGAATTCGCTATCATCAACTCTGGCGCGCAGGAAGACTTCCGGAAAGAATATAAGCTCGTCTGTAAAGATGGCGAGGATCTTCCACTGAACCTCAAACTTCATTACTTCAAAATTCCGGATGGCGGCGGCGCTTTTAAGGTTACTGTTTACAGTCCATACGTCGTACTAAATAAGACTGGCCTAGAAGTGAACGTCCGTGGCAAGCAATTTCTACAGCAGCCAAGGAGAGCCGCCGGCCAATCAGCTGTCGCTGACACCACGGATCAAGAGCGGCCCAAAGCTTTGCCTTTCATGTTCTCGTATAGTAATGATGATCAGCGCAACCGCGCTCTTCTAAAGATTGGCGAATCGGAATGGAGTAAACCACAGAGTTTCGACGCTATTGGAAGTACGAGTGAAGTCGCCTTACCATCATCTAGGAAGGATTCCGAGATCCATGTAGGCATTACTGTCGAACCTGGTGATGGCAAGTACAAGTTGACGAAAGTCGTCACTCTTGCGCCTCGTTTCGTAGTCAAGAACAAGATTGGCGAGGAGCTCGTCGTTAGAGAGTCCACTTCATCTAAAACAATGACGTTGAAGGCAGGTGCCCTTCAGCCTCTCCATTGGCTTCAGAAGTCCGCAACAAAACAAATAGCGTTGAGGTTCCCAGGAGTTGACGACCAGTGGACATCACCCATTAACATCTCGGACCTTGGTACTGTTCACCTCAAGATTGCAAAGGCCGGACAGCGACAACGACTCATTCGGGTTGAGATTCTAATGGAGGATGCGACAATCTTCCTTCACCTTAGTATGGAGAAGAAGAACTGGCCATTCTCTATGCGAAATGAAAGCGACATAGAATTTACGTTCCATCAAGCAAATCCGAACGTAGATGAAGATGGTGTTGAAGATCGTTCTGGATGGAGACCGATTAGGTATCGTTTGCCTCCACGAAGCATCATGCCTTATGCTTGGGACTTCCCGGCTGCCAAATTCAAGGAAGTGGTCATTAGCGCATTTAACAAAGAACGACATGTAAAACTCGCAGAGATCGGTAACCAAGTACCAATGAAGTTTGTCAGTAGTTCTGGCACACAGAAGATCATCGACATCAACGTCGCAGCTGATGGCCCAACTCAAACATTGATTCTATCCAACTTCAAACCAAGCAGGAGCTTGTATCGCCAAAGGACACAGACGGGTTCAAGCACCAGCAGCACTAGTGGCTTTGAAGTCAAGAGTCAAGACACTGGCACAACGTTCCAGGCACAACTGAGACTTTCTGGCATTGGTATCTCGCTCATCAACCAACAGCTCAAGGAATTAGCGTATATCACATTCAGGGATATTAGCCTCCGCTATAATGAGTCCGCCCTATACCAAACAATTAGTACCTCCATTAAATGGATCCAGATCGACAATCAACTATACGGTGGCCTCTTCCCAATGATACTTTACCCCAGTGTGGTACCCAAACAGGCACAGGAGACAGAACTCCATCCCTCGCTACATGCTATGGTTACTAGAGTCAAGGACGACTCATATGGTGTTCTTTATGTCAAATACGCCACCATTTTACTCCAGCAAATGACTGTTGACCTTGACGAAGATTTCATTTACGCCGTGCTAGATTTCTCGAAGATTCCCGGTGCTTTTGAATCCGAAATTAATGAAGGAAAGCTTTGCGATGAAGGCTTGGATATCCCGGAGCCTAAACAGGAACAATCGGGCCAGGATATCTACTTCGAGGCCCTGAACATACAACCGATGCAATTGGACCTATCTTTCATGCGCACTGAGCGTGTCAATGTCGAAGACAAGACCTCTTCTCGCAATCCCATCATGTTCTTCGTCAACGTGATGACTATGGCTATCGGGAACGTCAACGATGCTCCGATCCGATTGAATGCTTTGTTGTTAGAGAACGCTCGGGTCTCTATCCCCGTCCTCACTCAAAACATCTCGAATCACTACAGCCAAGAGGTCCTTTACCAGGTCCATAAGATCATTGGCAGCGCCGATTTCCTTGGGAATCCGGTCGGTTTATTCAACAGCATCAGCAGTGGTATTACTGATGTCTTCTATGAACCATACCAAGGTCTCATTATGTCCGACAAGCCCGAGGATCTCGGATTAGGTATCGCGAAAGGAGCTGCTAGCTTCGTCAAAAAGTCCGTCTATGGTTTCTCAGATTCATTTTCTAAGGTCACTGGTAGTTTTGGTAAGGGTTTAGCAGCTGCAACTCTAGACAAGCAATTTCAGGATCGCCGTCGAATTACGCGAGCTCGTAACCGGCCAAAGCATGCCTTGTTTGGTGTTACAGCAGGTGCAAATTCTTTCTTCACGTCGGTTGCATCGGGTATCGGTGGCGTCGCGCGCAAACCGCTCGAAGGGGCAGAACAAGAAGGCGCAGTTGGATTCTTCAAGGGTGTTGGTAAAGGCTTTATAGGTTTGGCGACTAAGCCCGCCGTGGGTGTGTTTGATCTTGCATCCAACGTGTCTGAGGGTATTCGTAACACTACGACTGTCTTTGATGGTTCGGAACTGGATCGCGTCCGGCTCACGCGATTTGTGCCCGCCGATGGCATTGTACGACCCTACAACCAACGTGAAGCGCTAGGCCAATCTTGGCTCAAACAAGTCGATAACGGAAAGTATTTCAACGAGGGCTATATCGCACATCTAGAATTGCCCAGGGAAGATATGGTGGTTATAGTTACATTCAGTCGAATCCTTCTAATTAGGAGTAAGAGGTTGACTACAGAGTGGGATATCCCGCTCAAGGACGTCCAGACAATAACGAAAGAGCGCACGGGCCTTAGTATTGTCCTGCGAGGCGGTACCAATGGACCGTTCATCCCCGTTGGCGAAGAAAGTGGCCGCGCTTTCTTGTATCGTATGGTGGCGGTTGCTGTTGAGGAATTCAACCGGAGGTTCAAGGGCTTGGAATGAGTGCCTGTATTGAATGAAGCATCGCCCGGTTTTGCGGAAAATAGCAGGGAAAATGAGAGGTCACGTGTCATGTGTTTAAGTCCTGGTGTCTGGTGTTTTCGTGTATTTTTGAAAGTAGTTTAACGACTTAACGAAATTGATATTTAATTAAGATTTGACGCCCGTAATGTTCGTGGGATCCGGTAAGATCATACGCCTCTATTCGCAGCGTTCGTATAATCAATCGGCCCTTTGCAATCAGCTCATTTCTAATCGTACGTAAGGGAGACTTCAAATCGCATGGTTAACTATCGTAAAGATGCGCCAAACATAATCTTAATCAAAGGGCGGGAGCTAATTCAGGGCATCGGATGCTAACTTAACCTTTGCTTTATATAGACTGTTGATGTTGTTCGAGTTGAGGTCTGAGATAATTGTATGATGCTATACCTAGGTAGATACGTTCTAGTAATTTAGAGACTCGAAGTTGCAATCAATTATTCAAAGCTATCAATCCTATAGTTCAACAGCATACTATATAGTAAAAGACTTATTTAGCTACATAAATGGGTATCTACAAATAGCGCATAGAAGTATTCGCCGCTGCTTACGTTACTATACAGATATTAGCACGCAATTGACAATGTTAGCTACTAGGAGCGATTATTATTTTCTTACAACGGCTAGTCGCCCGTGACTATAAGCAGAATGAGACCTAATCAATGATACACGCAACGGTATTCGTATGGGTTTGGGCTGTGGGAGCAATTGAAGAACAGCTGATCTTACTGCGCCTTGTTCAATTAAGCTGTGCATAATCTAACGAGGCCTACATTCCGTTTAATCATAACGGAACATAAAAATAAAGGATTTAATCGTTTTGCGTCGACCAAGGCAAAATCTCTTGCTTCTGACGACGATGATGACGTCCTGAAAATCCAATAGTTTTTATGTCAGCCCCACAAGAATGCCCCTCGACATTGCGTTGCGTCGATGACGTCGATGAAGGTAAGAAAAGAACAGCGACGATGCAATCTACGTAGATCGAACCAGCACGTCGCATGTGGGTCTTTCGGGAGATGTTCCCTCGGCAGTATTAAGGTACCTACATGAACAATTGGGGGCAGAATTGAATGATATTTTGACTAATGAATGGAAACTTCCAGTTTTTTGTTCTCTTCATTGACAAGTCTAAGCTATGCATCTCCTATGCGAATCCACTCGAGAGTATCGAATGGGACGCGATTGTCATGTTAGGCTGCCCTATATCGCGGGAATCCATGCGACTTGGCGGCTCTGTCGGTCCCGCTATGACGAAATTCACCGGAAAGCCTGCTTGGTGGTTGTCGATGGGGTGGGCGTATTGGTACCTACATACGAAAGAGGGCGCGTTAAAACTTCCCCCATGAAACCCCCAGAAGGATCATCAAATCCCGAGACGTGGTAGCGTGTTAGGGTTTTGTCTCTCCGTCCCGTGGTCCGGTGAAAACTTCGAAGAAACGGTTCAGTAACACGGGGAGCTGGTGATGGGAATGTGACGGAATCTGACTGGCCGGCCTCACATGATTAGTAGAGTCAAGGTATTATTAGGGATTGCTTCTGGCACAAGATCTGGTCTGGAGACAACCACCACCCGAGAGACTATCAAATTAGTGGCCGATCAGTTGACCGTGGAATCCCGCATCCGTGGGTGCGCATAACTATAATGTTACATGAATAATCCCTTGGTGAGAATTTCTCGGTTTTTTAGTTGTCGGCTCTCGGTCGGTGATATTTCTTGCGACATCTGAGGAAACATTCCGTCAAATACTTACGTGCGTCTACTTTACCGTTACGGTACCCTCCTTGGTAGAAAGGTTCGGACAAGGGGGTGTAGCTTTTTACCTAGCAGCCTTGGTATTCTACGTAGTAAACTACGAGACCAGATTGGTAACCCGAGGTTACTACTAGGTAAGGCCAGCAAAGGCCTCGCCGCTTCGCTTATTATACGGGAACACATGGAATATGGAGTACGTACACATCACCTTTTTTATGCGTTGTACATACGTGGTCACCGACAGACAAGCTGGTAACATAATTTATTTAATTTTTTTCTTGTGTGATAGCTAGACTGTCGCTGATACGGTGATGGAAAATGGAAGTGGTGTCTAACTACTCAAGAACCGCAACGCTGGAGAAATCGACATACATCCGCGCGACTCGCAAATCCCATTCCTGTATCAAATTTCGCATGTTTTGGCTGGTGAGCATGTGCAAAGATCGTCCGCTAATGTGGACTGATGAGCTTGATCAGCCCTGGTGAACCCCTCAAATTGTAACCCTGTCGATACGGATACGGTAAGCTTGGGCTTTTCAGGGTCTTAAATCACCCCGCTCTAGATCTTGGCGATCGAATAATAGATAACTATAAAACATACAACATTATTCTGATCTGATGGGTTTATGGTGTGTACCTTTGTCGTACTTGGAGGTGTGGTCGGGGCCTAGGTAGGTACTTATGGTGAACGCCGAGGTTCTTGGTGCATGGAAATGACTCGATATTCACTACCGCGATACGCCGAAAAGTAGATATATCCCTGATCAATTCAGCTTGCTTGTAATTCGAAATGTGAAGCGAGGGAGCAATATCTACCTAGCCTAGGTAGCTAGTCAATCCATTCGGCAGGAGGAACAACGATAAGCGAAGGGTACAGGCGCCTTGAGGCCAATAACATTGTCCAACCAAAGCGGAGTGATATGGCCTTATGAGGTACTTTTAGGTGGGTGAACAGACACACCTCACCCACCTACCTATCGTATCTTGCTTACTTGACCCCGGTACCCCAGAGGAGATCGCTAGATTGCTAACTGGGGTTGCACTGGCGGCCTGACTTGCCTAGGAGTTTAAAGACGCCCATAGCGCACGGCGCCCGTTGCTGACATGCGCCTAGAAGCTCCGAAAAACTTCGTAATTAGTTGCTGACACTTATAGTGGATGTGTCGGTCGGTACGTGTTGCTGTTTCTTTATCTCTTGATTTTGCGTTACAGTGTCGGTATCACTCAGCTGCTAGGCGCGTAAGAGTGTCGGTCAAGATAATAATTACATCTTTGAGAGGACTGTGCGACGCTCACGTTCAAACCCCGTGTATACTATGCATGTTACGTGCTCGCTAGGGTGTGAGGAACTAGACAGCGAACCCTTGAGCGAACAAGGGCGAAAGAGACCGAGCCAAGACGAAGTCGTGGCCAAATGCGAAAAACCGGACATATTTCCACGTTTCCTTAGGCACCTAAGGTTGGTAGGTACAAGTAGGCACCAGGACAAGGCCCGGAGACAGGATGTATAGTAATAAGTATCTCGGTACCAGCCCCTTATAGTTGATACGCTCTAGATAGACCTAGAATTCGAATGGAAACATTGAAAAGATTAACCAGCTGCAGCTCCGATTATATTAGTTTTTTCCCGCGCTCGTGTGAATGCATCGTAGGTATTTCACCCAAAGGAGTAAGTTGTCAGGGTCGATCGCTGGCGATCATCCCGAAGGTGATTGATTGTTGTTCGCTAGATAGAACTATCTCGGCCGGTCTAGACGCGACCGGATGCTTAGAACGCCTAGGATGCTTACGGTGTATTAGCTGGCCTTCCCAATGGGAGCAAGCAAACGAATTATAGTCGCGACCTATACTCGGAAAGCTGACAGGTTGGACTAGCCTGCCTGACTCTCAACCGGTCGGAACGAAGTAAGATCTTGACCATCTACAGGCTGATGAATCTGTAAGATAGACCGAGTTGCGGCCGCATATCATAATCGGTTGATATTTTTTTTTCTTCTTCTTTTCCTTTTTTCCTTCCGGATTGGCGACATCGCATGTTGCATCAACCCACCGTATCTCATAATATTCATATCCTTGACGGTGTTCTAACGGACTTCCGTTCTTCCCGCGGGAACTCGCAAGGATCATGGTTCTTAAACCAGGAATCTCTTCTCACATACCTATATTCTGCGTGAGCCTCAAAGGGGGGGTTAATGACATAACTATTTCGGTACTACCGCTATAAGAAGGAAGGGGGGGAAAAGCAAGATTTAGAATTGAATAATTACCTAGTACCTACCTAGGTACTTACTTGGGAATCCGAGTCGTTTTCTTCGTATTTTTGACTGATGAGTTTAGATCGTTGAATCATTCCGATTTTTTCTATCATAATTGGTATACTTGGCCTCACCAGCTACTCAACTAACTAATTATCTCAATTGTTGGCTTTACGGTAAACTGTAGTTACCTCCCTCCTTTCCGACTAATATGTTCCTGGTTCTCTCTTGTTATAGACTTTTGGTTCCTGTCGAATGATTAGCACGGAAGAGATGCCATCTTCTGCTGTAATACAATTAATTGGTACCTGGCGTTAGGTATTTGTCCAGGTATAAGTAACAACCAACCGAGCCGCCACCAACATTTCGGAGGTGGGGGATTTGTCTCTTCCGGTATGTTGATCGTCCTTCTAACTGCCTTTTTGATTATCTGACAAGATAATTTTGCCGAGTCGTCATCATCATCGCGCTTTCACACTTCACTAAGTCATTACGAACCTGTTCACAACCGATCTCATAAACTTAACTGCGGATGCAGGTTCCGACCCGAGATTTTATTTTATGATGAACTTCGTTTGTATGGAACCGACTGGACGTAGTCAGGTACGTAAACTTAGCCCTAAAGGTAACTCACCTACCTAGCAGCTTACCTAGGTAGGCATAAAATTACTCGGATCTTGCGTTGGCCACTTTGGCTTCACTCGGTGAGACCGCTTACATATATGTACACCTTAGCCGTAGACCCCCACAAAATTACAAAATCTGAGGGGCGAACTACAAAATACACACATCATATACACGACTCCGAATAATTCCCTTTATTGTAATCGTTCAGGAACAATACACTTGACATCCTAGCCACCACCTATCGATATGTTGAGTAAAAAAATAAAAACCCCGGATCCCACAATGCTATCCCAATGAGAACTTGAGATTGAATTTCTTATTTTTGTTTCCTCACCTGAACTTTGACTATTTCAATTCCGATAACGAATAAAACTTTTTCAACAATCTATTTAGCTCATTCTAGGTAAACTCATAGAGAGGTCTGTTATTTATAGTAGGCCGCCATCATCTACCTGCATATTAAATCAGCTTAATCACTTTTAGTTTCTCAGCGGAAACGTAAACGCCTTCAGCTGGAAACCTACCTGAGATACATGAGGTACATGTGGCAGACATAAATTGTCTCCGTATCTTTACCGTACCGGACTTACACGTTTTTCGTGTAATCGACAGTATTGGATTTCCTAATCCGGAAATTCCCCGCCTAACGGTAACGGTACCTAGTCTCCTTTTTTCCTGCCAGCCCCCAACAATTATTATTGTTATTAGTACTAGTTTTAGTATTATTACGGGCTGTAACCTCTACCCGCTCGGTAGCCCACGCCCCTTCGCGCCTCTTATTTATCATCGCTTCTTCCCCGGATTCTATTCTGGTTCTTCTTACCTTCCTCCCCACTTCTCATCCAAGACCCAAGAGTCATAAGTTGCACTTCTCGCCCTAGGAAAGGCGTGAAGTTTGGAACACGAAAGGCAGCCCGGCGCAGCCCATCATCATCATCATCATCGTCACTCGCACTCCATATTAGCTCGACACTTACACGGGAAACATAACCATTCCTATATCTTCCGCCCACACCTCCTTAACTCCCACCCTGAACTCCTTTTCGCCATATACGAACCCATACGAGCCATACTCGAAAAAAAACCTTTGTGTTTTTTTATCTTGCTATCGCCCATGTCGCGACGTAATTCGTGTGTATCTGACGACAACAGAAAATCACGAAGCAGACCGGCGTCGCAAAATAGCCACAGGTCACCACATTCGCAACCACGCTCGCCGCATACATCTTCTCCTAACAAGTCCTCGCAAAAACTAGCAGGCTCACAAACACACAATCCATCTCCGCTCAAAATGGTTACCACTACTACCACGACGACAACGTCACACCGCCCAGGTGACGATACGCTTCATTACTACCTTCCAGAAATAAACGCGCGCGAAGTAGACGCGCAAAAGCAAGGTTGGATGGAACCGATCGTCATAGACGACGACGACATAATGTTTGGTGGTAAGAGTCTCAGCGCGTTGTACGAGGAGGAAAGAAAGTCGCTCAGCTTCCCTGTCGAAGAGGAGCGACGAGGTCGCCAAAGAGTAAGTTCTTACATATAGTAGAAATTAGAACGAAGCTGTACTAACTTAGATGTCCTAGGTGCGACAACACTATTCTACGCAACACCATCACCATCACCACCACCACCATCATCATCATAGTCATCGTCACCACACAGATTCGACGACCACATCGGGAACCCATGAGCAGAACAAGCATTAGAGTGATGGGGGGAGTAATTGATGAAGAAGAATAAGAAGCATGCGGGCCGTCGAGCGGCCCTAGTTCCCTTTCCGAGATACCCAACACAGCATTCGCATACGATCATATCGGCGGCTGTAGAATTGACTTTTCGCATAATTACTGGATCCCCTTGATTCAACCGGGACCTTATTTACGACCGACGCATGTCATTTACGATCGCATTAGATATACCACACTGACGCGCTTCGAACGGATGGCTTCCAATAGCCTCGCGAAGATATAACGGGTTTGTGTTTTATTTTCCATTAGACCATCATTAGACGGGCAATTCTACATCCCATCTAATCCTCGGGCAGGTCTTCAATACAAGACCTCGGGGGATTTCTGCATTCGGTTAGGCGTTATTATTATCACATTATTTCTGCATATTGGGGGGGATTGGGAGATTGACGCTGGTACCTGAGGATCTTCGGGTGCCCCTGTGTTGGCATACACGTATAATGGGTTTAACTAGGTGTGTTGGTTTTTGCAGCCTAATCATGCAGGCTGTTCGTTATATCCCGGGGGGAACAGCATTGTGCGGTAGCATCGCATGGTTTAATAAAGGTTGAGCTGGCAGGAAGGCAGGGTCATATTATGACACGGGAGATGCAGTTTTGCCGAAATACCAATCGTGATTTCAAAGAATCGCATGTATTGCCATTGTCCTGTGCTAGTTGTCTCATGTAACCCTCGTGAATTGGGTCGAAAGTCGTTTCGGCCACGTTTGAATTCGATCGGCCATCTCGCATGGGAAAAACGCCCACATCCGTAGGCTAACGCAAGACAGTACTAGTGGGGAATGTTTCAACCAAAGGGATCATCCGAGTAACTAATTAGTGAAGCGGTTGCTGAAAATTGGAGGCAAGTTGTTCTTAATAGGGCACTTGGGGGCCGATCCTCAGCGCAAATATGTCTAGATCCGTTAAGACAGATTCCGATCCCTCGCCTGGTAATATCACCCTAAGACGGAAGGATTGGTTCGTAGTTGACAATGGTAGTCGCAAATAGGTACATCCTAAAGACGAGCTTATACAATGGTCCGCATAGGTACCGACTTACGGTGACCTATGTTCTCATGCGCTATCACTCGGTCGCGTTGTCTGGAATATCTCCACCTAATGACCTAGGTGAGACCCAATAAGCTAGTGTTAGCGACTCTTCACCCAACATCATGAAAATCATGATGCTTATAAGTGGCAGTATTGGATGAACAGACACATCTGCGACGAGTACATTTGACGTGCGACATAGGTATACTACCAAATCTATTATCAACTCAACATGTCATATCACGGTTTTCGGCAACATGCTCCTCCCGGATTACTGCTGACTTACTTGGAGCGGAGCACCGACGCGGGACAGGGAACTTGATGCTCGTATACCCTCGACCAATCACAGTCGTGATTCGACCGGGAGGCTCCGAAATCAAAGGATCCGCTGCTTCGGAGATATCGAGGTCAAGGACTTCAACTCTCAGGATAAATAGTCCACCATTCGCCTTGAATGCAGAAGAATTCAAGCAGATGAAAAGCATCCTATCTATCACCAATCTACTCAGACTCAAACTTTGAACCTCCGCTTTCGAACTCTATCCAATGGCTTCACAACAAGAGAAGTGAGTGATCCGTCGGTCATATGATGGCAAACAAGATACGGTCGCTGAAATTCAATCCAGGACTCAAGCCACGATCCAGGCTGTGCGCGAAGTCGCAAAGGCCCATGGAATCCTTATGAACCCACAAGATGAAATGGGATACCTCCGTGTGGTTCGCGCCGCGCAGGAGTCAGTTGACTTCGTCGAGCGTATGAAGGACTTTGTTCATCCGCGACTTACCCCGCTTGTCCCAGTCCCTCGGGCATACACTCTACCGTCGCCATCTGAGAATCCCTTGAACGCCTGGAGTCATCGTGTCAGCTAGCCCTTGTTTTTCTTCATGTCTTCTTTACTTTTCGCTGACCAATATGTCGTATTTAGGCTCATATTGAAGCCGCAAAACTCTCAGAGGGCACCGGCTTGTTAGTTGGCAAGACAATTGCCATCAAAGACAGTGTTTCGGTAGCCGGAGTGCCGACAACTTGTGGCACCCAGCCGTTCCATCTATGCGAGGACAAACCTGCTCCTATTCCGGACATCGACGCCCCTATTGTGAGCCGGGTTTTAGAGGCTGGGGCGTTGATAACAGGTACCTCGACTTGTGAAAATTATTGCTTGTCAGCAATGTCTTTTACCAGCGCCACCGGCCCCGTCGATAACCCTTGGTTCAAGGGTTATTCGGCTGGAGGGAGTAGTAGTGGATCGGCAGCTCTTATCGCCATCAATGCAATCAACAAATGGCGAAAGTCGAGAGGTCTAGTTGTTAAAGGCTTAGGCGAAGGGGTAGACCTCGCTATCGGCGGTGACCAAGGTGGTAGCATTCGAGTTGTTCGTATCCCCTCTGTAATCCAAACCACCCATAAGAGGGATGTCGAGTGGACCATATACTAATGCGATAAAAGCCCGCTGCATACTGTGGCATTTACGGCCTTAAGCCAACACATGGTCTAGTCCCTTACACGGGTATCGCCTCGCTATTACCCCTGATTGACCACTGTGGTCCAATGGCCTCTTCCGTCCGGGACACCGCGCTTCTCCTTACGGTACTCGCCGGCTACGACGGTTTCGACCCTCGCATGACACCTGAGACACCCCTTCGATCCGCAGTCCCTCAGTATCACGCCCTTCTGGACGAGCATATCTCCAAACGAACCGCAGCTGGTACCTGGACGCCCCAAGCGGCTGCTCGCGGTCTACGCATTGGCGTCCTTAAAGAAGCTTTTGAAATCGCCGGCATCGACGCCGAGGTGGCCTCCGTAATCCGTAAAGCCGCATCGCGCTATACCTCGCTAGGTGCTTCTGTCGCCGAAGTCTCAATCCCATTACACCTCATCGCACCCCACATTTTCACGGCAGCAACCCGCGCCTACGCCGGCGACACGCTGATTTTCAGGCCAGAATCGGCAACCGCATCGACCCTTCCCTTTCCGTTTCCTGGTGCCCCGGCCCCAAACCCCAATCAAACGTGGTATGACACAATGACATGGGCAAATCCGCTCGTAGTTGGTGGACTATTCAGTGGCGAATTTCTGCTAGATCGGAAAAGGTATCCTGAGAGTGTCCGTGATAAGGCCATTCGACATGTTCATGAGTTACGCGCTGCATACGATAGGGCGTTGCAGGACTTCGACGTGTTGATCATGCCTACGATGCCGACTGTGGCTCCGCGACATGCGCCGGCGGATATGGGGGTTGCGGAAAAGGCGGGGTTCGTCCTGGCGAATACGCTGAATACGTTACCTTTTAATGTTACTGGCCACCCCGGGTTGTCTATGCCTGTTGGCTGGGGAAAAGTCGAGGGAGACGGAAAGGAGAAATTGCCGGTGGGTATGCAGATTGTGGGAAAAAGATGGAATGAGCGGATGATATTCCTCGCCGCTGCCGCTTGGGAAGTTGGTGGGCTTGGGTTAGATGAGGAGTAGGGTGGAAGATAAGAGTTGAAGGGGGGGGGTCGAGGGGACGTAGGGGTGATGCAATACGTGGTACTGAGTAGAGTGATGTTACATGGGATGAGCTCAACGGATACACACACACGACGCTTTTACACGAATGCGTGGTAAAATGAGTACGGTCTTTTGTTTGTCGCGTATCGATGTACCAGCTCGGGATATTAAATGGCTACGTTTGTAGGACGAAGGTATCTAGGCGCAAGGGATTTCACCTGGGTTTGGTTACCTCTTTGAGTGGTTCCAGATAACGAAAGAGCTTAAGTTCACGACATTCTACAACCTCGTACGAACAATTTCTCAGTAATTTTTATTTTAATTTCGTAGTCTCGCCCCGATTTGCCATATGCTATGCTATTAATCTCATCAAACACTTATTAACGCCCCATTTACCTAAACCAATTTCGAAATCATTTATCCATACCCTATCGTAGCCCAAGGGGAAAGAGGCCCCCATCCTCTTCAAATCATCATCAACATTGACGTAGTCAGTTATGGTATCACCTTCATGCTATTCCCAATCCTTCAAAACTTGCCACTGATCCTCGAATTTCAACCCTCCTCCGGCTATCAGATCGCAATTTCCATGTCCCCACTTGCGACGAAATACTTCCTTTCCTGCTTCCGTTAGTACATCAAGTGCTTCCGTGAAGCCCGCAGAGTCGTAGTAGAATGGTTCCCCCTGACCACCGTGTTGACCCGCCTGCCAAGTATTTCGACCACGGTCGCCGTGCTTATAATGGAACATCCGGTCAGCAACCGCTAATAATGTCTTCCAGTATTCCACGGAATCATCAGGCGCTCGAGCAGAATTGTCGATGCTTCTCTTCCCATATTCGGATGGGGGCGGAGGTGGCGGGGGATTCGGGTCGAGGAAATCGGGGGTCACGCTAGTATCTCGGTACAAGGCGAGAAGATTATCGAGCGAAACAGATGTATCCGTTATAACGCCGCAATTAGCTTCGTTTTGCGACCAATTACGCATATGCAGGCGGGTGTAAGTATCGCAATCCGTCATATAATACGGGATTAACGTATCCCAACCACGGATATCTTCAAGAGCCATCGGGTTCTGCAGTGTAAGGTGATCGTATGCGAAAAAACGAAGTCCCCATCTTTCATCCGTCACCAAGGTGCGGTTAAGCTCTTCAAGACATAAGGTGTAGAGGCTCTTGTACCCTGGCTCCCCGGCGCGCTGCGTGAGGCCCTCGAATCCGTTTTCGTGGCCGAGGGCGAGTACGTCCATGTGGCTCCAGAAGTAGTACGGCCATTTGTGCGTATACGATAGCGATAGGTAAAAATTTTGCAGCTGCGCAAAGCTTAAGAGGACTGGAGTTTGGACGATGTTCACACCCAGGCGCTTGAGGGCTGTGTGATTCAGGTACCAGGGATGCTGTAAAGTAAGCTGTCCTCGCGCATTGGCCTGTTGCATGCCGGTGTTCTCAACTACATATATCTGCTCGGCTGGCCATCCGGCGGTGATGTACGAGACTACTGTTTGAAGTAGCATAGGCCATGATCGAGTAAACCCAATGACTAGGGGTGGCGCGACCTCCAATCCATATTTTTTCCACCCATCTTTCTCGGCAACATTGTACGATGGAATCGGAGGCGGTGTCGATGTCGCCAGCGCTGGGAAGGGATCTTTGATTGGCGGCGGAGTGTAGGCTGGGGCTGGTTTATATCTCGGGGTAGGTTGTGTCTCTCCTGAACCCCCTAGATTTAAAGAGCTAACAATACGAAGACTAGTATTTGTCCGAAAAAATAGGAAAGTTAAGAGACTACCACTAACGAGGAGTCCAGTGAGGAACAAGATCTGCCGTGGGCGTCTCATCCTCTCAGATGTCTGGACCGGTTGGTCGATCTACTTGTAACCACGAAATAGTCTCAGAAGTTCCGGGGTAAGGAACATTTGTCTATGAAATAATAAAGAAACCCCATTGCATCAACTTGTCGACGAACCGGAAAAGTAGAATTTCGCTCGTTGTACGAGGAAACAAAGCAATGAGTAGAGTAAGATCGGAAATATGAATACGAGGCGCGAGTCACGGATATTACACCAGAACTACGTCGTACGAAACCAAAGCTACTATTCAACCTAGCTGCGAACACGTATACGTCACTGGGTTTAGAAGAATGCGTCCTGATTGAGAACTCTTTCCTAGATGTGACGAGACGGACGAAACGGGAGTAGACCTGTTATGGGCAGTCGAAGAGCGGGCCGAAATGCGTCATGAATCCGTCACTCAGCGAATCGCCGCATGCAAATCAGAGACACAGCAGCATAGCTTCTACACATTCATACCTAGGTACTTAATACTATCTATTTTAAAAGAACTTCGCCCCAATTGACTGCATGAAGGCGTAATGGAAGCCACATTAGTATCTTCCACCAAATATATGATTGGTTCGTCGACCTCTTTCCTTTGTTAGAAAGAATCCTATTCGGCATCCGGTCAAAACGCTCCGACCTAACCAACAAATCTTGGACAATCGCTCATATATCTTGGCACGGCACGCCGCAGCTTGTTCCACGCAATTGCCTAATTTACGCGCCAGCAACTCAACGGTGTGTTCAACAGAGTATTTAATTTAGATCATATCCGGAGGCACCGCGGGTATAAAGTCATTCGACCGATCGAAATCTAGGACTGGATATAGATACCCTAGTAGGTATTTATGCCCCTTAGATATGTGAAAATGTGTAGATCGTACTTAGAGCCGCGCCAAGGATCAGGTACGGCGAAAGAGGGTAGCACGGCTCCTTCCTACACAACTATTCTCCGCTCCGGTGTTCCCGGCGATCATCGCATGGGACCGAAACTTAAATGGTATTTTGATTTACGGAATTCATGTTGACTTTCTAATATTTTACAATAGGAATTACTATACTTGTTGTTTTCGGGGCTTCTAAAGTACTATTCTTTTTTCGATCTAGTGTATCATGCTGGAATTTTCGGTGTGCCAGTGAAAAAGAAAAATTTGGGGGGTTGGCATGCGAGTGATACTTGATTCATCACTAGAGATCGATGGGTAAGTTGGCATCCCGACCCTTTAATTTAAAGTGGCTTCTCATCTTAGGTGATCGGTCATATCGGAATGATTTTGGCTTGAGCGAAGGTGTAGAAATCTCTTTCCTTCAATGCGCTACAATCCCTTTTAATTCCGCATTTGAATCAGAATAGTTATACCTACGATATATCTTACCTTATGTATCTAGGTACCTAGGTAGGTACCTTCTAGGCAGGTATTTATGGTGGGGTTGACTCGTAATGATTAGGTATCGATGCCCGACGTATTCCCATCTGTAGATGAACTCTCCACTCATCATTAAAAAATCAGAGGTTCGTTTCTAAAATATTAATATAAAGAAAACATGGGTGCCATAGATATATCACCACTCTAAATGGCGACCGCGCCGGAATCATTAGGACAGGTCGCATATTCAATACTCCGCATCGCTAATAGAGTCCGGAGTACAGCACTCAGCTCGATAAAGAATGAGCAAATAGAAGAAACACAACTATAAGATTCTATCTAATCTCAAACAGTCTTTACCAGCATTAGTCAGACAACGACATATGTTGCGTTTCCCCTCATTCGCACTTGAGGGATATCTGGATAGGTGGTGGTGAGAAGAGTAACAGTAATAACGATGGACGATCGACTGAACACGCGCGTATCTAAGAAAATCAAACTCAGAAGGGGAAATTTGATTATGAAATTCGTACAGCCCGTACGTTGTATAGTAAGCCTTTGAGCTGCTGTTGGTCTATTGAAAGTCCGGGGCAAAATCTCCAGATGTCGATCATATGCGAGCCAGCTCAAACCCCGAGTCCTATTCCCCATTCAGTGCACCCTGGCAGCCTGGATCGACCGGGGCGGCTTCTTACACGTATGGAGACACTAGTCTGCGATAGGTCATCTGGTATCCGATCCGTGGTATTTGTAGGGGAGCTTTACTTACACGAATTGCCCCCGGAAGGCATGAAATACGGGTGATAGGAAATAATAAATGTCGATGGTGGGGTCAGGCGCGCGTTCCTTTTCCTTCCCTTGCCTATCTACCTACAACCCCACGGATAGTGCCCTTATTCGTATATTTCATCTGTTTAGGTATAGACTTGGTAGATAAGAAGGAACGAGAAGTTAGGACAAGCTAGTTCTAGAGCCGTAGTTATAGAGGGTTCATAGAAGAAGAGGGTGTCGGATCGTGGGCGTGACCCATCCATCATTTAAGAGATCGGTCTGGAGGGAGGCAACTCGTGATGCAATCGCAATGCTACCAATTGATAAGGGAAGAAGAAAAAAAAATTAAAGGATTCGGAGATGACGGTGAAAGGGCGGTAAGCCAAAGCTGCAAATTCCCCCTCAGTTCCCCCCAGTTATGTAGCATCTCGCCCTTCTCCGACTATACTTATACTAGAATCACGCTGGTGAAGCTTTGACTTTCTTTATCTCGTTCGACATCGTACGTGCGTATCGTGAAGTGAGGACCTCAAAAAGAAGGACGAACAATAATAAGTCGATGTTGGCCCAGATTCGTACGAACACAGACAATTTCTCGTAACCCCTGCTTTTCCGCGCATGTAACCCCCCGCACTAATGATATACGTGATTGACATGATGCATTTCACTATGGAGCTTGGCATCCTTGCTACCGGCACAGCGGAGCGGGCGGTTGGCTAGATATTCGATCTCTGCCTCAGCAGGTAGGTACCTAAGCTGCTGCACAATAGGTACACTATGTCCAGTAGCGTCTGCGCTATCGTTATATCTTGCTGGGTGAGTCAATCCCGCGATCACTTCCAGGGGGAAATGATCGTCTGAAACCTAATCAATCCCGCCCTTCTCTAGCCGGGACACTCGTCAACCCTAATCAAACGTTGCGGAAGCACGTGTCATGCTCGTATGAGCCTCTATGTCTTTGATTTCCGTTCGCGCATATGGCGAATCTGTACCGAGGAAGTACGTGTACTTGTGTATGTATACCCACACTATCGTGCGCTGATCAAGACTGAGGCAGGGTCAGATTTACATAGGTCGGTTAGAGGAGCTATATACCTAGATGGATACCTAGGTATACATGGATAGACAATTTTATTTGATCATGAGGCTTTTGATCACTTCGTATCCTAGTGATACAGCCGATAACGGGGGCGGTTAGTCTTAGTATACATACGGAGTACCGGGTTTGCTTATTGGGGAGGGATGCCGGAAAGGTATCGGCCGGTAGTTGAAGATCTGCGATAGCTGCAGGCTCCCCCCAGTCACAGCTTTAGTAGAGCTTAGCCCGTACCAAAACCTTGCCTAGGAAACATCTCGACGCTATTAGCACCCAGAAATCCAGATTGAGCATAAGCTTTAATGTCCAATTATGTACATCGGATGACAGGTGTTGCCATACATAAGTCTCAATACCAGAGCCCACCGGTATCTAATTGATGCGAACGCTACGCTAGGGCGGGCTTTCGACAACGCACACCATGCAGATATATGATGAGGTCAGTTGGTACCTATTTATTACCCATCCTCCAAATCCGGTAGGCTGACGCATGTCGCCATCGTCCCAGCCTAGTCACCTAGTCACCTAGTCACCCATAGCCGTTTGTCGGCCCCTGGAGACATCCGGCTTCTGGGAATATATCCACCTAGTAGGAACTTAACCTTGATGTAGTAGCGTTAAACTATCTTGAGTCAGCAATAGTATGCGCGGGAGCTGCACGCTAGCACTTTGTAAATGCTTGAGAGGGGGGCCGATCACTAAGACCCCCCGGATGGGTCATTATTGGGTGGGCTGCAGGTTTCATCATCACATCACCCTGTCTTTCACTATGTATGTATACAAAAACGTTGCCAGACGTGGAGCATGTGTAGTATCTCGGTTTAGCCTTCTTCGTAGGCTCGATGTTACTTTGGCCAATATTATATATTAGTTGTCAGCTCCACACCCTGATGATCTAAAATTGTCGACTTTTTTCCCCCTGATGGTGTGAGATAGTATCAATTAAAGACTTGTCCTCCCTTTTTAAAATCCTTGATTCATGTTATCCACCAAAAGTTGTCGAAATAAGTAGCTGCCAGAACTCACTTGTTGCTACATTTTACCGCCACCTTTAATTAGGCTTGCCCTTGCTTCGTGTCTAGCGCTACAGCCCTCTTGTTGGCAGCCGATCAAGGGGGGAAACAGAAACGGATAGTAGTTGAAACGGTGGATATAATTGGTATTAAAGAAATATGTCGAAAGTTTCAAGAAAGTCGAGCCCACCGGCTATTTCAGACGATATCGACGCTATCACACCATGCCCATTAGCCTGTGGCAGTCCCGAAAGAGTCGAGTCCCCCGAACCCATCGACCCGATTGAGAAATTCCGAGCATCGAGATCGCCATCGCCGGATTCCGAATGTTCTTCAGTTCGCGTAGACATGTCCAGGAATAGGAGACGCGAGTCCCTTAAGGCTTTGGAAGAAGGGACGGAAGGCGACCCCGAAAGGCTATGGAAGCGGATGCTTGCTCTGCAGCGCACTTATGGCTGCTACAACTCGGCTAGAATGAGCGCGGCACTTAGTTCCGGAAATGTCAGCCTGTTACTACGTGAGTGACCTCTTCCGTCCTGCCAAGAAATTCATGACGTGGCCCCTCGACACGCCTTCTAACGAGATGCTAGCTTCCAAAGCGTGCCTGAATCTCTTGAACGAAAACATGACGTTTCTACCCGACGAAGCAGGAGGTGCGGTTGGGGTTTGGCAGCCGAATATGGATGATAGGCGTGGTCATTGATTTATAGCTGCAATGACGTATGTGATGTGGAGTGGGCACATTCCCCAGTCATTGAGAATGTCTTGGGTCCAAAAGGAGGTTGTATGTGCTCTAGTATTATTGGGCGTCGGCGGCAGATTGCATTTTGATACCCCTAGTTCGGAGTTTGAGAATGAATTTATCGACTTTTAATATGCGATGGTGCAAACCACCAAACTCGTGATGCCCACATCTTATATGAGATCTCAGCCATTTCCCGCCAAGAGGCTCCGAAGTGCGTTTTCTAACACTTTCTTACATTGGTCTCGATGTTCTATGGCCAACTGCTGGTTGCGGTTGGTAGGCTCATATTCCGGTTCATTCACCTCTATCTCTTCCAGATCCATGCTCAATTTTGAACCTAATGAATCAACGATTTTCGTAACCACCTCACCGGGAATCTCGCCCCGCATGATATTGGCCAAATCGATTTCGCCTGTTTCGTCTCCGCCCTTCGTAATAGCTTCGTATAGGGCAGCGATGAGGGTGTCTTGGACATGCGAGAAGCAAGGCAGACAGCTCATTGACTCTGCGCTCAAGAGTTTTGAGCGTCCTACGAATGAACTTTGATGCGCCATTGGTCTTAATGACACGATATGTGTAGCTGCCAAGTCGCCAGCATCGGGGTCCGCTTTTGTCTTAATATGAATATAGTCATTATGGAGATTATCGTTCTCTGGGAGCGTAAAACCATAGCCTAGAAGCAGCTCGACATTGGTTTTCATCCCGTAATTGTTAAATACTTGTTCCCCGGCCGAATATGTCTGTCTTGACTTGAGCGTGCATAATCGAGTCTGTTTGTCGGTGCTCCATGCAATTTTGGCCAATGGCGAATGGTTTCCAATATCATATAGAGGAAGCAGGATTGAGAAGTCATCCAACTCGCATGGAATACTTAGCTGAGTTTCTTCGGGAAGAATGAGCGAGGGGCGGAAACTACGGCTAGTAAATATACTAAACGCCCAGTGATACAACGGCCGTGTGTATGCTGTATGGTAGTTCTCTGGTAGTAATTTCATAGCGTGTTTGTATTCCTTTTTGAGATTCGATCTGACATCTTGCACCGCCGTAAAGGCATTGGTACCTCTCAAGAACTCGATATCATCCGATGGCCATACTACCGGAAGAATACTGCTCATATGCTCAGGCTGAGGGAGAGTTCGTATGTATGGCCACCACTTTGACTTGGACCCAAGAAGGTATTGTTGCATGAGAAAGAACCGACCAATGACATGGGGTGGTGTATTTTTCAAGAAATCCCCTGGGAAATAGCTTTCATCATCGTGGTTTGAGGTACTTGGAGATGAGGAGAAACCGAAATCCGGATGACCATCAATAGCATCGAGATACGAAAGGGATTTGGAGAGCGGGAGCGTAACTATAGCGTCATCAACTCCAGTTGAACATGATTCCCTCACGCGAAAAGACGCTCGAGTAACCTCGTCGTGGAAGATTTCAATGGCAGGATTGAGACTACCACCATCATTCTCTACCCATCGGAGTAGGGCATCGAAACGTTCTGTCACAACGTTGGCCATCGCAGAATATGTAGGAAAAATGCTAATAGTTCAATGCATTGATAAATATACCCCAAATATGCCTCATTTCTATACCTGTAATATACGCCGATGACAATTAGCGATGCCGAACTTCGAAATGAAATTGTTGTCAAAGTGAAAGTCGAATGTTAAAAAAAGAATTGGATATAATTGGCGAGTACTCGTGCATTATTATTATGTAATCAACTGATGTTTTTGTTATCGTAACACCGAGAATATCTCCGATTCCTATCTTATCGTATGAAATACTCCGATAAGACCGAATGCATTCCCGCTCGCTGTGATCCGCAACTTCTCTTTTCTTCCCCTTAATATTCAGATTGGTGGTCGAAATAGACGAATTATCTTCTACCTCTCTAGAAAAGGGATTATCTGGCCTGCTGTTATTTACCTAAAGTAATTGACTTCTGTCACGAGGCCGGTGTTACCGCGATGTTGAGCGCAGAGTTCACATTTACATCCTTTCAGATCCTATTATCATGGTATCGAGTCTCTATATTCAGAGAAGTCGAATCCTCCGCCATTTTAGCCACTAGATAAGAGATCGTTCCTGTTTCGATTATGTCCTAGTAACTCACTAGCTGTATTGTCGAGATATTTACCCAGGCAGGGGGTATACGGCCGTAAAGGAAACGTAGGAGCTCATATAGTATCTGCTATACAAGGTATAAAAACCCCAGATCTATTCATATATCAATAGCTCAAATATTACTCAGCCATTAATATATAGCGCTGACCGTAGTGCTGACTATAGATGTTGCAATCATTAGACGAACTAGTACCCATCGGCCTTCACGATACGGACACACACGCATCCCGACATGCTTCGTTCGTATAATCCAGGATAACGCCGTAATGTAATTCGGCATACCCCTTTCGTCTATAAGACCCCCTCCACCTCGCTAGTCTTCATGGCTTAACTCTATTGTCTTCCGGCTTTGGCTCTTAATACACCTAGACGATGGGAATCGCTACCTTTATCGAGAAGCTTGAGCGAACCCTCTCAGAGGGGTCGAAGGTACTGACAGGTTCGTCGAAAGCCGACTTCCAAGCGACCCTAGCACGATGGACCGATATAGATAAGAGGGAACCCGGTGCTGTGGTTCTGCCAGCTACGGAAAATGATATTGTAAAAATTGTATAGTTTATGACTGAAGAGTTGATTAGTCTTTGAGTACTAACAGTAAGAGACAGATCAGACTAGCAGTCGAATCATCCGTCCCCTTCGTGGCAAAAGCCGGAGGCCATAGTTCATGGTCGACTATTGGATCCTCAGGGTTAATATTAGATCTAAGTTTAATCAGGACAGTCGAAATTAATACCAAAAATCAAACGGCTACTGCAGGTGCTGGCACCTTGATAGAAGATGTGGTTCAGGCTGTTGATGAGAAGGGTTATTGTGTCGGTGAGTCTCGAGCGACCATTAGAAACTCAGCAGAGCTGATCCTATCTAGCAACTGGAACAGTCAATAGCGTTGGTTTCATCCCATCCACGGTCGGTGGTGGCATCACTCTTCTGGCCCCGCTGGTTGGTTTTGGCTCTGACAACATTGTATCTGCCCGCATGGTTACCGCCAAGGGAGAGATTATCGCCATTTCAGACGATGAAAATCCCGAGCTCCTCTACGCAATAAAGGGCGCGGGTCAGTATTTCGGTGTCATCACATCCCTCACCGTCAAAATACATCCTATTTCCATTCTGGGTACTCCTGATGGAACCGTATGGAGCGGAACCCTGGTTTTTGACCTGTCGAAGGCCGCCATCCAAGTCAAACAAAACACGACAAGATCTTATTGTCTGGCTGGCGTATTACCAGCGCCCCCGACTCTTGATCCTATCATTATGGTTGCCATCATTCACCTTGGAAGCAAGGCGGATGCTGACATAGCATTCAAGCCTTTGCTTGACCTCGAACCAATTGCAGTCCCAGCGAGTAGCGAAGTACCTTTTGGAAAGGTGAATGCGGCCTTCCAGGCGTTTGAAAGCAAAGGCGGCCTAAAGAAGTGGCTAGCGATTGGTCTTACGAGCATGAACCAATTCAAACCAGATGATATGACGCTATTTGTTGACCAGAGGGCTAAAGTAACAGAAAAATACCCAACTGCCAAGCCGACAGGCTTCGTCATCGAATTCACGAGTGATGGTCCTTGGGACAAGGTAGCGGCGGAGAAAGAGACTGCCTGGTCACACCGAGACATTGCTACATGGTGCCACTTGCTCTGTTGGGCTTCCGACGAGGAGACCCTAAATTATGCATACCGAGTAGCTGAGAGAATCAAAGAACACCTCCGCTCGACTCAGGAACAAAACGACTACACCATCTACGGAAACTTCTCGCGATCTGCGCCTGTCCTGGAAAGATATAAGGGGCATGAGCGCGTGGAGAAATTGCGTAAATTGACACTACGCTGGGACCCTGAGGGTATTTTCACAAGAGAATTCCTGTGAGAAGCTTACGGCCGATCAGACGCCATTTAGTTGAAATAATTATTCCTCGTTGAAAACGATACGTACGGCATAATCTATGTTTGTGCGATTATAAACTATTTGGTTTCGAAATTAAGATAATCAGCTACTTTGACCCCAAGCCAGACTAATTGGATGCTATTTGAGTCCGAGCTTTCCGAGCTTCGGACCCTAACAAAGCGGCTGGATTCCGACCGAAATTAAGCATAGGAATGCCGATTCAGGTATGCCGAGAAGTTCATTAGACATTAAATTGATTTATGAAGGATCATAACTGCCTGGGTATTCGATAGATTAGGTGTTCCCCGCGAAATATCTACGCCTCTCTCCGGCATAGACTCCTACTTTGGTACCTTACATAGTAGTATGTAGTGTCCCCACTGCACAATGGATATCCACATTGCTATGTAAGGCTTAGTGCATGCGTTTGGATATCTGGGGGAGACCTCCAAGGCCAGGGGCAAAGAGAGGGGTTCGAAGCACAATCCCCCTCTCAGAAACAGTATCTTCTGAGTCTAAACACCCGTGCCATATAGCCGAGGCATTTGAGGTCTTTCAGAAACTTATAACCAAGGCCATTAGGTTTGTCTATGGAAATAAACATTAATGGGTACGGCAAACCCTACTAAAGGAGAATGATCATTCAGCATTAGTACTCAGATAGGCTTCACGCTCTATCTTGTGTATCCCCAAAGGACATACAGGAATTTTCGGCCTCTAAACAAGAATAAAACACAAGATATAATTACCCAATATAAGAATTAATGGCCTTGCCAATGGTATACCGAAAGTGCGACAGCCCGCCTGATCCGAAGCATGCCACGTCCATCGTCCCCACTCAATATCTAACCGACTAAGTATTTCCCATGTCGAATAGCCCGTCTATTCCCTAGAAAATCCAGGGAATGAATCGTGCTGTTTTAGCATGCCATTCTTCCCACTCCACGCCGAATTTACCACGCAACATACGTTCCTCCTGTCGCACGCGCGTCCACATCGCGACTGACAGCGACAACGTCAGAGGACCGAGCACGGTCCATTCCAGCGTCCGCAGAAATCCGTACCAGGCTGGCGGAACCCAGCACCCGAGTGCGCCATCAGTTCGCATAAAGAAGCCTAAGTTGCAAGCGACGAGGATCATGATGCCGGTGTAACTGGGGTGTTGTACGTAGCGGTAGATGCCAGATGTATTCAACCCGTCGGGTTCCGCGAGCGCGAAGGTAAAATTCTTCCCCAATGAACCGTATGAAATAAGCCGGAGCGGGATACCAGCGCAGAGGATTAGAGCTAAGGGTATAGTCGTCGCTGGTGACCATGTAATCATATCTGGGTTAAGACCATTTGCTGCACCGTGCCGGAGCAGATATGATGGAATGTTCGGGTAAGTGAATGCTAAGCTCGAAGTATGCAGCGCAAGAAAACCCAGCGGTGCAAACGTGGCACTCAAAGTACTCTTCTCTGTGAGGTTTAGCCAGCGCATCGTGTCACCAGTCAATGGTATAGGTTTTGTGCTGATGTTGGGAGGTGAGAGCGCCGCGTAAGTCCCAACGCTAGAAGCTAGCACCGCAGCCGCCAGTGATGTCTGAGATAGTGAAACCGAGAACGCCATCTTTAATTCGAAGTTTTGACGGCAAATAGTGGTTTTATGAGAGTTGTAGGTATCATAGAAGATAAATTAAAGTAAAATACGACGTCCCGCCTTGGTTCACATGATAAATATAAATAACGTCCCCATATTATAGGCGTATAGTGTAGCAAGGACCTAAAAAGGGGATAACCAATCTTGACGTAACCGGCAAGGCTCATCTTGGGGTTGCGATGGTTGGTGCGAATACCGAATGACCGGGTATTTGACGCCAGCAAGCGATGCTCTTTTGGATCCGAAATATGGGAGGGGATATGGTAGAGTCGTAATCTGAGTCATGGGTGAGCACGCTACGCTAAAGAAATTGGAATACGTTAGAATATGGGAAGGCAATGCTAAAACGAGAGAGGACAAGGGTTGTACGAGGATTATTAGAAAACGGGGCCAACGTTCGAAAATTGGAAACCGGTAGGACTAAAGAGGATGGCGACAAGGCTGGGTAAAGGAAGCGATGTAAAAGATGAACGAGAAAAGACGGAGAAAGAAAAATGGCCTAGCGAGTTTGAAGTGGGTGGTGGTGAACGAGATACTTCTTAGCTGAAATTGCCTCTAGGTGGTTATTTATTTGACCTTTGCTGTTATTGTACATACGATTTATACTAATTTCAGTACGCTACCGAATTGTTTCGGTACATACGTAGATGGCTCTCTGCTCATTTACAGACCAGACCGAGTGCAGTCTTTATCTGAGCTCTGAACAAACCCTCGTCATGACCTTCCTCATCCTCTCCGTGGTCTCGACTACATTTCCCTCCGTCATGGATTTGTAGACCACTTGCAGCAGAAGAGCCAGCTTATCAGTTTTTACATCCACATCCATCAACGATGGTATATCCTTCTCTACTTCCGATGAGAATCCCCCAATCAAATCTCGCAGGAGCTTTACGCTCTCTTTGTGTAACAGAAAATAATCAATTGAGAGGTCGTTCTCGAGAATAGACGTCGTAGTTTCGTCGAGGATTTCTAGCAGTTGCACTGGCGAAACAATAGCTGACCCAATGGTATCTTTTAGGGTTGCAGGATTGGTCGATGCTTGCTTTAAGAACCATTCGTCTAGCTCGGCGTCGACCTTGTCCTGTACAATATCCTTAAGGTATGCCGTTGGTTGGCGATAATGGCCGAGGAGTTCCCACGCATACCTTTGATGAAGGGCTTTGACCGGCTTGGGAGGGCCTATGAATTTGTTGATAGAGGAGCTATCGGCTCCGAACAAATTAGAGTCCACGAATCTCTTGAGGAGGACAATCGGGGTCAGTTCTGGGGATACGGTCCCCTGGAGCACTTTATCCTCGCCATGGATTTTGAGAAAGCGCTCCATTTGAGGCCAGTGTAAACCAGTGATGTATCCAAGTCGTGATGCTACATAAACGAAAGCCGCACCGAGCACCACAGGCGTTTCGCTTATGAAGCGGAACGCAAGATTGTTGAGGACAAGTCGGCAGCGGAAATCCATGAGCCCAGACCATATTGGATTTTTCTTCAAGAAATAATGTCTCTCGAAAGATTCCGTCATCCCCTTTTCCAGAAACCTTCTTTCCTTATCTTCTTCAAGGAAGTCCGATATGGCAAACATGTCAACCTCTGCCAGCCTGTCTCGGTACTCCTTTTTAAGGTCCTAAGGACTTCTAATGTTGGGTAGATGCTCTTGGAGAGTGGCTTTCATCTGCGCGCCGGTAGTTTCTAGGAGGCGAAAAGCGTGATCCACCTGGTCTTCGAGAATATATCGAATATCAAGATATATCGCTAACCCGAAAATGGCGCCTGTAGAATACCCCCGCACTCGTAGTATGTCTTCGAAGTCAAGCGTGAATTCATCTTGCGCACTGACAATCATCGGCAATAGCCCATTTGCTTTCATAGCCTTAATAAGACAACATTCGGGCATTATCTCGAACATAACATTCTTCATGAACTCACGATAACCCTCGTACTCATGCACACCGTATTTAGGTTGTATTATAGCTTCAGTTGGAACCATCGGTACCTTTCCTGGCGGTATGAATTCCAACATCTGGGTGATCTGAGTATATGCGGGAAATGCTAGCCAATCCGCTTCGCCAAAAATCTTATGATTTCTCTCACGATCCGTTAGCTTATCTTCATCTGAGTAGTCCACATGGTCGAGGCCGTATTCAAAGAACAGCGTGTCGAGCATGAAATCGTAATCAGCCATTTCGGGGACATCTTTGAGGGTTCTTTTCAATTCAGCTTCCATCTCATGAAACATTTCGCAGGCGGCGTTCGTCACTACCGCGAGAGTATCAAGTGCCACCGATTTATGATAAAAGTATTCAGTCCAGCGATCAATGACGAAGGTCCGTATAGAGTTGAAATCTTGAAAGAAGCAGTAGATCAACATGTAGTAGTCATACTCATCGTCGTCCTCTTCTTCTCCTTCCAGCCATTGGAAATTATCAACCCAGGAAGTTCCTTGAGAGCCTGTCTTTCGCTTCTGGGTGGGTTGACTCTTTGGTGGTTTCTTCGATTTTGACTTTTTGCCGTTCTTCTTCGGAGTCTTCGTCTTACGCTTCGGAACTGGCGCAGCTGTGTCGGAGTCCTCGTTCAGGTCTCCTTCATCTCCAATCTGCGAGTCTTCGGGCTTTAAATATTCGAATATATTTTTTATATCCTTCATATCCAATCGGTTATCACTACTCGTTGAGGGTGTTGACGTAGATGGTCGAATTTTGGATATAGCAGCCTCAAATCTGTGCAAAATCCCTTCAAGCACCTGGATAATATGATCATGCGCGGAGGTTTTCTGCTTCAACGCGTCATTATCCGAATTAGCTGCCGCCGAGCTAAAGAATCGCGCGCTCCTCTTTCTGAGCTGTACGACGTCGCGTAAAATGTCAATCGCCGACCGAGGAATCTTTTCAGGATCGGTGTTGTCTATGACTGTTGTTGTCATTGACTCTAACTCTGACTAGTGGATTGTAGATGATGCTTTTGCATCTTCTTTGGTAAGTTGGCGCTTCTTGGGACTTGAATCATTATTAAGACTTGCTGTTCCAGTCGATGGCTTTACGGAACCATTGAGCCGGATCTTGTCTGAAGTTTGCTTTAGCCATTTTTGGAATTGAGCTTGACCAAGCTTGTACCTCTGGTATGTCCCCAGAGTTCCTGACTCCCTTGAAGATGACATTTTGCTTAGAATACTTTATGTGAGTAGGTAAGTACCTAATCTACATGTAGGTAGATAATATGAAATGTTAGAAATGTCCAAACAAAATGCATTGGGCCGTTACGATTCACGTGATCTCAACACATTTCCACTATTATATCTATTATATGCGAATTGTGAACAGGGATTTGAAAATAAAAATTCGTTCGCCATGATGATTTCAGAATTGGGATAAAAAAAAGAAAAAGAGATATAGGACGCGTTCCCGTCTGGGTACTCATGGGCCTTTCTACGTACTACCTAAATAAATTTACAGGGAGAGATACAATACATTACCTCAACCCCTCATCCTTTATACCCTCTCACAAATCTTCGAGAAGCTGGCCACGTCTACATAATAGATATGATTTATTGTCATGGCTGAGAAGTTTCGAGAGATCATGCAAATATGCTTTCATGGTTTCAAATAAAAGGATAATTTAATGAGGAATATAAATGCGTCGATATACTACGGCCGCCATCCCCAATAGCAAAGGATACCTACTTAGGTACTTACTTGGGTCGGGTATTTTCGTTAAGTAGATAGGTACACAGGTAGTACGTTATCTTTGTGCGTTGAATCGGCACCTTCAATGGGTGAAGGCGAATATTCATTGCTCGACTTCGCATTCTCTACCTACTTGTGAGCTCCCTCTATCACCCGCACATCAGCTTGGAAAGTTAGGTGGGTTAATAAGGCGAAACAAGGATATACAATTCCGACAGAAATTTGTAACGTTCTACCCCTCACGAATAAGTACTTGCGCAGCATCCATACCTAGGTACCTAGGTATCCTCAATCCGCCCTCTACCACCCAGGTAGGTACCTAGGTATCTTTATCTTTGAGGGATCTTGCACTTTAGATATGTGCAACGGTCGTCCTATTTAGAGAATCACCATGCCACTTATGTCTGCCCATCTCCAGGAGATCGCCCGAATGAATACTCATATACATATGGCAACAGAAGGTCATTATTGATCGAAATTTCTCGGCTATTGAGCAACAGAGGGTTGAAAAGACACTATGAACCGAGGGGTTTTTCTTTTTCATCCTATGATAGCTAAAGAGAGGTTAGTGGCCGCGTGGACTAGCATATTCGCAGAATTCAAAATACTTAGACGAAATCGGTGTTCGTGCACATGAAGCATGTGCTTTACGCTTCGGCCCTTCATGCACGACTAATTCTGTTCATCTCGGAGCAATTCGAAGCTTTGCTAACGGAAATCCGACGTGGTTATGTGCAAGGTCCAAAGGCACGGAGTAAACTCCTTACGGAGGTATTGGACGAACGCCCTGTCTAGCTTCGGGTGTTTGGTTTATCGACGTCCCGAATGGTGATGAGACGAGGAGCTTGCTAATGATTATATTGCTACGTTGTTGATTTCCTCGGTCTGATTCGGGTATCTGAGCTGACCTAAACGGTTACCCGGTGGCGCGGTTCCCAAGTTACAGCGCTGTTCGGTACCGAAAAATGCGCCGTACTACAGTATGGTTGGGTGATGCTACATACGCTAGGGTATGCAAGTTCACAGGGTCCACGATTCTATTATGTGTGCTAATGTTAGCTCCCTACCACGCCCTCTCATACGACAGTCAGCCTCATTCGTTGTCCCATCATCATTTGTATGCATCTACTCATATCACATCTCACATTGGAATATGGAGCAAAACGGCTACCTCTAATCAATACAGCTGCAACGATACGGGGGTTGCATGTGATTTTATATTGCTGAGCAATACCCATGTCTTCTGAGCTAGGAATACGTCAATATGAAAGTAAAAAAGGTATATAATCCTGGTGATCATGCTCCTTAGGCATAGGGTTAGGATTGATACCATCGTAGTTTCACATAGAAGTGTAGAATGATGTAGACCTAGATACTTTGAATCGTAGGGAAAGGCAAGCCCAGAATGAATATTCTCTAACTCACCTATTTAGGTAGGTTATTAATCTACTTCAAGGTCCTTATGTGGGTGCGCGGCGCAATCATGAAGTTTTGTCAAGCTATCTCAATTCGTCACTCATACCAAAAGCTTTCTATTGCGGCTAGACCCAAAAGGCCTGAATGCAACCAAACTGGAAAGTTTGGTTTAGGTCCAATGGTCGATGTTGATCACTTTCGTGTTGATATACAGAGTAGGCCAAGGGTTGGGTTAACAGTACTTTATAAAATGGTACCATACCTAGGTAGGTACAAGACTATATTTATAGGGGTATTCGTATCGAACGTACATAATTAACTAAATTACCTAGGTACCTACCTTAATAGACTTATAAAAGAAAATAACCACTATTATACACTAGCTTTATTGATATTACTTTCCTTAAGTAATAAAAAGCGTATCAATGGTTTGTTGGTTCCTAAATAGCTACAAGTTTCAATATGATGTCAAGAACTTGTTTTAAGTACCTCTTATAGGTTCTTGAATCATGGGGTTGTATGAGATACCCCCTACTATTTTACAGGCCCATGTTTTTCCTGGTGGAGTATGATGCTCGAAATACCCGTGTAATTACATCCGATGGTATGGATTAACACAACTCTAAGCGACCCGAGACGCTGCACTGGGTCAATGTTTATTGGTCCAGACAAAGGTCTGGGATCATGTACTTGGTTCCCTAGTTTCTATGATTCCCAATGTTTTTCAAATACCGCCTGACATCACCGAGGGATGCTGTTGATCGTTTACGGTGACATAGCGCGGATTCAGCGAGCACATCATCCCGCGCTCAATGATTTGCTCTACGACACCACTAAACATGTATAAGTTTGATAAACCTCCCTGTGGGTACGCCGTAAAGTCATAATGCATCCATACACCTATCTGGCTAAGTACCTACCTGCTTAGGCAAGTTAATAAGCGAGTGGGTATAGAATAACACTTCCCTAAGGATCCCATCCTTGAGGCTACAAAAAGAGGGAGAAAAAGAAGAAAATTTTTATGGGGGCGGGAAATTTCATATTCTCTAAACGCGATTTAAAAAAAAAATTGTAGTGTATCTACATATCAACCACACAGATGACGGGTTTCCGCCCGTGCGAAATACGTGTTTTCCGCATCATGTTGTGTTGTCGGGCATCGTCGCGACCCGCAGTGTGGCATCTCTTTTCAACTACCGAACAAAAGACAGGGTGAATATCCAGCCAAGACACGTGGCCGACCCCGTTGCACGTACTACATATGTAGACTCCTGTGGGCTGGACCACTGCATCTTTAGTTGCTTATATAAGTACCGAATCTTCTACTAGAATATTGATTATTAGGTTAGTTACTTCATTGTGTATAATGATTATAGACTCGGAGTTAGAATTATTTGCGCTGTCTTATAGGTACCGTAGGTATCTTCGCCTACAACAAAATTGCCATTTCATTATTTGGTAAGGAAGTATACCCGTATCAAGCTTCCCATCTCGCTTCGGTAATTGTGTGCCGCTTTTGGAAATTCGTCTCTTCAGAATAAGATACGAAGTACAATACCTAGACGCTGAGTCCGATTAAAATCGGGCGAAAACACTGCTTTGACGGGTCTTATCAACTAGCGTGGACAAATAAATGGCTACAAGTGCAGTTGGATCCTCGTAGTGCGGATTCATAGCTTCTGGAAGGCTTCGCTGGCTTTAATTTCGGCCACCATTCGTGGAGATGTCCCACGGCTTGGCGCAAGGAATCAAGGCTATGGTTGATCCTTAAGGTGGTAGGTGACCCACGTGCTAGCTCTTAGGCTAATAATGCGTTTCGAAGTCTTACTTTAGGGCGTACATTAGGTATCCTTGTGCTCATTGGCAGCTGTATATAGGTACATATTCATGCAAGTACCTAGACTGGTATCTACATGTTAGGTATTTATATGTATATCTGCTTGCATGATTTTTTGTCTTTCTTAATAGGGAACTTAGAAACAAAAATGACTATACAATACGGAATATTAAGTAGTAGAATAGGTATTATTATATACTTGCTAGCTTATTAGCTTCCTAATCTAGATTGATTGCATAGCAGACATAACAACCCTCCGAGGGATGTACCACCTTAGTCACCTAGGTGGCTATAGGCTCAAGTATAAGTTAACAAGGTACGATTTCTTCGGGTTTACCCGCTCTTCTAGCATTGATAGTTTTCTTTGTGACGGCTTCTCTCCGATGGCGGGAAAATCTCTACTATAGTATGTCTAGTGTTATTATATTTCCCAACCGGTTAGTAAACAAGCAAATGAGGTAGTAAGGTGGTATCATCTTAGTGGTATCATCTTAGCCAGTCCTTCTCTTTTTGTCGCGTACATTATTTCCTGGGTAGATTCTGAAACAACTCGTTTCTTGTTTTACTTCTTTTCGAAAATCCGCGCTAAATAACTACATAGAGGCAAGTACTGTAAAGGCTTCTAACCTGTTAGGATAGGTACATTGCTTGATGCCGTCTAGCGCAGTCCTTGCACGCTACAGCGGGGTGGGACATCCTCGTCCGCCTGAAGAGCTTGCTTCCTTTTTCGTCTTATTCTTTTTTCCCATAGCGGATCCTAATCCAAGGTTTTGGTATATACCATATACGTATTATTCTCACTATGTTATACATCTTTATCATAATCTTGAAATGCCTAATGTATTAATTACATGACCCTTCTAAGATCAAGATGTAACCTGATTATGTGAAGGTTGCCAAGGTACTGCTTAGGTATATAACTAACTTATTAGTCTCGTTAATGTCTCCATCATGCGGTCTAGTATCCCAGCTGACGTACATAAATAAGCACAAGGTGCTTAACATGTCGGAGAAAAGTCCGTTAGCTAGCCGTCCCTGTGCATGGTGCCCACCTAGAGCACGGTGGCCCAACGCTAAAAGAGGGCCGCCTCGTCAGGCTAGCAATAAGTACTAGGTGTCAATCGTACCTAGGTCCCATGAATATGGGTCCCCAGACGACCATGTACATAGCTCTTCTCAGTGGCTTCCAGTTAGTGGTCCAGGCCAGATCCCCCTGTACCATACAGCAGAGTCTCCAGTACCGGCCAACTCCTGTCTGGCAAGGATCATGGTACAAGGACGAGCCCATTCAAATGTCATCGATGATAGGTGCATGCAAACGTCTTGGCACCTTTAGAAAAAGTAGTGTGGTCTGTATGAATCCAGGCACACCTGGCCAAAGGTTCCTGGTGTTGGTATGTACTTCTCCAGCGCTGTCAGTTGCGAGCACGATCGTCGATACGACAAGCTTAAATACACACATATTCCCACCCACCTTCGACTTTGTTTGTTTTATTCACTTATTTCGGAGTTATGGATGACACTTATCGACTACACAGCAAAATAAGCGCATGATTTTTTATTTATTTAACACTTTACCATCTCTAGACTTCTAGGTCTACATATTGGCAGAGTTTAGAGAATATATTGGTTTAGAAGCTTATCTCTTTCTGTTACTCCGGCCCACTTAGACTTGAGTCGAACCGACTACACCAATTCTTCGACAATGTGTGATTACACACAGGTATTTCTCTACAACCAGATCATACAGATTCAGGGAATGCTTTGACTAAGCTTGTATTAGGTAGAATATTGCTGCCAGCACTTTCGCTTTGTGGTTCAAAAATGGTGCAAAATCTATGAGAGAACAGGTCGACCATGTCCGGCGCGGGTCACACATATGGAAATAAGGTATGCTTGTACTTCGCCTTAACTATATGTACATGGGCAATTGCTGACTGGCCTCCCGCTAGGCATGATGAACTCTGCTGTAAGATTCTCTATATTACTATCGGGAACTCCCCCACCCTCGTTTAGTGCTCGGTTCCCTAAGTTACAGCGTTGACACCTTTAATTCGCATGGTAGCCCCAGCAATACATTCCTTTTTTTTGACAGGACGCCTATATATGCACCACGCAACACGTTTGCGTAGTTCTATACTTGGCTAACATAAATTTTTAGCTGACTGCCGTCCGCGATCCCCACCAGCATGGGAGCATATGATTAGACGAACCAAGAGACATGCGTCGTACATCTAAATCAATGGACTTATTCTTTCTTTAACGAGGCAAAAAATCGGCGTACCATTATAAGGGAATCATTAGGGAAAATATCGGATTTGGGACACTAGGGATTGTTTCAGTGGTACAGATCTTCAGGGCAATAAGCAACCACACTGGGCTGTACTACAAATGCAACCCTTCTTCTGCGGACCTCCTTACTCTTTGGAGAGTGCGTTCCGTGGCAAAGGCAAGGGCTGCGAGGCTTGGAGTCTGGTGTTATGGATACTAGGTAGGGTTTAGGGCTATTAAATGCGGCGTCGTGTTAGCCATGGGTAGAGGAAATACAGCTTTCATCATGATGGAATGACTAGAACACCGCAGGACATAGTTTATTGCAGCATTGCCTGCGAGAGGTTATCATACTCCAAAAGAGGAGCATGCTATTTCGAGGGATGAATCTAGCAGGAAATAACGGGTTACTTGCTTACTAAATAAAAGACAGCCTTAGAGTATAAAAATGTATTATCAGGTATAAGTCATCTCGTAAGAAACTGATCGTTCTTATTTCAGAAGTCCAGTACTTGAGATAAGGCTGTTTAGCGACGATGACCGCTGCCGCCAAGAGCTCTATTGGTCAGTAACCCGAAACGACAAATTAGCTTGCGGCATTGCGCCGAACTAGAACCCCCCCATGGCCGCAATGTAATGCAAGGCGCCAGAACCAGTGCTAATGTAGTGGTACGGGAAACGCCGTCCCACCTTAATACATTTAATGAGTACCTAGGTAGTTTTGGGTCTGGTGTTAACGTTCGTCCAACTTGTGGAGGATCCCCCTCTCAAGTCGAGCAAAGATAGTCCATGCATGAGGTGCCTTTTCTACATCAAAAGAGAAATAAGCTGACAGCGCTCGGCGAATAAATACTGCGAATCATATCATTACAGGATCTGAGTTTTTAGAATACGGTGTGTAGTCAAGTTCCGGTAAGACGCAAATCTGCTGGGCAACATCTCGGGTTAGGGACCATGTCGGAATCCCGACTACCCCCGCGTTCGGGCATCTACCGAAGTTGCATTTTTAAATATCTATGTGGTTGCTTCAAGACGGCTGGTACGAGCTAAAAGAATTTCCAAGTGAGGCGGACCCGCGCTTGCTTGTGAGATTTTCTATGAGTTTATACGTGTCAAGGCAAGAAACAAAATAGCATATCCTCCGCTAGATGGAAATAAGCATTCTGGAACCTTTGTAACCTTGGGCACAAATGCAAGTCACAAATAGTCGGTAGTTTGTCACCTACTCATTCTTACATCTAAGCGCCGTACCTAGGTAGGAGATAATATCACGTTTTTAGAGCCATATGCAAGGCCACTTTGGAGGCATTCATCATATATGTAGATTACTTAGATTCTGGTAAATTACAACTCCTTTCCGAAGAATGAAACAACCTCGAGTCCTCTTAGATTGTTCTAGGTACTTAAGTACCTAACTTTGATTCTATGTCGAACGCTAGCCACACCGTCTCTGCGGTGACACCCACCATTCTCTATTAGAACTCTGAAGGGATATCCCGATCTCGGGCCGTCTATGTAGGAACTACGCTGAATGATACTCAGCGTTAGATAATGGGTTTCAAATTACCCCTCCCCCCGGATACTTCATTGGTAACATATTAGGTCCGGCACGTAGGTAGAAACTAAAGGTCATATCTGTTATTCAGTTTATTTTTTTGTCATGTGGTTAGATTAGGTGGATGGATGCGACTCTGCATGCATAACAAGTAAGTCACGCAACCTCGCGAGTTTCGACCGAACTTATCAGCTCTAGGAAGTACACGCTTATTTATCGAGTTGACGGCAAATTTTGCGGGCTGCTGTTAACAGGGGGGTTTCTTAACTGTGCCTTCCCTAGGCTGATTCTCTTATATCCATACTTTAGTATTACCAGACGTCAGAGTGAACAATGCAACTTACCCAATTAGTGACGATAGCAAACTGTTGCAGTCGGACTAGATGGTCATCGACTCCGATGCGGTGTCAGACATATAGATAACATATTCTAAGGATCTACTATTCTAAAACGAGTACATCCAGATAAATACAAAGTCTCAAGCAAGGAAAGGAGGTAGAAAACTACGTAGCCTAGGAAGATCTTTTTAAGAACAATACGTAGTACATAAAATAACCATTTATAACCCCGCTTAATCAACTTATAATTGTTCAGGTGCCACCACAGCACGTGGAACGGGGGGCTTGTAATGATTTAACAGGGCTACGCGCTTGTATATAACCTACCTAGGTACATATGTATGTAGATACTTTGCTCGTCTCGCAACTCCGTCTCAACAAGGAAGGCCTGGCAAATTACAATGCAATTACGTTAGTTTCTTGACCCATCGAATTGACGGTATATAATGTGACAAGCTAATCTTGCGTCATTCGGCTCGTAGGGCATCGGTATGAAATAGTCTTATTAGCTACCTAGGTTAGATAGGTATATATGCAAGCTTCAAAGAAAAAGAAAGGAAAAGAAGAGTAAAAATTCCAGAACTTTGACAAGGGTGTCCTAGTGCTACGTGCCTACATACACATACGTACATATGTAGTACGCATACATGCGTATGCGTAGATCCAAATAACGAAGGAAAACCTCCGACGCATTATTTTAGTCTAACATGCAGGGTCCTCCGGGGCATTGCAGACTCTTTTAGGGTACTTAGATAGGTACCAGGAGTCAACCGAAACCTCCTACCGGCCGACCTCTGTCTAATTCTAATATACCAACGTACTTACTACATTATAAAAAGTACCTATTTACTTCGGATAGAGGCAGTTTAGCAAGCATATATGAGTCTGAATGTATGATCAGTATATATGCAGTACTAGGATGCCTCCTTTTCCACTTACACTGGGTAAGTAGGTACTTATGTACTTATATAGCACACTCTACTATAGGTAGGTACATGCGAAGGCAAGTCCCCGTAATCCCACTTGGTAAGTACCTAGGTATCTAATCCACCTCGACTCACCGAGATATGAATTCAGTAATCTAAGGCCGGTACAACTCCGCTGCAGCAATGCTTAAGCACTGTATTACAACAGCGCTATACATGAATTCATAACATACATATCTACCTAGATAGGTACCTAGGTACTTGAATGCTAATACACAACAATATTTCTACGTTACAATTACCTATGTACCTTAGTAGGTACTTTACCTAGATGGTCCACTTAAGCCCAAAGTCCAATCAGAGCCTGGCTATTTACTAGCGCATACCCTTATGGGAAGTATTGTACGTAGATTGAGCCAATCAAAGGAAACTATTTTCCCTTGCAAGGATTTAGGTTGTACCCTCAGGCACATGTATTTATTTACTTTTACCGTTTGAATAATTGTATAATTAGGTAGATTTGTTCCATTCATGATTATCTCTAAATGGGGATAAAGACCAAGAGAATTTGCATACGTCTGGATCAAGTGAGATACTTGATTTCACGTATTGCCGAGTCCTTCCGTCCGAGACCTCGGGTGGTAAATGTACCTGAGTACCATACTGTACTATAAACTAATCTGATGGTTCTTGTCAATCAAACTTCCGTGCGGCACCAGGGTTTTCAGAGAATCCGATTCGCTATGCCAACTTTCTCCTATCCTAAGCGCTACAGTAGGATTGCATCCATACATTAAGTAGAACAGTGGACCACTGGAGGAGAACATCTTGACTTTCAGGTAACGAGAACACGGTGCTTGTCTACCTAGGTAAACTATGATATATTGGTATTAAATCGTTTGGGCTAGTAGTAATATAAGGAAAAGTCGGTAATTCCTGTCTCACCAGGTAATTTACCATAGTTGATTTTTGGTTTTGTTTTTTTTTCTCCCTTCGAAAGTATTTCGGCCGGTTCTCACCGTCCTATCGTATTTCTCCCAGGTTGTACAGGCACTATGCTTATTTTAATTCATAATCGGCCGAGATAGAGGAAAGGGATGATAAAAGAAAAAAGGACGTAGGTACCTAGTTGGACAGGGAATAACTCGTAGTATCTTCTAACCCATTTCATCCTTAGCAGGTTGAAGCTAAAGGCTGTGTGCCGTAGAAGTAACTCCACTCTATGAATCGTCACTCCACCCATTGTCACCTCACCCGCATCGACGTTTACTCATGTGACTACCTAGGTACGCTAAGATGTATACACAGTATGGTGCCGGCTCTCGAACGGGCTGACGGAGGCTCTATTCCTTACTTGGGTCTCGAGTGGCTGGGGAAAAAAACCGCTCTTGAAGAGCCGGGATCGAATGCCTACCAAGTATAAGCGGGTAGGTCGCGTCTATGTCTCCATCACATATGTGTACTTAGTTACCTTAATAACATATTCAGGTAAGTTTCGCCTACTAGTGGGCTAGGATTAATATTCGGTGGTTTATTTACTTCCATAAATCGACGAGCTTCACTTCCATTGTTTCAAAAAATGACCTCCGTGTGGCACGTACTTAACATAACCATGGTACTAGCTACTAGACTAAGACGGATAAGCTTTATAACCTAAGTTAATCATGTAGTGGTTCGGCAGATAGGAATTCAAGTAAAACATACTAGATGGATATATCTTTACGTAGCTTATATGGGCAACAAGAGCTTGCAAATGAAAGACTTGCCTATCCAGACTGAATAATGCCTACTTACCTAGGTACCCAGGTATCTAAGGTGATAAGTAACAACACCTACCTACGAAGAGTAACCTTTTCGTAAAAACATGCCATCCCTTTCTAAAATTCGTTAGTAAATGGATTTTAGGTTTATTTTTAGACATCGCAATGTAAGTGATACATGAGGAACGTAGAAGCGGTACATCAGATACCCTTACCTACCTTACGACACCTAAGTGCTTAGATATGTAACTCATTAATATAATAAAAACTATCGCACTCTGCATGGCAGTACGCCATACGTACCTAAGTACTGATGTACATATTTACAAATGAATAAATAAGCGCCTAAGCATATGCGGGCCCACTAGATATCTAGCGGACCGACCCGTACCTTCGGGTCACTCTAGGAGTTATCTAGTCGATCACGACTCTCTAGGCTAGTTGAAATGCATCACATTACTTCTTCTCTATGCAGGGCGCTCAGAAGGGGAATACGCGTAATATGCTTGGTTTCCTTACGGGCAAAATGTGCCGCACATTCTCGCAAGTAATCCTCTTAGTAGATCATTTAAGTTCTCTGAGCCACACATTCACATTAAGGGGCCCTAGACCAACGATAAAACGTTCATCCAACATGCATCTCACCTACTTATTCTACGATGTCGTTACAAAAAAGTAAGTCCGAGACAGGGGGGTGACTTAATTTTGGAGGGGAAGATATCCAGCGAGCGATCGTCGCTAACTAATTCGGCAACTCCATCTCCCGTTCAAGGTAAAAAAGAAGCAAAATACTAGTTTCGATCTGAAGATAATTTCTCCGGCGAGAAGAGGCGCATAAACACCAACCTGACTGGACGAAACCGCACTTGGTGTTTGAACCCGATTCTCACTGCATGACGGTGGAAATTTGTGCTTCACAACCCTTGTAACTGACCGGGGGAGGAATGAACACCATCACATTTAGCATTCTAGATATGAAGTTATGCCTGTGAATTGGCTCCCGTTGCAGCTAGCCTCTGCCTGATCTCATGCAAGCCCGCTAGATCTACATGGGACTGGGCAAGATGGAGGCAAGGGGGGCCCAGCACGAAGGCAGCCAACACATGAGCTCGATCATAATTGATCGTTAAGATCTGGGTTACTATGACTGAGAACCAATATCACCCCTCGTTGTTGGCTAGGGCCACAATATTTGTGGCGTTAGATCGAGTTTACAATTGGGTGATTCGAGGGCAGATGATCGATGTTGGAGATCTCTAACGGGAGCCTACAGAAGAACAAGACTCTGCTAGCCACTAGCAGAACGAGATAATTTCCTATCTACTCAATTCCAACGAATCGAAGAGGCGAGTCGACCGGGAAACTCATCTCTAATGTTGCTTATGAGTTTTTAGTAAAGGGGCGGTCCTGGCTTTTAGCCAGCGGAAGACTTAAACAAATGGGATTCATCTTCATATTGGTTACTTTCGGTTAGACCTGCAAGCAAGCTGTCCAGATGCGGTAGTTAGCGAATTTAATTGTAATAATGGTTGATACACCATTGCTATCAGTGGGCATTTGCAATCAACATCCTACATAACTGGACTAATATATTACACTAGATTGTATCCACCTAAAGTACCTGAGTCTTATTTGGCTATAATGTTATGATACATTTTTTGATATTTCTATCGGTTAATAGGGAAACGTGTCATTCGCTTTAAGATATTGAGTAGCAACAGAATATTCATTTGTAAATTACATCAAGACACCATAACTCGATATGATACCCATCGCCTTTTTGGGACATCAAAATCTACAAGTTGCCTAGTAAGCACACGTATCTCAACTCACCCCAGAGCCATTGGATCCTTGAAACGAGGTTTCTAGTAGCAAATACCGCACGATGCTCTGTAGGTTGTTCGTGTTGAGTTATATTGGTTGTGGTGGTAGTCTGGGGGTGGGTTATCCGAGCTATCGAAGACGCCCTTTTTTATAGGCCTTAGTCACAAGATATTACAAGAACAATCATTTTTATTCCATACAGTCTTATTGTAACTCTTTTGAGTAGATATTCCCTAGTCGCGATCCTCAAGGTCGAAATCTAACTCTTCATAGTACCGGAAAAGGCCATTTGCGTAGTTCAGCCTTCTTTTGCTCGCTAAGTAGTCCTTGATCTTAGGCCGTTCTTTCACTGCTTCATACAACTCGAAGACGCGATTATACTTGCCTGATTTTTCAGCAGCAGCCACTATGACAACGACAGTCAGTATTCAACCATCTAAGTGTCTACTACTAGGTAGGCAAATTCAAGGGGGGCTCATAACTCTCGCTAGAGAATCTTATCCCATGAGGCAACCAGGAAAAAAACAAAAAGAACAACCAGTTGGTGTTACTTACTGGCCTTCCTGAAGGAATGTTTGGCACCGTTGAGGCCCTATATTGTATTGTATTAGCGATTGCCCGTATTATTCCCTGGTTAGATGATAAACTACTTGCGAATCGCGTAGGAGAGAGAAAAAGGGGGTGCGGCTCACTTGGAATAGCACTAAATCTGCATAAGTCAATTGTCCACTATATAGCCATGGCCCCTCTCCACTTGCTTTGCCTTGGATCACACGCTCAAAATAGCTGAGAAATTTGGGGAGTCGGGTCTGGACAAAGTCCTTAGTTCTTCGTTTAGCCTCATCCTTCTGGTCTTCGTAGTACAAGCCTACGGAGATAGGGTGGTGGCTCTCGTGCATTTCATTGCTAAAGGCATCAAGGGCTGTGAGTGCCAGCATATTGACCTTGTATAATGCATCATGGTGCTTGTCATCTTTGGGGACCACTATAAAGATGGAAGTCAGCCGTTACTATTCGCTGTGCATAGAACAGCGATTATCGAGCATATGCAAGTAGGAAACTAGTAGGGGAAATAGGGGTACGTGTCACCTACGTCCGAGTCGCGGTCCTAAGTATAATAAGATGTTAGAAGTTTGAGAGATGAGGAGATCGCCATGGCGGAGTATAGGGCACGCGAACGGTGGCGGATTGAAGTCGTCCCCTAGATTTTTTTCATCGTACTGTGCAATGACTTGATCTATGCCGTTTTTGAATTGTGCTGTATCCATGTATGTAATACCAGCTTCTTCTAGTGCCAGGCGAATGAATTCTCCACGGCCCGGGAAGCCAGGCCAGTAAAGAAGTTCGTATGACGCATCTTTAGGCGACACCTGGGATTCCTGAGAAGACATAGTGGGCCGTTTATGCCGGGGCTACTATTTTGAAAATGCCGTACTGTAAGGACTCATCGCTTCTATAAGAAAAGAATTGACGTATGAGCGTAGGCATAAGGAGTAGTTGAATTCACGAGGAAGCTCTCCAAATGGAAGAGTTTTGAGAGTTTCCGAGCATAGCCATGGGTGGGTACCTTCACCTGTAACATGAGCGGGGGAATCGTCATGACCCGAGTGAGGACTCCGTTACATTGTATGCAGGTCTATATTCTAGGTCCAGCCAAGATCTTCCTACCAGCGATATCAAATAAACATTTGTAAGAAATGAAACCGTATACGCCGCACAAGCACATTTAATCTCGCAAAAAGATAGGGGTATCAAGGTAGGGGGAGACACAGTAGAATTATTCAACGCACCCGAAGATCTCGGCCCAAAGTATGCATGCTGATTTGTTAGGAAAATGTCAATAGTATCGTATATCATCCGGCACGCTTTGATACAGCATCCTGGATGATTTTATGGCACTCGGCTGGATTTGAAAATACATGCCACACTTCGCGGGGTACGTTTTTAAAGGCTTTCTCGAATCGCTCCGGTTCATTTTTTGCCTCGATACCAATAGCTGCGATGTCTTCCACTTTACGAATGAGAATAATCTTGACCCAACCGGGGTATGTTCGATAACTAGATTAAACAATGTCAATACTAAGATACTTTAGAATATTTAGGAGATCGCTTACGTCTCGCCATAGGCTTCGGGATCAGATTGGGTCGAATCACCAATGCATATCATTTTTCTCCTAGGAAGCCATGAATGGATCTTTTCTATACGATCAATCTTGTAGTCTTCCGTACCAAGAGTGAGAGTTGTTAGTAAACCTGACAAACTCATCCAACTTTCATCACGCAAGATAATGGTGCCATGTGGATAGTTCTGCTGACGGAAATCGCGTAGGAATGGATATAAATTGTACGGCGAGGCAGACAGATAGAACCATGGCGAAGTCTCTTGAATAAGGGAATGGATGAATTGGTATAGCTTAGGCATTCCGGGACAGGGCTCAGGTTTGTCGAGGAAAGTCGTGCGAAGGATACCGATGGGATCACTTGTCTGAGTTATCTTAATTGTATCATCGATATCTACACCTGTTAGCGATTCTCCGGTTATTAATAGCCAAGTCTGGACTTACCAGATATTACACCCCAGCCTTCAGGTTCGGCATAAAAAGTCTTCATTTCGAGGAGGCCATTTGCGCCTTTAGGTACTTCGGCAAACGTAGGAATAAGCGCACCCCCTCCATTATCGGGTAATCCCTTGATGTCACTACTTATACCATTCCTGCCACCGGGACCAAGCTTGAGTGGTAGATCTCCTCTCTGAAGCGCTTTGACCTGAGCCCCCGGCTTGATATTCTGCAGGAATGGTCGAATGCGCGCCTCTACGGTAGGGTAATTTGGGTCCTTCTCGTCAAGGTCGATCTTCGTAGCGACAGCATTTACAGCGTCAATGATAGCGCAGTATGAATTTTGAGAGAAGGCAGCAGCCACAAATTCTGCTTCCCATTTCCCCGTCTTCTCGTTATGATATGCAGTATTGTCGAGTAACCAAATAGTGTCTTCGTTCGTGATCGAGCGTGGAAAAGGGTTCTTATTACCGAGGTAAGAAAGGAGCTGATAGGCTTTGTCGGTCGATATCAGAGCGGACGCAGACGGAGACGGAGAGAAGTCGGGCAGGTCGTGTTCGGTCTCATCGAAACGACGTTCCTTTCGCGTGCGATTTTGCATGTCGATTGCACCTGTATGCTTATAACGAGCTGCCATTTTCGCTATGGGGATTTTGACGCCGATGTCCTTATAGAATAGCTACTTATACATGTCCCTAGTAGCAATAGCAATAATGATCGAGCTGAAGGGATTTTGATATTGACGCGTGATTCAAATAAGATGTTCGGGGTCTCCTATCAAGCATACCGTGTCTTTTGGGAGGATGATAGACTTCTATTCTTAAACGAAAGATCCAATGGCTAAATGCTGACCAAGTTGGTTAGGCGTTCTAAGGTCAGATGTGATCATTAGGACTATCTAGCCCACGAGCATCGCCGAATCTATCTTAGAATTTGCCCCCAGCAAGGCTGGAGGCTTCAGCCCAGGCGACTAGCAGGGAATGGTACTGCATACGCTTGTATTCGCGCCACCTGGGCAATAGTATGCTGTAAAGAGAATGGCACTGGTGCATCTCGAGTTTGGCGTCGCTCGCGACCCATCTCCCTTACGGCTTGGCACGTCAATCGTGGCCCGGGCGCGTTGCAACTAGGTTGATACTTATGGTATGTGTAGGAAGAGAGAAACTACCTAGGTACCTAGGAAAGAAAATTCCAGCACAAATAAAGCGTGACGGCATCGATCGCCGGCATATCACCCCCACCGCTGCCCCTGAATGAAATGACCTAATACACTAACCTAGTAAATGTCACGGTCTAGCGGGGGTTGTATCGCCTAATACATACCTAGGTGGGTATGGTACAGCACCAGACCCACGATCCAGCCCTATTATTGTCAGCATTGGGATACACAGCAGTTATTTATATCTGCCTTACATAGTTTTGAGCGAGCTTATCAGGCCCTCCTCTATACGATCATTTTATGAGCCTGATATACTTATTCTTGCGCTGGTAGGATGAATGGCTACCTCTCGTGGTTGGGATCCGTTCTATCCTCTACGAGTGCTGAATGCAACCTAGTAGAATGCAGAGTGTGGGAGAAGTCTTATTATCCATGCGGAGAAACACCGCACTGGACCCCCCCATGACGTGTGAGAGCTCCCCGCACTCGCGGGCTTTTTATAAGAGCAAACTAGTAACTCATTAGCTGAGCTTACGTAGACGGTTGCTTGTAATGTATTTTTTTTTCCGTGCTGAACAGATACAATGCTCGAAATTCGATGCAGTGGAGCTGCTTATGAGGTATGGCTCTTGGAAATCCATGAACGACGATGGCATTCTTTCAATGGGTTATGCTAAGACCTTAATAGATTGGGCTAGCGCATGGTAGGTTGGCCAAAGAGAAAATAGAACGGTCTATAGGTTTTTATAGACAACTTTTTCAAGAGTCTTGCTCACTGGGCTGGGCGGAAGTTCTGCAAGAAGCATCAAATTACTTCGAGTCCCTAAAGAGTATCGCATCACAATACCTTGTGGAAATCAATGGAATCGCAGATGGAGCAAACATACCATTCTTGGATATTCTAGCGCTAAATATACGGTCCGAGATCGCCTTTAGCCTCTTCTCCGATAAATCCAGAGGGATAACCGACATCCCCAGCGACGGATGTACAAGCCTTGGCTTGCTAACTAAGTCAGAATCATTCCTCTGCCAGAATTGGGACTGGAGAGTTGAACAAAGCCCAAACCTGATAATATGCCACATATCACGCCCAGGGACAGACATCCCAGATATCGCGATGGTAACTGAGGCTGGTATTATCGGTAAAATCGGGTTTAATTCGAAAGGCGTAGGCTGTTGTCTAAACGCCATCCGATGTCGTGGCCTTGACAAGTCCAAGTTACCTATACATTTTGCGCTAAGGGCCGTGTTAGAATCCAAGTCTCGCGAGGAAGCCGTGAAAAGGGTCAAGTCTTCCGGTGTTGCCGGAGGGGGTCATATCCTGGTTGGTGATGCAACAGGTTCGACCGGTCTCGAGTGTACAAACCTCTGGGTGAAAGAGCTGCCTGTGGATAATCAGGGACGGGTTTGCCATACAAATCACCTTGTTCTCGAAAGTTCTGATATAGATGAGCCTCCTTGGCTAGAAGATTCCACCTTACGACTGGCGCGAATCAAAGAGCTTACGTCTCATATCGCCCACCCTACGGTCGACACGGTCTTTGAAATCTTCAAGGATACTAAGGGATATCCCACGTCAATAAACAGAAAACAGGAATCCTATGGCAAACCCGAGACGCTATTCACCATCATAATGAACCTAACAAACAAGATAGCTCACATTACGCTTGGTAGACCTACAGAGTATAGCGAGCACATCCTTTTGGCGTTTTGAGGCGACAACAGAAATTGCAAACGTCGCCTATCTCATCATATGTATGTAAAATGAGTAGTCACTTCTTAATATTATATATGTATTGATTAGATGATATTTTCTTTTCATCTTTTCTCTCCCTCTTTTTTTTTTCGGTTGTTTTCTCCGAAACCTGTATACCGTGTGGTTGTGCTAATTTTTACTATGAAGATGCTGGCAGCTCACTAAATTAAGCTATACTATTACGCACCCGGGCGCTTAGTGCGCTATGCTTTAGCGTACTTAGGTCCTCTACCTAGCTGCTTGGCAACAATCGTGGGAACCTGAACCCTTTCATTCTATTTCCACATTACATGATGCTCATTATAATAAAACTCCCAATTCCTTACTTAACCTTCTGATAGTCGCCGCATCCCCGCGCCATGAATCGTTCGCCGGTGGCTTCAGGTCTCTTACCCATGCCTGGCTCGCCATCATCGTCCTGGGCTCTCTACGAGACTCGGCTTACGTCCATGTTCCGCAACGCCAACGTGTTAGTACCAGCGGCTTTCTGGCTCTTCGGTATTCCCCACCCTACGTTAATTCGTGGCCCTTCAATACTGTATTTCTAACAGATCCAAGGCTTGATCAATAATGTTCTTTATGTCATCATCCTCTCGGCAGCTCAGGATCTTGTCGGGTCTGACGTTCCGAAAGGTCTCGTCTTGCTCGCCGATGTCCTACCCTCATTCTTGACCAAGTTAATCGCGCCCTATTTCATACATAAAATCCCTTACTGGCTTCGCGTATTTATTTTTGTCGTGCTCTCGTCGCTCGGCATGTTCATGATCGCACTTACGCCGCCGGATAGATCTGTTCATGTTAAGATGGTTGGCGTCATATTTGCTAGCTTGTCGAGCGGTGCTGGAGAGTTGAGTTTCCTCGGCTTGACACATTACTATGGCCACATGAGCCTGGCTGCTTGGGGAAGTGGTACCGGCGCAGCTGGTCTCGTCGGTGCCGGGCTCTATGTTACACTCACTGACTGGAGTGGGTTCTCTGTCAAAGACAGCCTGTTAGCTTCGGCATTCTTACCTATCATCATGCTCATCAGTTTCTTCGTGATACTCCCTAAAGAACCGCTTCACCAAGGCCTAGCAAGGAAAGAGTATCGCGTTATATCAAATCAGAATCTAGAGGACGACGCCGAAGACCATTTATCTTCGGCCAATGCTACTTCTAGCCTTCTCCCGCCCGAGCCGCGGCCCGTATCGCCAAATAATAACGCGCATGAATCGAATAGTTTCACAACAAATATCCAACGAGCTAGAGGTTTATTTTTCCCGTACATGGTCCCATTGTTATTGGTCTACGTTGCCGAATACACCATTAACCAAGGCGTATCTCCCACTTTGCTATTCCCGCTCGAATCAACACCCTTTAACGAATATCGGGATTTTTATCCCATGTACGGTTTTTTATATCAACTGGGCGTTTTCATATCTCGTTCCTCTGTCGCATTTCTTCGCATCCGACGTCTATACCTGCTATCCCTTCTTCAAATCGTAAATCTCATAATTCTAATATTACATACTCTATTTCCCTTCCTCCCAAGCGTTTATGTCGTTTTCATCGTTATTTTTTGGGAAGGTCTCCTCGGCGGAGCGGTTTATGTCAACACATTCGCCGAGATCATGCGGAAGGTCCCGATTTCGGAACGAGAGTTTAGTCTTGGGGCGACCAGCGTCAGCGACAGTGCTGGAATATGCATTGCTGGCTTCATTAGCATGGCATTGGAAGCGCGACTTTGCAATTGGCAGGTTCAGCATGGGAGAGGCTGGTGTAAAAACATACAAATTAGCTGAAAGATAGGAGTAGGGGCTCATGGAACTTTGGTCTAGAAAGGCCGCATACCTCTTAGATACTTACGTCACCGTATAATTGGCCTTCAACCACTTGCATGGATGCTCCCCTTGGGATGCCATTGTAAAGTCCCGATGACCAGTAACAATCTGTGGTTGGTTATCTGCTAGGTGGCTAGCTTCATTGAAAATTCCCATGCCAACTCTGATTCGGGCATTGCCATACCCAGTCCAAATCCATGTTCAAAGTGCCGCCATTCCATTGTGAAGGCGGCAATATCCTGACAGATATCACGTTAGCACCCATCCATAAGCCCAGGGAGAAGCAGAACGATCCACTAGTATGGTGGGTTGCTAACTCACATATCCCATTGCATGTTACCCATCGTGTCATTCTGGGGGTAGTTATAATTTCCTTGGAAGTCTAGGTTCATACCAGTCGCCGGGTAATAGCCAGGTATTCCGGCCATGCCCTGGTCAAGCACCCCAGCTTCAGCACCTGGCCTCTGTTCTCCAGTAAATGCATGGTCTCTCAGCACTCCAATAGTCCGACTTGCATCATTCGAAATCTCATCTCCAGGCGCCACCTTCGCATCGGAGGGTTGTAGGCCTAACGACAGAACCTTTTCTATTGGGATAATCGCAAGGGTGCTTGCAAATTCGAATGCCGCCTTTGCGAACCTAGCGTTTGTTCCGCATACGTCGATGGTCGACATAACTTCGCAGAGATTCCTTACAATATCCTTCATATCCTCTACCGTATAGTATTGTATAAGATTCGGGTTGCGGATCTCTGGGTGCGCTTCGCCTTGTCGTAGTGCGCCTGGCGAGAGGAGGGCGAGCGATATATCTAAACTACACATGTATGCATAGTAGATATCTATCCATGTGACCCCATTTACCTGACCTGCGCGCCACAATTTGACTATCAAGTATCCACAACGCATTGCGCCGGTCAGACAGATCTTACTCAGTGCTCTTATCTTGGCTGCGTCAGGGCCGAGTGGATCGTCGCCATTGGAAGACTGAATGGTCTCAAACAGAAATGGTCGGGTCAAAAAGCAAAGTGTGTGGTGATACCGTACGTGAAGTAGCGTAGCGCTGCGCCACTGGTGATCATAACCATCTAGGCTAGCCTCTAGGACCTCGGGTCTGAGCCCTTTCGGAAGATTTTCGTTCCAACCTGCCACGGTTTCTAGGAACTCCAGAGCTCTGGAGTATCTCCTCCCCGGGGCAAAGCCCGGATCGAAAATGCCGCGCCTGGTGGCAGCGAGCAGCATATTCAATTGAGCTGAGTGCTCAATGTACCTAGGAGGGAGAAGGTTCGCGTCCATGTACTCGTCATGCGGGATCCCCACATCCATTTCTCTATCATCAATCGCGCTGGGTCGCCCAAGTGAGCAACATAAAAATTGTTCGTAACCATACAACGTCCACCAAACTAACTTGCGATGTTGTCTCTCAACCGTGTCAAAGAGACCTGACGAACTTTCCCTATGCATACCAAGCGCTATCGCAAGTCGACATGCCGCACCTTGAAATGTCCACGCGCTAGTTCGATCATTGGTGTTGTGGTAGTATAATGAAAGAAGCATATACGCACACACGTTCGGAAGGCTCGAAGTACCAAGTAATGGAGGTAGCTTATCCACGACTGCAAACCACTTCCGCTGGAATTCAAGGGAATCGCTACTCTGTGGCAGCGCTCTGGACCCTAGGACAAACATCATGTATAGACAACAAAGCCAACCAACTGAGACGGATATCTCTTTGGCACGAACATTCGACCCTTGGTTTCTGTGCGAATCCCAGCAGCGCCACATCTTCTCGTATGCTCTCTGGAAGGTATGTCGATGGAAGAGGATGAAATTCGGATGGACGTATTGGAAGAAAGCATGAATACAAGCGTCGGCATGCTCCCGAGATGGTAGCTCAAGCTCGGATACCCGTTTGCGGTATCTCCAGAACTCAGGGTCATTGGGATGGTTCTTCAGCATGTCTTCGCAGATCTGGGGTGGAGAATCACCATCAAGATGGTCTAGGTTATGACCTGGAGGGCTAGAAGAGCCCCGCCCGGAAGGGGACCCGGCAGCGCGCCCGCGATCCCCAGTTCCGCCCAGCGACGCGGCTAAAGGGTTGTTAACGAAGAACGGACCTCTATCAACCAGTAAACTCGCCGAATCTTCGAATCGCTGTGTAAAAATATCACGCATTCTTCCGAAGAAAGCAAGACTACCACACGGTCCTATGTAATGTGGCCTACCAGTAGCATCCAAAATGAGACCAGTATTCTCAGCGCTAGAGTCTATAACACTCTCCACAGCCGATGAAGTTGAAGGTTGCGGGGATGCGACTTGTCCGAATTTCGCGAGGTACGAAGGAGGCAATATGGTTTTGTCGTTGTCGGTTCCCGCTATGATCAAGTTTGGATTCGATATTTCTCTCTTAAGATCCGTGGCGTGTTGATAGGATTCAGTCCCCTCTGGCTTGATGGCAGGCTCGGATGATATACGTAGGCTTTGGTCAGACGATTCACCGAACTCAGGCATTTCAATCGCCCTTTCTCGCCCAAAAGCTACTATTTCTTCCGCTGAAGCCCTAGGGTTTAGCTCTGGGCATATGCCCGATACCAAGGCCTCGAGAGCACGGTATCTTTTATCCAAATTTTCGACACTGCCGTAGACTCGCTGTTTCCGCGGCATTGAAGTAACACACGGAATCCCAGTCTCGGTGCACAATTTACAGGGAGCCAGGTCACCAGGTCCCGGAGTAGTGTTGAGTCGTACACATTTGCATCTCCGTGTTTTACAAGCGTCGCAGCTGACCTGAGTTCTCTTCCGCTGGGAGTTTGGAACACGGCGCTTGGCTTTTATTTGCTCTCTTTGCTGCGCGGTTGTTGTTGACGTTCCAGGGGCGGAGCTTTCATTAGATATGAAGGCAGACGGCCCCTCCAACCCCGGAGCCCTTTGACTCGACGATGAGGCCTGGGATTGCATGGCGTACGAATCGGAGATTGCCGCGGCGGAAGCAAGGTTATCTAACGCATCATATGCTCCAGGAATGGGTCCAGGTAGCCCGTGAATGAAGCCTGGATTGACAGGAATAGCCCCAGCGCCGGGGTGGGCGAAATGATGGGGAAGATCCGGTTTCCAAACCTGCTGTGCTGTAATGTCTGTATCATCAGACTGATGAATTGTTTGCTTAGAAGGATCCATCTAATAAAGAGAGGGAAAAGGATGGGCCTTGTAGGAATGACTAGGTAGGTATTGTATTACTCTCGGAAAAAACAGTTGGGTATCGAGAGGAATTACGATATGGGTCCACAAGCAAGATTTGAAATCGGTAAATTGATTGTTATTATAGGAATAGTTCCGCTGATAGGGCCAGTAGATTGTGCTATTCTTAACAGCATTCTATCGGGTTGGGAAGGAAATCAATCATGTTGGGTTTTACCACTGGTGGGTGGCACTTTGACAAAAACGGGAAAAAAGTAGAAGAATTGAGAGTCATAATTACATCAGAGGCCCCAGTCAGCTTTATCACGATGACGACCGCCCACATCCAAATTCAGGAATTGTCAGACCCAAGAAAAAAGGACGGACAAATCATCGATAAGAGGAGGTGATATTGGTTTTTTTTTTTCTTTTCTCCTTTTTCTCAAAAAAATCAATTTTTGACGGCCGCCTTTGGTTTATTAGCACCCCTAGGTCTTCGGCTACAGAACTTAATAGTGACCATTGACGATTCCTAATGTAAGATAAAAGTATAACTAGGCCCGTACCCAGGTAGTTAGCTATGAAGTCCCTAGCTGTGTGGATACCGGACCAAAATCGAGGTGCGTAGAAGGATCTGATCGATCTTATATCAGTTAAGATATCCCATCGTTCTATCACTAAAATGCATAGTATATCATCAGCCATACATTGAGCCAATATCGCCTTCCAAGTTGGTAGCAATAGTAACTTTTACTAAAGTTACCTTATCGAATTCTAGTTTTTATAATTATTTATTCTGTTAAGTTACCTATATGAACTTGTATATGGATTTTTTTAGAGCCCCTGGCAAGTTCAGCTAATCACACTCGTTTATCGTTACGTATATGTGAGGAATCTCTACTAAATTCTATATCGCCTTGACTAACTGTCCAAGCAGATGACAAACAATACCTAGGTACGCTTATAAAATGCCTTCAACCTATCTGCTCCTTAAGACTTGTTAGCCGATTATCTCGAAGGGTATCGAGGAGCTTCCTAGGCAACAATAACGTGTGTTTTTTTCGAACTAAGTGCTCGCTCTCTAACTAAGCTTTTTATATAATATGGTGTACCTCTCCTGGGATAATTGCACTAGATCTCGATATATCAAATTTAAAACTAACATCGTCCAAACCTCGACGCTGCTATCTTCGAAATCACTACGGCGTGTTAGAACCACGTAGCGAGCGCGTCGAGAAACATTAGTTAGAAGTCTCTTTTGTACTATAGAGAAAAGAAAACTAGCTGTACTAGTCTGGGGCAAAAGTCCATTGGCCTAGGGGGGGCAAATATTGGTTGTAATTCAGGCGTATGCAGGCATATGCCAAACAACTAGAGACAGGATGCAAATCAAAGGCACGCGCTGGTTATAATGAATACCTACCTAGGCGTTAGAAGAAGCGAAATGACTCTCTTTTTCTAGTGCAGTGGTGAATCGCACGTTCTTATACTAATGCTAACGGAGCACGACTATTACCCTTATCACCCATAAATTCTCCTCTTATTGTATCGAGAACATGTCGAACTCCACTGAAAAGTGAGGAATTCTCTTATGATCATTAAAAAATTTGCTCAAGTGGCCATCAAAAAATCGGCCGCTTATATCGGCATTATTTTGAGGAAATACCCGCAGAAGCCCGCTTCGGGCATGGAAGTATTGCATGGCTCGGCCGCTCCATGAATAATCATGAATAATCATGAAAATGTATTACGGCTGCTAAGTATTGAGCCGTTATAGTGACGCCTCGATATTGCTTTCAGGTTGCTTGGTGGGAAAAGGCTTAAGCCATCAATGCGGGAGTAAAGTGGGACTAGGACTGAGGTGGATAGGTACCTAGAACGAGGATACGGATATTATTTTAAGTAAATTCAACTAATACTTCCTGGATGCCTTCAAGTCGGGTTCTTCCTTTATGTCGTCGTCATTATCCTCATCTTCAATTTGTTCTATTCCCTCACCGTTACCCTGTCCGTTGATATCCTTCCGCTTAAATGCCTTTCTAAGCTCACACTTGCCGAGATTTTTTCCTCCTGCTTTACATTCCGCGCACTTCCGCCCGTGCTCAACAAATAGAACATGTAATGAATATTTCAATTCGTCGGGGATCTTGACGTCTAGATGCGCAAATGTCTCATCGCGGCTTGCGGTCGCAGGTCGCCAGCCTAGCATACCGGTGATTCGATGGACGTGCGTATCGACCGCGAAACTGTCACGACCCATACAGAAAAGCAACACACAACTCGCAGTTTTAGGCCCAACTCCCTTAAACGAGATAAGCTCTCGCATAACCTCCTCATCGTCGCCCGAGGCCTCTAGTCGTAGTAGATGATCCAGCGAGTACGTCCCATGGCGCTCTTTAACTTGCTGTAATATGTTAATAATAGCTCGGCTCTTGACACCGCCCAGGCCACCCCTAGCTATCGCCTTTTCCAGTTTCGCAGTACCGCCCGTAGCGATTGCTTCCCACCTTTCCTCGGAATCACCACTGCCGTATACCTCGTCCATATCCAACTTAGCGCGCGTGCTGTTACGGTTACTCGTATTCTGCGACAATATCGTGCGTACTAATGCATCTAATACCGATGGCGAGTCCCCACACCCGGCACGATCGGCTGGGGCGCTTATTTTTTCGGGCCGCTGCCGTTCACCATGCAGCGAAGCTAAGGCGCTATACGCGCGCTGGCATTCCTGGGGCGTGGGGCGCGGAAAGTCCGGAAATGGGGACTTATTGGCAAATTGCGCGTAGGTTTTGAGCTTTCTCGCTCGGAGGTTTGCTTCCTTTTCCTCCTTCGTCTCTTTTGGTTTTTCGTCTCTCTTATTATTTGCTTCCTTCTTCAGGCTGGGTATCTCGGTCTCGGCTTTAATTCGCGTTGTAGCTGGGGGAGATGACGATTTCTTCGTGACGCTAGCTAAACGCTTAACGTCCGGCTTTTTGTCCTCGACCTCCTCTTCAGATCGAGACCTCTTTTTACCTCGTCGCGCCGGTACAACCAACGTTTTGGTAGGTATCTCCTCTTGCTTGACAGGTACGTTTACGGCCTTTTTACTGGCATTCCTCGCGCTACGGCGGAGCCCCGTCGGAGATTCTCCGATGCTATTTGCTTCACCTGTAATAGCGGCCATAGTCATAACCCTAGCGAAGTCTAGTGTGTAGTGGATTTTAAAGCTAGAAATTGCCTGGAGAGTAGGGCGACTCGACAATGAGTTGATGGTGTTGCTCAACCGTCGAAATCCACTTGCTGAGAATTCATCAATTAAATGTTTCATAAGCTGACAGCTCAATGGTCCAAGAATAAAAGTAAAGTGAGCGATTACATTGATTACGCTAGAAGCAATAAAAGTCGTAGACAGAGTCAAAAGGACTAATTTAAACAATTATTGTAGATGAAATAAAATAAATAGTGGTGATGTCAAAGAAATGACGAGGGAAGAATTTTAGTTTCTGCGCTAGGCCGCCTACGGTGGTTTTGTTGACCGCTGAGCTTAGGCCCAGCCAACTAAATATATACCTAAATCTAGGTACCCTAGCAGTTGTTTTCAGGGACTTGACCATGAGTTAGCGGGCAAATAGAGGTACCTAGGTAGGTATGATTCGAATTTATAAATATATCTAGGATGTACGTTGAGTTTGACACAAGTATTTACTACTACTACTTGACTGTCCTCTACTTCGTGCAATACACTTGCCAAAGCACCTTTTTATTATTCACGTGGCTGATGTCGGCCACTTCCTGTTATTGCCATGGATCCTATTTTAAACCTGCTGTCCCAAAGACCTTTTGTTTTTTTTCGCGATTCCACCTTCTTCCAGTTACTCCGATAACTCCAACAACGCCAATACGACCGCCGGCTTCCAAGAGAAAACAATATTTTACACGTGGGTTATAGTACAACGGGTGTGATTCCGTGCTTGCGCACGTCCAGTGTTATCTACTCTGCTTTTCTTCATTTCTCTTTTTTTTTCTTTTTTTTCTTCTGGAATTACTGCATTCCCTTCCAACAGGGGAGTTTTTCGGCTTGAGCTGATCCTTAAATGTTGACCTTTATTGTTAAGACCTTGACTGTTGTACATACTTTCAAACGATGAGGTTTTTTGCTTAACCTGCCCTATTTTTTTGCGTTTCCCATTCTTCCGAAACCTAGCCATTTCCTCCTACCAGCACTCTGCGCCCCACCAGGCGTCGTGTTTCCGTTTCCGCCTTGTGCAGGTATGGCAGTGGTTGGCGTAGTTGGTGTTACACCATCGGTTGCTTGTTGTTGCGGTGTGCCCGGCTCTGGGATCTCAACGCTACCGGTTTTTGCTAGCAGAGATTGACCCCGGCTACGCATGATGGGAGGGGGTGTGGCACTAGTCAAGTCGTCATCTGCAACTCCGGGGGGTCTCCACGGCATAGTCGCTGGCGGTGGAACACTACTTCTTCCTGAGAGCCTTCCGACGGTCATCGACGGAGGGAGCGCTGATAATTGAGCAGGGGTGGGGACTGGAAACGTTGCCTCGGTGGCGCTAGAAGGGACGCTGAAGCTCTCCGAGCCAGATCTCTTAAAAAATGAATTGAGACCTAGACTACGTCCCTTATTGGCTTGCCCAGAAATCGGCGGGTAATGATTTTTCTTTCCTGGCGTTGTTTCTAGTTGTTGGGGTTGCATTTTGGAGGAAGATGCTTGAGCTGCAGAGTCGATACTATTGCTTCTGCCTCTTCCATCCACCCATCCCATACCTGGACCTTTAGCAAGGCTCTTTCTCAACCTTCCGCCGGAAGGAGGTACCGCATTGCTGCTACCCGTACGTGCGTGCAAACTCGATCGCCGATCGGGTGTAGGTGGTGCTTGGCTAGTCATAGGAGGATCAAATACATCGGCTTGTGACGTTTGCAGCGAGCTGGCCATCTCATCAAGGGGATCACGCTTTAGCGCCGAAACTGGTGATCCTAGATAACCGCTGCCCTTCAGGGCCCCGAAGATCACATCAGTTTCCCATCCTCCTGCGTCGGCAGGAAAAGAGAACAGATCAGGAGATGTTGAGCGACCGTTTCTACGCTGCCCTGACGTATCCGCCTGATATCTGTTAGGTTTCATACTTTCTCGCATCCAATAATCGAAGCTATCTGCCTCAGATCTGGCATCTGCCCCGCCATCTGAGTCAGAGTCCGATCCTACGCTGTTAGCTCTGGCGCGTGAGCTTGTCGTTTCGGTTGCTGAGTGAGGACGTCTCGGGAGAGATCGCGCCAGTTGGCCAAGATCAGAAACTAGATCAGTATTGATGGGCGGCATTGGTACATGTCTACGTCCAGAGAAGGCCGCAACGGGTGCGTGCTGGCTCGAGGATGCCTGGTAGCCCTGTTCTCTAATCGAATTACCGATTCTATCATAGATGGGCATGAGGCCCTCGCCTGGAACATTTCCTGCTTGCTTCGAGAGACTATCTTGAGAGCTGGTCAGGTTCTGGTGTTTCCGAAGAGTAGAAGACGAAACCGTGTCGGGCGTGGGTGGGAATGCTTGAGGGTTGGAAAAGTCCCTATGTGTGGGATAATTTGTGAGGACCTTCTGTAAAGCTTCTCTTTTTTCCTGTTTGGATTTGCTCTGTTGTGGATAGTTCATAGGAGCTTTACCGGGAATTGGGGTCGCGGCACCTCGACCGCGATCGACCGCGGGATATTCGGAAGTATTATCGGCAACAGTAATTCGCCCGTCGAGACGTTCTATCTTTTGTAGCGGCGAGTCCATATCGAGAATGTTGTTCAGAGATTGCATATTGGTCGACAACCTAGCGCCGCCTCCAGGAGTGGTAGATATATGGTTTGGTGTACTACTCCTGCGGCTACCTCGACTCTCCATGGCCAACTTCCTTGAGGGCGTTGCCGAGCGGTCAGTGTAACTGCCATCCATGCCCGCTATATCGTCTGACGGCTGATGGTCTGTCTTATCTCGATCATCCTTTGCGCCGTATATACTCACGAAAGAACTTTCGCTGAGTACGCTTAGGCTAGGACTCGCGATACGATTAATCTCAGTTGAGTCAATGCCCTGATCGACACTGGATCCGGAAGCCTTCCGTAGATGCATCACACTACTCCGTCCTTTCAAGACCACATTTCGTAGGTTCTCAGTTTGCTGGCTGTATTCCGAAAGGAAGCTAGGCACACGTCCAAGGCTCTTACCATCTCCGGTTGAGCGCGGGACGAAAAGACTTGTAGGCTTTGGAGTGGCAGGAATCGCGGAAACTGACGGTGGTTCATCTGAGGAGGAGTGACGATATGACCCGTCTGCCTCGACCTGCCTCACCATGTTTCTTTCTTGAACCAGCTCATCAACTCGCGTTTCCAATTCCATTATCAGCGTAATGGCCTCCTCTAAGGCGTTATCCTTGGTTTCAAGCTCTTTCATAATGCTATCATGAAGGTCCATCATCTCATGTTGATGAGATTCAAGCTTCTCAACCCTCTCTTCCAAAGCCGTTTGTTTCTCTCGCCGATGGTACAACTCTAGCTTTAGGTCAAAATTCTGTTTGTGTAGGGTCGAGAGTGTCTTTTTGTCTAGGTTAGCTGCTAGTTTTATCTTGCTAAGCGGGTGTCTGTTATGATGAATGTCTCGTACCTGTTCCATTTGCCTAGCCCCCATTCCGGAATCTTTGGTGGGTTCATCACCGCCATCTAGTCTCTGTCGCCGACCCATTGCGGTTGTACTCCGTCGAACGGGTGAGTCCTGTACATCCCTTTCCCGTATATCACCGGTGGAAGCACTCATGTCGTTACCTAATTTGCTCGCCTGCCTTTCATTCCTTTCTTGCTGTAACCTCTCCTGTAAGAAACTAGACACCATCGTTGTCGATTTTCGTAATTCATCGCTAGGTTCTCTGGACAATCTCGACATAGGCCGGGCACCCGTTGAACCCTTGCTGCAATGGCCATGATGGTATTTATGTGTGGGATGCGAATTCGTATGTGTTGTTTCTCGAAGGTGTGAAGAGGAGCTATTCGCGCTTTTCGGAGTCATCTGAGTGTTCGTGGTGCTAGCAGTACTGGCTCGTGAAGAGGCGCGAGCATATAAACGCTCACGCGAGTCCTTCGGTCCTCCACCATCCATGATGATATAAGCTGTTATAGTTACTCGGTAACCTTTCTGTCAAAAGAGGTCGTTACAAGGAAGAAAGGCCCTTTGAGTCCTCCGCATCAAACAATCGCTTTCGGCTTTGGATGTGACGAACGAAACGAACCAGCGGTGATTATGATAGTGACAATGCCGGGTGTTGTTTAGATTAGAGGGCGGTGAGCCTCTAGGGAACGGAATGATGGGAGGAAGAATGGAATCGAACGACGAGATAGCCTGCATTCAATGCCCCAATAAAAAAAAAATCGAAAGCTTCGAGATCGAGGGAGAAGAGGATGAAGAGGGTCGTGGCACTTAGAGGCCTAGAGTAAGAGTCGTCATTGGTATTCGAGCGGCCTGGCGGCTTGAGCGTCTTAGTACAGCGATTTATGACCAGGTCTGCTACGATCGTTCTGTTGGCTAGACACCGAATGATTCGCAAGGCTGAGGTCGTTATGTAGATACGAATCCTTGCTGATGGATTTAGCAAGATACAGCGTCAGAAACCATTCGAACACGTATAACCAATGAGTATCGCGTTGTTGCTTTTGCTCGTTACTTCAATCGAACGCGATTTTCAACCCGCAAGCTCCTAATGATAGTAGAATTTGCTTGAATTCGAAATTCCGCCTGCTTAGGGCCGACTAGACCTTGAAACCTAGCGCTTGCAGATATTAAAGAGAAGCTAGAGATTTGGGCTTGTTAATACAATAGGTATCGAAAGATTGGTGACTGTGTCTTAAAAGAGTACTCAGGAAATTCCAATGATTGGTTTATGGAAAAAGCACCAAGAGCACAGTCGAGACAGAGACTGGAGTTCAGTCTCGGCAGGGGGAAAAATAAATAAATAAATAGAAAGATAGAGAGCTGGAGTCAGCTGGGCGTCGGTGTCCGCAAAATCGCCAAAGTCGACTATCGTCAGGACGATTATAGGGTATTAGGTTCACACAAAAGTGTGCGATAGCAACAGCAACGAATAACGACAATGAGCTCACAATGATAGGATCGTAGGAAAATTCCACTGATAGACTAGGAAAGAGATGGAAGCAAGAAAGAATCCACTGTATGGCCTACATACCTAGGAAAGGTACCTAAAGGTTACTTTCTACTCCATAGGCTATCGATAGGGGATTTCCTAAACTTGCAAGGGAGGCTCTTGCTTCAATTCATCTCTTCCCTACTCCCTAACCTAACGTCTGACAGCCCTGGGTCGTTCTTTCTATGGAATTGGATGGTGAATGATGAATGCCGCGTTAAGAGCGGGTCACGTCTATTCCATAGCCCCTGCTTGGTCCCTTCACATTGGGACTTTACATGGAGCTTACCTGCTGTACGTAGGTAGAAAGCTAATGTGTCTAAGGGGCACCTGCAGGACCGGACAGGGATTGTCGCTAAGCTGAACTAGGGGGGCTGTGGAGGTTTTGCCAGGAACAAGAAATTCATTCGCACTTCTAACGGAGTATGAGTACTTAAAAGGTACGTCTCTTTTATAGCTTTAGAGGCCATTGTCTTTCGGTTACATGTATCTATCTTTTCGACGTGTATCCTAACGCCTAGCATGACTACGTGATAAAAGTATTTCCCAAGGGTTTCAAAATGAATGAGTACATATGAAATGGAATTTGAATGTTATCTATCATTCTTAAAATATGAAACCAATGTGTGGCATTACATGGTAGAAATGGAATGAATAATGTGCATATCATTACTTTCGCTAAGAGGTCAAGAAACTTAACTCTTTAAATCTAAAATAATTAAAGGGGTTCTTAATTAGAAATTCTTTATTCTTTCTGTTAGCTATTTAATTCTGAAGGGTTTATGTACAGGTTCATCTAAAAATGAGAAACCTGAAATGAAAGTCTAATACAAATTATGTACCTACTTAGGTACCACTTAGGTATAATGTAGTACCTAGAGCACCCTAATCAATAAGCCCTAGCAGAAGCTATGACCCGTCTTTGGTTGCAGTCCGGTGAGCCGGAACTAGCTGGACCTAGCTTCCACGATGCTGGGAGACATTGTAATTGGTTAGACTTAGCGTTCGTACAGGGATACGCGAAGGTGATCGTTTCTGACAGTTGCAATGCTACGGGGGAGTCTTTTATTTCTTTCATACTTATCCATGTTGTGATATTCATCGTAATTGGATCATCACCTTCTATTTCACTTTTGCCGACCGTCTAGTGTTTTATGAAAAGATATGTGCCACAGTCTAAAGACAAGCATCAGCAATACTAGGTGGACAGGTAGATCCTATGCACCTAATTTAAACATAAGACCATTTGAAGAAGTAGAGAGGATTGTGTCTACTTCCCCGCGATGACACAGACCAAGACTCTCGAACTATTAGCAAAATGTAGCGGGACAACCAAACATATATTCGTCATCGAGTGACTTGCTTCCCCTAAGTACATGTACGCAAGGAGTGGGTGTATAACAAAAAGTCGGTCATCAAAACCGCCGCCTGCAGACCATGATTCCGCATACATCACCCCTCACTATATTTGACTGGCCGTTCAAGAACCGGGTTACAATACTTAGCCTGTCTGTATCTGAAAAGTGAGGCGAGTGGGAATCTTCGTCATGCATTAAAACTAATCCACATTATTTTAGTCATATCCGCGATGATACGAACAAACTAACTGTATCCACGATTGATCTCTTCGCAGATTACCTATCCTTAGGTATCTTAGGTACCTTAGCTTATTGAAGCTTCTTAGTGTTGTACTAAGTGTACTAAGTAATGAATGATTAAAACATTCAGCCACGGGGACTAGCCGGGCCGTAAGACGGGATAGAATAGCTCTAAAACGATTTAAAACATTCAATTTCTCCCAAGATGAGATCAGAAATTACGCTATAAAAAAGAGACCAATCGGAACTAGCCAGACCCATTTATAGGCCGTTCGCTACCCCAATCACGGCGTACGCTATCCCCGTAAGTAGACGATGTAAGTTCAACAGCGGTATTGTTGTCCAAGCAATATTCGAGCATAATATATCATATCTAAATCTAACAAGATATGCGTCGTGTCACGTAGATGGTAAGTCGTGGACCAGATATCATCTCGTTGAACGACAAAAAGGGGAGGCGGTGTAGAAACATGGAGGTCATACAAATTCTACATATTTGCTCATCGAGCCGGGAGTAGAGGCGACATCGGCGTATTCGCACTTAGCTGCTCAAGGTTCAAATGTTGTATCGGCTTCACTATGTGTACCAATGCGCGCGCATATGTGTATATGACTGGCGCGCCGAGAGAATTCCAATGAGATCCCTACAAGATCGATCTTAGAGTAAATCTACAAACTAGTATAACATTAATATTAGCCCCGAATCGAGCCGCAAACATCGATATGCGTGCGTTCATGACGAAACCTCTCAGCCGGGTACGCACCGCCACGAGTCTAAGGTTCTCCAGCCGTAAGGTGACACGATGGCGCAAGCCCCTACCCGACACGTTAACCAAGCGCTTACTACTCATAAACTTGGGTAAATTATAAGTACTAAAACTACCATCGTAAACTTCACAGCGACCTTGGCTAGCTGCGGGTTATACCCAAGATGGAAAAGGTCGGAGAGGCATAGGAATAGAGATTGCAATACGGAATACATAAAACATACAGACTGCTTTCAATGTCAAGATTGATAACAACATCTGCTGCGCGTTACCTTATACACCAAACATCCAGGTATTGTCCCGTACGCAACTCAGCAAGCCCGGCTCCTTGTCATAGCTCAAGTTATACTGGAATGGATTCTAATAATGTTATAGGCTGGCTGAAAGAATAATTGCATGGTCTAACATGTGACGAATGGTATAACCTATGATTATTATTTGTCGATTGTGATACAATCGTAATCGGTATGCCGTTCGTCTTCGTGCTGAATTGCCCTGGCTCGGAGATTGGATAATGCTTAGGTTGCTAATAAATGGCCTAATAGGTACGAAGGCGGCTTGCCTGCTTATAAGTTAAGTAGTGTACTACTGAGAGATAAAACGTAGAGCCCATGTAAGCTACCGACGTACATCGCCGGCATACCGCGGGGATAACCGGGACGTCGCTTGAGGAAAGATGTTGTCCTAACGATACACGCAGCTCCAATAATCAACCTGGGGCACGTCGACACCGTCGACACATGTGTGTAGATACTAATGCCGCTGGCGGAACACAACCGATGAAGTGGATCACAAAAGAAGAGGCCACCGGGTTGGTCTTCCAAATACAATTAATCTTACTTACGTAACGCCATTTGCTATGCTAATGCCCAATATCTCAAAGTTCTTCCTTGAAAAACTTCTCTTCGCTCCCCATATCCTCGCCATCTCCCTCTTCGTCTCCATCAGATTTCTCGTCTGTGTCGACTACCCCGCGGATTTCGCGCGGATCGCCTGGCATTTCGACGACCTCGAGCTTCCAACCCCTGTCTCCGGCGAGCTTCTGCAATTCTCGCTTTAACTCGTCGATTACCTCAGGACTGAGATCTAGTTTGGCAAGTTCCTCATCGGTGAGTATGTCGACCTTGCTTCCTTCTTCTTTGCTGGCCCCCTTGGCCACTACTTCGATCAAGGGTGCTACGTTCGGGTTACGGAAGTTTCGTGGCGGAGCCAATTTATGTGCTTCCTTTCCATCTTCGCCTCGGCCGAGCAGTTGCCTTCCTCCAACGACAACACCACCGATAGTGATAGGAGCTTTTGCTTCTCCTTTTGTTTGACCCACCATGGCCGCCTGTGCTTCTAACGTTTTTTGCGCGTGCCAACTCGCCTGCTCTGCCTCCGACACCATAGCGCGACAGCTAATGATGTTTGCCCTCTCCTCCTTAGGCGGTTGGAAAGCAACATCGACGCATAGTCTAGGCGTGTTGACTAGCATGAGATAGGCGCACGTGGTCACCTCTTTAATCCAGCCAATACGATCTTGCGTGCTACCCGGGCTGCAATGGTACTGTATTTCGATAGTTCGTTCACGGCCAGTCAGATCGCATATAGTACCATCGCCCATCTTCTGGACAAGATATCGTTGATCACCCTTAACCTGAAGCTCCGTATTTGGCGGTGTCGTAGTGGACTGTCCTTTGTCATTTGGTGGGTTCGACTGGCTGCGACGAGAACCGCGCGGAGGTGAATGCGGATCGGGTATTCTCCCAAGGACATACTCTGCCGTATTAGGGTCTCTCATAGGCGGTCCGCTTTTGACACTAGCAGGAAGCGCATGAAATTGCACGACGTCGCGACCGTAGCAAAAGCTGTAGCTCCACCAGCCAGACATATAATAGAGACAGGTGCCATCGAGACCGCTTATTAAATCCCACCCGTGAGCCGATGCCCTTGCAAGCTCTCTGGCTTCCTCCGCCTTAGCTAATTCAGTGGCCGTCTTGTTCGGCGCGGGTGGGGATTCGATCACAGGTATAGCGCATAGGTAGCGATGAGGCGGGAGGGCCATAATCTCGTAGGACTCTGCGATTTTCCCGTCGCCATTGGGGTTGCCATTGTTATCGTAATTACCACCAGCACTCCGAATATTCGAGGTAAGATCGGTCTCGCCGGCGAACTCGGCTTCGTAGTTAGGATGAGAAGGGTTTGTCTTTTCGACTAGAACTTGTGCTTCGGTTTCCGATATGTATGACTCGGAGAAGACTACTTGGAACTAAAATATTGATAAATTAGCCTTCAATATTGTAGAAAGGTCTGTTAGAGCCAATGCGTAAATGCAAATAAGTATACGTGCCTGAGGATATGCTAAGAGGTCGTGATGAATACTGAAACCAGGCTGGCGAGCTTGGCTGAGTCCCAGCAGGCTGCCTAGAACAAGAAGAACTTGGTGACGGCACATGCTGCCGCTTCGTATGAGGTTATCTCATATGGATTTAAGGGAGGGAGATATATCGCGAATTGGACGAAGGAATGCTGGTTGTTCACTTAGGAGAGTTGATTCGTCATTGAAGCTATTTGGTACATGCGACAAGCTGCGGGACAACGCTAAGAGCCAAGGTGGCATTATCGGCGTTTTGGGGGCCCGACATTCTACCGAGTAATTCAATTAGGGTAGCTTATATAAGCAGAATTGAACTAACCCTGTCGCTGCTCCATATATATGTAGGTATGTACCTACGGTACATGTATTCAACAAATTCCTACCACCAATTCCATCCGTCCGTTTGGCAAAAATAATATTACCTACTGTTGTTATTATCGAAGAACACTTATCGAGCCACCTGACCCGAACCCATATAAATACCGGGGTACATATGTAGTTACATAATCTAATCTTTTTTGTATTAGGTACATGAGTTGAAGCAAAACAACTGATGCTTCTATCATCGGGGCTTGCTAATAAGTAAAACAAATTGCAAGCAAATTGCAGAATATACCTATATCCTTGGCGTGCTATGCAACTTACTACGCACAATTATGGATGCTTGACTAGATTCAACAAGTATAGAACGAAACTCTAATGCCTTTACCTTACCGAAAAAAGCCGCCGATCTAGATCGGGATCTTGCTCCGGATTTAAGGGGCCCCACACCATCCGGCCCATCCGCATACTCGCGGAGTACTACCGGGAACAGCTTTTTGATCGGCAATCCAACTCTACAATAGTCTCGAACTATTGTATATGCAGACCTATGCACCTACCAATAAGGCAAAAGGGGGAAAGGGGAATGAGGAAAGAGGGCGAGCAGTAAGCACCAACGAACTTGTCAGCATCGTCGGCCGGCGCCTATTTCTCGTTGTTGATTAGTGTTAACCCGTTGGAGATGTCACACTACATATTCTACATGTTGGAGATATTTAAGCAAGAAGCATCGGAAGCACATCCATCCTCCCCCCATCACAACCATCGCAACCATCGTAACCACCCACATTTTCGTGTTACTCACTACGTCAATCCCGCACCTCTTCAGTCCTCCGGTCAGTAACGATGACCTGACGCCCCAAACACGTTTTCTGCTGTGGGTGCTATTTACAACTCCGAGTAGCAAAACCTACCCTGCAACCCATGGTAGTTCCTAACGTCATCTATCGGATACCAAAGAAGGAATTGGAAGGAACTTATAGATTGCTATGGTGGTGACGTGATATCTAGGACATTGAAACTTATGCTTCGGACCAGTATAAGGTGACACATCGGTTTCTCAGACCTGAATAGAAATCTTAGACCGCTGCTATTTAAGTCGGGCAAGTTCATTGAAAATACTTTCCAGGGATTAGGTGCCTATCATCTTAAATCTTCAAACCCCAGACCTTACTCTGTCGGATGAGAGAACTGTGATGATGATGGTGGTGGTCGCACTAGGAGGAAATATTAATTTCCACGTCACCATTCTTAGGCCTCCTTTACAACTGTGGCTTGGTTGGAGTTCAACGTGGCAGTTGCCGACGCACATAATACAACTCTACGACAGCTCACCGACATCCATTTTCGCTGGCCGAGGAACATGGGACATAAGTTATACGCCGACATTTCATGCATTAGGGAAGGATGTCTGAACGCGCATGCATAGATGGGCGGTCAGCCGAGGAACAAGCGGGAAAAGAACTTTTTTTTTATAAAAAAAAAAAAAAAGAGGACAAGAGATGTAAGGTAGGATCAGGGTGTAGACATGGAAGGAATATCCACCTTACAAGCCGTAACCCCGGGACTGGTTAGATCGGTGGATATGTATTTTAGCGGACCAAGATTTCGCCGACGTTGAATCTAGTAGACCGAACAATTTTTTTTCTTCAAATCACTTGCTTCTTTTCATAGCTCTGCCTGTCGGATATCATATGTATTCCTTTGGGTTTCTTCTGTTCTCCCGTCTAGAAGACTAAAAGTCATAACAGCTATAGCTAGCGAGACACGGAATATCACGCACACACTATTACGTCCAATCCAATGTAGGTACATACGTTAGGTACATATACCGTACATGTCCTGGGCGATCCACCGTTGCCCGTCAGGGATCTGGTCCACCTAAAGAATCATCAACCACTCAAATGGGTCGCGGGGGTTGGTCGCCTCACTCTTGAACAACACATTGACTCATTAAGACCCAATAAGTGCTAGCTTCGTCAAAAACAAGGCAAACACAGGCAGCTAGGATATGCAAGCTATTGTACATATGCATCTTTCCTTGGACGATGGGCACGAGATTCTCCCTTGCAGACCGATGCGTGGCTAGCTCTGGCGCTCTTCATCTGTTTCCTCTTCCGCCCTTTTCTAAAGCGTCTGTGCTTTTCTTCGCGCTTGTACATGCTGGGGAAAAGAGAGATGAGCAACCTCTTAAGTGGGACCTCAATAAGCAAGATTCTTCAAGCGACAGTGAACGCCCAAGCAGACCAACCCGATGAGCAGCAGATCCTATCGAAATGCAAGATGTAACCGACGAGATTTTATCTCTATACCTTGTATATACAATACATTACCTGACGTATAAGTGCTTGCTTGCTTGTCCATGGCAAGTACATGTATGTATGAGTTGCCTGTATTTCTTTTTACATGTATGTAACCCCACGTTTTGAATGACGACGAACAGGAAACGGACAGAGGAAGCGTGCATGACCAGTGGTACGTGCGTGGCTTTTTCTGTGAAACGAGAAAGATTCGGAAGTGTATTTCAATACTTGAAATTATTATTATTTTTTTCATAAAAAAGAAAAGAAACCATAATAGTAGGGGCTCTACATTTGCCAGATAATACGCCACAGAATCATAACAATCTATGAGACTTACATTTCTCCCATTCATAGCTTCTTTAAGCACCTTTAGTCTTTATCTAACATCTTGGACCATTACAGATCTAAGTGGACCGACAATTCTCTCCTTATTAATGCCGAATTTGACAACTCTTCATTACAAATAATGGGACTTGTAATAGCCGCTATAATCTTAGCTGGTTTAGGCATAGGTACCTATCTACCTAGTCACATACTATTACTCTTTTAGGTCTTAATAATTATCAGTAATTAATGATATATGTAGTAGACTGAGATAGCTCGGGGTAACATGTCGTACGCCGCTTACAGATGGGTTTTCGTTCACCAGACCTTCCCTTCTATGAGTTTGCAGATACATGGTCGATCGCTGAATTGGCTGACTGCGTCACTCGGGCGAGGGGGGCCCCCTTGTAAGGTCCCGTAGTAGAGCGTCTACGTTAGCAGGTTAGTACCTAGTAATTGTTGAACACGCTATGCATTTTCCCAGGTTACATCACATCAAGACCGCCCGTATTACAGAGGTATGTCTGTATACATGGATGTATATACCACCCAGTAGGTAAGTACCTACGTAGGTAGGGAATTAACTAAGGACATTGCCGTATTCCGCAAAGCGAAACATTTAAGAGAGGACAGGCCTTTTCCCATCGGTCCTGTCAGCAGAGTTGCAAGATCCACGTCCTCCCCCAAGTTCCAAGTGGGCTTCTCTTGCAGCAGAACATACACGTCTGACAGGCCCTCGACGGCCCCATCCTACCCTCCGGAAATCATCCCCAGCGAGCTAGTATCGATTGACGTCCCTCTAATTCCTCTAACCCCCAAAGTAGCCCTGCCAAATCACAGAAAGCTCCTGGGACGCTAGTTCGTTTGGCATCCATTCAACGTTGCAAGGGTTTGGGGCCAAACCCGGACCAGGTTGCAAAAGCCAAGAGTCGATCTAAGCCCGCGGGATTCTCGTAAATTAAATACCTACATATCGGTACATACACATTGGGCAAGCGTATCGTGGATGAAGGACGAGGATTACAAGGACCCGCTGCCGCGCATGGTCCAAAGCCTCGTCTTGACTGACTGGTACATAATTAAGCAACATCCTTTGGTTTTCCAGTCTTAGTTATCGAAGTCTGTGTTTCGTTCTTTCTTTTTCCCCATACTTTTCCCAGATCGGATTTCAGTCCGTCGATAGGTAATTGTTCTCTCGCCTGACAAATCCAGTCGACGAGACAAACCAAAACATCAATCATCCTTGTTGGGCTCTCCCGTTCGAGGGTCTACCTAGCGAGGCTGTCTTAGTGTGTACGTGTGTGTGTGAAAAAGGGAAAAACCAAGTGAAGCGTTGAAACAGCGAATCTCGCCTCGTCTGTCGCCTGTCTTCCGCGTCTTTGATTACCCGTCATCATCACCAACCACTCCTAGGCGAGAATCTGTCATTTGGCACCATGAACCACTGTACAAATCCGGATCTCGAGATCCAGCAACTCCGAGCCCTACTAAAGCAAAGAGATGAGGCGATGAGAAGTAAGGAAGAAGACCTTCGCAAGGCAAAACGGGAAATATCGCAACTGCAGAATTCTGTTTATCAATCGCAAATAATTCAATCCCCGAACCAAAGCGTTGGTGCTTCTGCTGTTCAAAATGAGTTCCATCCGTCAAGTACTACTATACCCGTCACGCCGCCTTTCCACCAAGATGGCATGTCGAGAAGTAATACAGTTCCTCGCAGCAATGGTATCCAGGGGCATAGCCGTCATGAAGGCATTGTACGACCCTCTGTAAGATCACTTTCTAAATATGCCCACACGTGTGTATAATTGGGTCGCCTCCCATACTGACGGGTGTTCGCTAGAACCGACATGGCCATAGTGCCCACGCCATCAAGCGTGCTAGGACCATGTCTCAACAGGCACCAACATCGCAGAAGATGGATCGCCTCGGTTCAAACCTGTCCACCCAGTCCGCTGGTCCCTTCACAGGAAATGCTCCGATAACCCCTCCATCGCGAGTACATCACGCTAGCATGCAGATGGGAAATGTTGGCATGATGGATTACGTAGACAAGGACGAGCCCGTGTCATCTTACGCTCTTGTCCATTCGCAATCTATGCGTTCATCCCAATCATCGAGACATCGACATGATATGCCAACCCTCGCCGAGTCTGGGCCTCCGACCGGCGTGATGCTTGACCCTGAAGTCTACTTTGCGCAGAATCCTTTTCATGAAGAACCTTCGCAAAACCACGATGTCGATGTGCCCCAATTCAACATTACTAACGTATCTGTCTGCGGATCGATGACCACAGCACCTACGTATGACACCGCGCCGATGACCCGACAAAATAGTTTGTTTGATAACCAGTCCGTGTCGGGTGGCGTTCGTATGATGAGCCTCGGATCACAGATGTCGCAAGGTGGTGAAGCATACTATCCAGAAGGCTCTCATCAAAACAATAGCAGTGGAGATAATTCACCATTAGGCAAACGACCTTATTGTAGCGAAGATGCACTCATTGCTGTCGGTTCGAGCCTCGCGCCTCCCTTTGCTCACCAATACGCTTCCTCCGCACCTACCGACGCACTCCTCGCTTCAGATATGGAACGGTCGGTATCAAGTGCAAGCATGGCCAGCACTAGGTCGAATTCGTCCTTAAAGGCTCGTGCTAAGGATACTCTGAAACAGCAATGTCAACGTGCTCTGAACGCGCCGCTAAAGCCCAAGCCGAGCGCTGAGCAGAACGTCGCCGAGCCCCAAGCCAATACAAAGAAGGACGGTAAAACTGCGATTACGAAGACGAAATATGTTCGACCGAAACAACCCAAAGTCTACTGTGACCAATGTGATGAACACAAAGAAGGGTTCCGCGGCGAGCATGAGCTCCGCCGCCATAGGGACGCTAAACACCAGGTTACCGTTAAGAAATGGATCTGTATTGATCCGTCTACGCACGGCCTTCCGATAGGCGTCCCCGCCGTCAATCCTCTCAGTAAGTGCAAAGCCTGCAAGGCACAGAAGAAGTACGGCGCGTACTACAATGCGGCCGCCCACCTTCGTCGCACTCACTTCAAGGAGAAGCCATCTCGACAAAAGAATAAGGGCAACGGCAACAACCGTAGCGATGAAGACAAGCGTGGTGGCAAGGGCGGTGGCGACTGGCCTCCCATGAGTGAGCTTAAGAACTGGATGAAAGAAATCTGGGTGAGCAAGTACGAACAAGATGATGACGATGATGCTGAAGACGATGTGGGACACCCAATGGCGGACGCCGAGTCAGGGGGTATGGAGTCGTATTCCAATGATTTCAACATGCCTCATAAGATGACCAGCAACATGTTTACCGATGTCGATTATAGCAACCTGGTCGTCAACACAGATGTTGGTTATGTGAATGGTATGCCTCTTTCATCGGCCGACTTCAACTTCAACAATACTATGTCGCCCAATACCATGTCACCTAACTTTCCCTCGGACCCTTCGGCGATTACTCCCCATGACCAAATGAACCAGTACAGTTCGGCGCTATCCTCGTCTGCAACTGTTACCCCGATGACGACGTACCACGAAGTACAAGTGTCCGGCAATATGGAAGATTTCGATTTTAATATGGTTTATCCTCAGTGATCCCATCCGCCTCTTTTATTCGATCCTCACCAGACGCGGGAAAAGAAGTAAAAAAACAAACCAGAACGAGAAAAAAAAAGCAGGCTCAGGAAAGGAAGCAGAGAAAGGTTAACATTCTCGCTACCTTCTCCCTGACTTCTACCCTAGGGTCAACACATTGATTAGCCTATTCTTCGCTTCACCTCACTGGTGACACGGCTTCATATGCCATTGACCAAGACGATTCACGTCATCTGAAGAGCAGATCAAGTTCCATCTTCGCCCGCTATTATACTACACTATTGTTTTAAATCCACGATTCGTTTCCTATTTGTTTGGGGCACATCGCATCGGTCTCGTTTATTCTCCTTTAGCATTTACGCGGGTGGGATGTGAGGATACGTTTTCGTCGCTACCCGCTTCTTTCGTGCGGTCAATTAGTCCACCCTTAGTAGCATTAACTTCAAGCGAAGAGTAGCGCCGGGTTTGTACCAAAATTGCGAGCGGACACAACGTTATACTGGGGCGATTATGAGTAGCCCAGCGAATGATGCTGCACTAGAAAGGGCTTGCGGATATTGCCATTGCCTATTTGTATCCATATTCCTCTCTCGGAGACTCATAAGGCGTCCTGGTGACCTAGAGGCGGCGCCTCTTCGATCTTGATCGCTTGATCGCGTCAACTTCCAGTGAAATCATCTTTACGGCGTTTTTTTTTTTTCCCTTTCCTGGGGACGGGGTTTATTGCTTTTGCTTTTACGAGGCGAGAGAGCCGATGGGGCCTCCTGGCGTTTCGCGTGTATATCCAGGTTAACCCGGGGGATAGACGGGGTAGGAGGGGGCCTTAGCGGCCTAATTGGTTGTGACCTTTTTTTCCTTTTCACTTAGCGTGGAGTTGAGAGCTATGGTGGTGTGGATACGGAAGCAAGAAAAGGAGACTAGATACTTCTTTTTTTTTTTTTTTTTCTTTCCGGTAATTGTTGTGGAAGGAGAGAGACATCCGGGTGCGGCAAAGGTCATAGTACCAGCAGCAGCTGAATGATTTTCATCGCGCAGATGAGCGTGTTGGTTATCTACCCGTCGCTTTCATACCTCCTTTCAACGTACTCGATTATATTGTAATGCCTTCAATTTAGTTCTAGCGGTAGTTGGGTACTCCCCCCTATTTCGTGGGGGAGTTGCCGTCCGGCCATTGTCCGGTCGGACTGGCAATTAAGGTGCAAAAGAGCACACTTGCCAACTCATTCTCTGTTGTTACACCTCATTTATCAGCGCTACTTGTGAGATTTCAAATCCCCTTGTCTTCAGCATAATAACACCAGAGATATCTACTTGGGTACTTCTGTAATCAAGCGGCTCTTCAATTCTAATAGCTTCATATCTTAATCCTCCATCACAGGCGATATGCCCTCTTATACCTAAGTAGGTATGCTCTGTTACTATGAAGATCGCCCTCGTTATGGAAGTTTCCTCCGATCCCGCGTGGCAAATCGTCCAGTGGGACATGTTTCGACTTTGTTCTTTAGCGACCTTTTTATAGGCCAATCCTAGCGGGAGTGGTTCCGGAAACCATTGATGGGTCTTCTAAGTCTGCAGCTACCTTTACTTGGTATCTAAGCGCTGATCCCACGGATGTCTCCCTAGCAGAGCAGCAGAGTAGGTACGGAGTTGATCTAAACTAGCGGCGTGACGTTCTCGGCGAAGAAGCAGGAATAGTCTATCCTAGCACGTTAGGAACGCATTTTAAGGTGTTTTGCTATCCTCTTCGGATCTCGCTTTTCCTTGCCGAAATCTCTCAGCCTCAGCGTAGTAAACTGGTACAGATGCCCCCCCTTGGACCATACCTAGGTATATACCTAAGCTGATTTAGCGATATTTGCTTTTTGGTACGCACATCATATATGTTTCAATAGCAACCCGCTCATAACAGATTCCGAACAAAATACAAGGAGCAAAGACGTACAAAATAAAATATGCAGGTAATAAGAATTAACGAAGATAATTGTAATAGACAGATTTTATCATACGGAATACTACATATTTCATAAACATAAGATATAATTCAGTTATCCGCGGTTATACCCGCAATAAAAACCCCTGGTTTTCCCCGCGCTATCTACCTAGGTAGGTACATATTATCTAGCAGTCTAGGTACCGGGAAAAATCAAGAACTGACGTTATTCAACCTCCCTCTTTTATTTCGTGCTTCCTGGGAATTTCTTTTCAAGATTGCCATCGGTTGGTTTACAAAATTGGTGTCTTCCTTCAATGCATCTTTCTAAGTAAAGAAAAAACGATGCGACCCTTCGTTTCCTTCGTCTTCCTAGACTCCCTCTATTATTTTTTACTTGCCCACTTTCTTTCGTGGCCGTTTGCAAAGCATCATCTTCAGGTTACTCGTTATCTTACCGGTCTATCGTTACATCCCAAGCTATTCTTGCTTACATATTGATGCCATTAAAACATGGCTGGCCATAATAATGATGCACCTTCTATGCCTCCGCCGGTTTATCAGCTTCCGGAATGGGAGACAATAACTCATCCGCCAAAACCCCGTCAGTCCTTATTAGGACGTATTCTTCCCTCTAAAGAAGACCCCGATGAACATCTAGCCATGTCAGCTAGACCTTCTACGGCATTGGATCATGAACAAGCCAAGGAACCACCCGACAGAGCATCTACTACGCTCCCAATGTATAATTCACCAGCCACCAAGAGTGATACAGCAAAACCTTCGCTCATTGCACCGTTACGCAAACGCCTGGATTCCGTCTTTCCTCCCCACCGGACTTATTTTGGACGCTCTAGGCGTTTCTTTTTTCTTTTTATCGTCTTACCCGCAGTCATATTCGTCTTCCTACTTGTCCCCCTAGCTATTGGCCTCGGTGTAGGTTTATCGCGTCGCCATTCGGGCTCACAGAACCTACCACTCCCAAGCAATAAGGACATATTCACCGGTGAATTGACATATTACGATCCCGCTTTAGGCGCCTGTGGTATTCAATCCAACAGCTATGAGGATATTGTTTCTGTATCGCATATCATCTTCGACGCCACAAGCCAAGGGAACGATCCCAACACCAATTCCCTTTGCGGTATGCGAATTAGAGTTACCAGGGATTTTGTCGAAGCTGGCGCTGGAAATCGCAGTGTAGATGTTGTAGTTGTAGACCGCTGCGTTGGTTGCCAGGCCACCGATCTGGATCTCAGTCTCTCCGTATTTACGCAATTGGCGCCACAGGATAGTGGGAAGGTGGTTGGAAGCTGGGCATGGTTGAGCTGAAGGGCTAAGAACAGTTCGAAATAATGATGGGACGACAGCATTGCGGCATTTTCAGCGGGGCTTTTGCTTTCATACGGAGTTCGGTTAACGGTTACTATACCCTTTCTTTCCATAGGTTTGAATCAAGCGTTCCAAATCTCATCTAATCATCCAAGTCTCTTGCGAAGTAGAAGTAGTGTCCGTGCCTCAACCCGCAATTTCTGCCATAGAATAATGGTAGCGAAACCATCGGCTCACGGCGTACAGCTTTGTGACTGTCTTAATCTGCAGAGATCGAACTTCGTCGGACCGAGTAGCTGTGTCATATGACTTGCTTGACAAATAAGAAATTTTAACATTATTTCTGAGAGCATTCTTTTCGACATACTACCGATGATCCAGCCGAATAAAACCGCGTTTAGGCGCGGCGAGGCACGTCCACTAACATTCAAGCTATCCTTATGTACCTACTTAAATAGGGTGCTTGTGGCCTCGGGCCTTTACGTAGCCCCTAGTAATATCTATAAATACTGGTGTATTACTAACAGGAGATCTACTGGGATGTTGTTCCATAATTGTTAGCGAGGTGACATGTCATAAATTGATATAGGGGACCTAAGTTTATGTGTACAACTTCATTACCTATAGCTCAAACCATCTCAGCTGTTTTCCCCAACTACATCAAGCTCGTCCCTACTCTATGAGAATAAAGAAGGGGGGAAATCCTACGCTATGTAAATGGAAGAATATCTTTATGGCACGTGCTCTATATGATCCTTTATTGATAAGCCTATAAGACTATTTTGGCCCCCATTTTGAGCAGCTTGCCTCAATGATGAACTTGTTTGCATCCAACAGACGGTTTACCCAAAACCAAGTACACTTTTCCGTAAATATATGGCACATGGGGCGTCTAGAGTGCCGTAAAAGGGACAGACCTAGAGTATCGCTTGACAAGGGAAAATGCAGCTCGCCTCTTACTTCTCTAAAAAGCGATAACCAAGGTATATCACACTGTACAAGGAGCCTGGTATAGAGCCCGGCCACCTTTCTTCTTGTACTGTAGTTTTCGGTACGCGGGATACTTTTCTTTCCCGCGTACAAGATTACACGATACTGTTAATAATTCTGCGTCTCGCTGTCCATTAGAAGCTAGTTCAAATTACAATGAGTCGACTGAGTTAAAGCAATACAGACTTGAGAATATTCCAAGAGCCATGAACTTAATTGTGGTTCTAATGTATGGTATGGCCATGAACCTGCTCCAGAACCCTCTCGCCCCCATTTTGGGCTGAAAACCCCCTCACCAGCTAGACTGTTTACGTCTAGTCACCTAGTAGGCATATCTTGAAGACGTTAAATCGAAACAAAAGTTCCATGAGCTCATTTCCATGTGAAATCTATTCTACTGTGCCTCTTTTAATATATATACTTTTGATCTTTGTAGAAGCAATGGTGTGATTTCAGTCTTCTTCAGACAAAAACCAACCTAAAACAACCTTGGTCAGTCATTGTGGCGGGTCTGTAGCTTGCTTTTCAGCTGAAAAATATGGCTGAAAATGTGGGATTCTACTGGTGGACGCCATTAATCATGGGCCTATCCTTACTCTCCGGAGTACTTTTTTCTATAGGTCATCACCTATTCTATAAGTCCTTAGAGAACAAACCAACATCGACGGGCGACTATGACATACTGGGTTCACATTACCAAGGACAGCAATTTAATATTGCGGTTGGGACCGCCTTCGCTTTTCTTGCCAGAGCAGCTTTCATTCTAGCCGTCTCTACTGCATACTGTCAATTATTTTGGCAGCGTATCAAAGGGCAGTCTAAAACGGGCAATCCTCCGACACTGGAGAGGGTAGACATTGTTTATTCCGGAATAAACAATATAATCTCCTTGTTCACGGTCCCTGTCTGGTACAGGTACCCTGTACTGTTCCTCATGGCGATATCAGTCTGGTCAGTGATAGCGGCACAATAAACAAGCCAAAAAGTACTGAAAAAGGCTAATGGCCAACAGGTTAATACCCATCGCATCTATCATCACGCCCGCAACTCTATCGGTAGCTCTACGAGAGAATATCACGGATACCTCGACCCAACATATACCCCAAATAGACTTCTTCAACCTTAACTTCGTAGCCGGAATGCCTGCAACGGTAGGAGAAAACCGCTTATCGATGTACTATACGTATACCGGCCCAAGCCAGATTGCAAAACAGATCGCGATGAGCGTAGCGGCGCAGAAGGCTATGCTACCCATCAATCCGCCTTTTCCCAATTCGACCTGGTCGCTGGATTTCCACGGCCCGAGTCTGAAGTGCGATCCTTTGGATTCGAGTCAGAATATAAGATTTCAGCAGAACGTCGCCAATTACCTTATGAACGGTTCAAATTGCGAGGCTCCGACGTACCTCTCGTGGTACCCACGCTATTCCACAGACAACAAGCAAACTAGCGATGAACCATACGTCCAAACAACACAGGGTAGCCTTTCCTCCCTATCCTTTAGCGACCCCGATGCGATTTTCAAGACAGGTATCGGGACGTACGATCTCGTGAAGCAGGACTCCCTCTTATACGTTGCCATTATGCCGAACTTGATCAATACTCGACGGTTCACCCTATCTTGGGAGTCCCTTGGTTGCGACCTCGGAATTTACGCAGATACAATCACACCTGATAATCCGCTGGGTGTGGTAGGTGGTAATGTGACCATGCTACAATGCCAACTACATAACTCAACTTATCATACAGACTTCCGCTACTTGAATGGGGCGCAGAACGTCAATATTAGCATAACGGATGTGGGAGACACCGTACCCGTCATCAACTTCGTAAGGGGCGCCAGCAGTGGCGGCGAGTTTTCCAGGAATTGTACAACACTAAATGAGGACGACGAACTTGGGAAACAATGTGAATATGATGCTGGCCTACTCTCTCAACTCTCCTATCAAGCCGTGTTGGAAGCCTTCACGACCCTCATGACGGGCAGCATCGCACTTGTTTCTGGTACGGGGTTGGTCGACTCGACCAGCGTCCGGAGCACTAGCATCATCGATACTACGGAAATGGAATACCTAACAGATTACGAAATCCACAAGGAGTCGACAGTAGGCCAAGACCCCTTCCCGGATCTTCAGTGGCAGCTCTCCAACTCCAGTATGCCAGATACCGGTGGTATTTGGAGGCTTCGCCAGACAGAGCCCGAGCAGTCGTTACAGCAATTTCTAGAGACCATGTTCCAAAATTACACAGTCAGCCTCATGAGCTCCTCGACGTTACAGTATGCGCCCCCCCTCCTATTAAAATACCACAATTATTACTAATGAACAAAAAGGCCGAATTATTCCTCCCCTACAGCACCAGACAAAGTCACCATCACGCGTTTTACTACCCAGACAGTATACGTTTATGCAGCGGATAAACTTTGGGCAGCTTACGGTGCGGCGGCTCTAGCTACGCTGGCGTCAGTCATAATCGGACTGGTAGCCATCGTGACTAGTGGCGTGTCATATAGCAATGCGGTGTCGACGATTATGCGGATTGGATGGACAACCTATCTCAACGTTGAAGTACGAGAGACGGACCTCGATGGAAAGAATCCCCTTCCCAATTACCTCGCAAAGGCGACTGTCCGGGTAGACCCACGAGAGCCGGTAGTATATGTCGAACAAGATCCTGCGCATCCTAAGGGTGCCGGTACGGGCACTGCTTTACTAGATCAACGAGCTTAAGGGATGAGAACAAAAAGGCAATACACGTAAAATGGCAGCAAAAAGATCAAAAACGTACAACATCGAGGATTCGCTGGTCGTCACCGACCCAACTATTGATTTGATGGTATTCCACGAAAGGAAAGCTTCAAGAATATCTGAAGCTAAAAGCTGCTAGGGGCATAATCGAATGGATGAGCATCTCATGTGGAATGTGGCTTATAAGTAATGCCGAGAGTTCCTTGCCCTTTTTTGGTCTGTTATGAGCTAAGACTTTGCAATTCAGTTAGTAGAGAATTATGAGGTTCAAAGATTTCTAATATCTCATAAGAAGTAATTTCTGACTCCTGTTGTAACGGTGGGGCATGGCAAATGATTTCGTCGGAATGCATGTACGAGAAAGAAGATTCATTATCTGGGATGAAGGCGACCAATATTTCTCCTGTACTACCGAGGGTAATGCCGCAATGGGCCTTATCAAAGCTCTAAAGAGCCCGGAAGAGACTAGGAACAGGAATCTCTTCTTGAGTGATTTCGCCGTTACTTAGAAGAAATTACGTGCAGCCATTGAAAGGGTGCAAGGAGTCAAATATGCAACAGAAAACATCAGGAGCAGAGACTCCATCGAGAAAAAACAAGAAGCTGTCCTTCGCGGTGACAGGCTCGCTACATTTGCGCTCATAGAGACCGGTTTCGTAGCTGGCGGATATGGGGGTCACTTGGAAGAGGAGGCAGGTGAAATTATGAATGAAAAATTTGGCCTGAGAAAAAATACGTTAGATGGAGTTATCAAGGATGCCTTGAAAGCATTGAATCTTCTTTAATCGCCTCGCTTCGAGCACACGGGCGGAGCCACCACTGGGACAGCGCGAGGACGGTTTCATACGTGAGTGGCCCATCCGAGGTTCAATCCGAGACCCATCACTGGTGACAGGATATCTGGATTCATTACTGAATCGCTGGCCCTGGGGAAATGATCTAGAGCGATTCCAATAGAAAAGTAGGGAAAGGATTTTTAAAGACTGACTCGGGAATTAGACGACACTGACAAAAACACAAGGAAAAAAGGACGAAAAAACGAGGCTTCTGTGTATTTCATTCCAAACATCTCGCCTTAGAAGAAACAGTGCCAAATATACCACAAAATTCCTCTACTATAGCACGGCGTTTTTATGTAATGAGCGCCTCCGTTTCGTTACTTACCGGGAGGAAGATGGAGCATTTTTCTTGCCTCTCATTTCGGCGATGGTGCAACAGGAGAAGTTTTTTGTTGAACTTGAGACCTAAGCAGAGCCGCTTTAGATCCACAACAGGACCGACTCGGTACTTGCTCGGTCAGCCTAGGATGCCTCCGAGTATCTCTTATCCAATGACGCATTTTGCTGTGCTCGTATGGATTAAAAGTCAAAATAATAGGGTTTCTCTAGACTTGGCGACTATGGGACTCTAAACACTTACTAATACCCATCATACCTCGGCGGCTCGGTAGATAGGGTGGATAGGTGCCCAGGTGGGTAGATACATGTATCCGAGCATAGATATGTAAGTTTTGTGTCTCGGATGATCATTCTTAGGCATGAGTTATCGGCTGTGCAAACTCATGTAGTCTTTCGACGCTTTTTCTAGGCGCATGAGATTCGGCGTCCGGCGGCCGTCAATAAAAAAAAAAATAAGAAAAAAATGATTTAAAAAATACTAATTAAGACCGGATCTTCCGGGTAGCGGCTCTTTCGGGACCAACCGTAGTAAAGCGGAACGAACTACGTGAGTTGCTCATGATGGGCCCATTATATGTGGGTGCTCTTCTATGGTTCCATCGGGACCGCCGATCAACATCAAGAAGAAAGTCCGACACAGTTCCTCACTCGCGCGACACGCCGTCACGAGTCCGATGGGGTGATGACGCAGTAGGGCGATAAGAAAAAAACTCAATAATGAAAAAAGGAGTTTCTCTAAGGGTCCGAGTGGTACATTATACTTTTAAATAAAAAGGGCCGTGGACCATGGACCATGGCTTCTCAGAGGGGTCTTGAAGTCTACATGAATCAAGCTTATCCTCAGCTTGTAACTGTTACAATTTTATAATTATTCATCGCTTTTTTCTTTATTATCGACTGGGCGGAATATGCCTTTCCTTAAACGAAACACCGATCAGGTGGAAACACCCAATGCCGGGCCTACGAACGAAGCCGGCTCTGTGCCCAAGCAAGAGCAGAGCCCCTCGAACGCTTCTCCGGCAGCGAAACAGCAAAGAATAACCTTCCTATCCATATTCTTAGGTGTCGTCGCCAGTATAGGTGGCTTTATGTTTGGATATGTCAGCGGTCAAATCTCGGGTTTTTTCGCGATGGCTGACTTTGCCACCCGTTTCGGTGAAGCGCAACCGAATGGCACGTACGAATTCGGGGCCGCGAGACAAGGAACTATCGTCGGTCTACTTCCCGTTGGTTGCTTGCTCGGCGCTTTGATTGCGGGACAACTTGCCGATAGACTCGGTCGCCGTTTGGCCATCTCGTTATCGGCTCTGTGGTCATGCGTCGGAATCGTAATTGAGATCTCATCGCAAACGGTCTGGGTGCAATTCGCAGTTGGCCGCTTGGTCACCGGTTGCTCCATTGGCGCTCTGTCTGTTTTAGTTCCCATGTATCAATCAGAAAGCAGCCCGGCGATTATTCGTGGTATCTTGGTTTCGACATACCAACTTTTCATCACCCTCGGCATCTGGACTAGTTACATGGTCGACTGGGGTACCGCGGATATGACATCTAGCGCCTCGTGGCGAATTCCCAACGGTCTCGGATTCCTCTGGTCCTTGATCCTCGGAGTTGGTATCCTCGTCCTCCCCGAAAGTCCCCGACACGCCTATCGTATGGGCCGAGAAGAGGAGGCACGTAACACGATCGCGAGGTTGGCCGGCGTCGATCCCCATCACCGCAGCGTTCATGATCAGATTATGGAGATCAAGGTTAAATTAGACGAAGAAAAGAACAGTGGCAAGGCAAGCTGGTTCGAGATATTTACCGGGCCAAGGATGTTGTACAGAACCTTGCTAGGTGTTATTCTTCAGGCCGGTCAGCAGCTCACCGGTGCCAACTTCTTCTTCTACTATGGAACCACCGTCTTTAAGGCGACTGGATTGAGCGACAGCTACGTTACACAAATCGTTCTCGGTACGGTCAACGTTGCTACCACGATCGCCGGTCTATTTGTTGTCCAGAAAGTTGGTCGCAGAAAGGCTCTTATCGCAGGTGCAGCTTGGATGATGGTGTGCTTCTTGTGAGTTGTTTTACCCATTTCCCCCTGAATGTGTGCCCTCTGAGGCTAATTCACATAACCACAGCATCTACGCTTTCGTCGGTCACTACGCTTTAGACTCCGCCAACCCCATGAATACCCCACAAGCTGGTTCGGCCTTAATCGTCTTCTCTTGTCTCGCTATTGCCGCATTCGCTACGACGTGGGGGCCATTGGTTTGGGCTGTTGTCGCCGAGCTCTATCCTTCTCGATATCGGGCCCCATGCATGGCACTGGCTACCGCCTCGAATTGGTTCTGGAATTTGTGAGTATAATATGCCCCATATCATTGGTAATTATTTACTAATAGATGTCTTAGTATGATTTCATTCTTCACTCGATTTATCACCGACGCGATCGACTACTTCTACGGGTTCGTATTCGCTGGTTGCTGCGCCGCTCTTATTGTCATCGTCTACTTTTTCGTGATCGAGACCAAGGACCGCAGCCTAGAAGAGATCGATACTATGTATCTTCTCCACGTCAACCCTATCAAGTCGAGTCACTGGGATGGCAGCAAAATGCCAGAAGGCGCTACGGCGGATTCGCTTCACGAGGAGCATGCCGAGGTTTAGAATAGGACATAGGATGCATATAGACTGTACAAGTACTAGACTACATAATATTAATTCAAATTTGTTATGAACAGAAACCCCATATATGCGTTATACTACTTAAGATAACCCTACCCATCGCTCATAACCAACATCCTCTTCTCTATAATGTGTTAGCCTCACATGTCTCTAGAAGTTGAGCTGTAGAAAAGAATAGCTCTGGCGAGATACATATCCTACATAAAATATATCTAGTTGATTGGTCGGATTTATTCGTATACCAATCACTCGCCTTCCCTAGCCCAACTGCTCATTAGGAGACTCGCCCTTTGTAGCTTCCATGTCACTCTCTCGGCCATAAATAGCATCGCTCTGGTCCCAAGCATTCAGTTCAAGGAGCTCAGGTATTAATCGAATAGGACCATCCTCTAGAGGCTGTGTTCTCCAATATTCAAGTGCGTAGTTATGGACTCCATCTTGCCGAGTTAGATATCGCTCCAGGTTGTCGTGGGTTAATGTGAGCTGATGGTGCCTGACTTCGTGAGCTTGATCAACAGCGTCTGGGTCATCATTCCTTGATATCCCATGGTTGTAACCATTCGTGGTGTGCTGGTCAGGAGGCATGTGAGCCAAAAGGGGCCCGTTGTGTAGACTAGCGTTGCAATTTGCTTGTTCGCTATCGTCATCGTTAAGCGCCACATTGTTATCAACCCTTTGTCCCGGACCAGAAGTGAGATGGAGCACATATCCGTTAGAGCCATGCGTCGCATTATGAGTCTGTATATCCATTTGAGCCGAGCTATTGCTAGTATGGTTGTCTCTTCTAATAGATCTTGGGTTCCGCCTAGATCTCCGGGAACTACGGCGTGCTCGTTCATTCCGAGGGTCGGTACTCTTTTCATTGATTAGTACGAATTGCGATCGAAGACTTCTAAACTCACTTCACGATTAGACATTTTCGTTTTCGTCGCGACTCTCGCATCAGATAATGGTGACCAAGTTCTACCCTATCCATCTGCGTATGACTCTCAGGGCCTCCCACTCCTGTCTCGCCATATTCTATTTATATTGGAAACCTTCCCAGCTATTATCCGTGGGAATATCTGGGCCATTATCCATATAATACCAAACCCACCCCAGAGCGATTGTAAAAGGGGCTCCTAACGACCATGCTCCGATGTGTCCTCGCTTGATATGCCATCTTCCGATGGCTGCAGGTGATATATCATATTTCATACAATATCCGATCTAGTCATATTCGGCATGGCGAATCATTGCACGTCAATATCGTCACGCACCCTTGCCAAGATGCCACGATCTTGCGTCAAATCCCATCAACAGGGTTTAGATCTCGTTCTAGGTTGGATTTGAGGTGACTCGTTAAAGATAACTGGGAATACCCTAGCCTAGAAATTCCCAATTTGGTTGCGTACCTTAGGTGTGATAATTCGCCTGCATTGCTTTGCAGCAAAAAAAAAAAAAAAAACCATTGGCCCCTACATCATATTTTGCCAGGAGTTATAACCTCGCTATTGAATTCCACATATGCCGCCGCCCGTAATATGTTCATGCTGTTACAGTCTTACCGAAACAGCCACCTATGCTAGGTGTCCACTCCATGAGAATGGCTTCAACCAAGATCGTAGGCCAAGTTCTCGGGTATCGATTCCGGGGCGGCATTATCCCTGAATATCGCGTGTATCACACCTCCTACCAAAATATTATTCGTCAGGTGGTTCGGCTATGGTTCTTTGGGGGTCATGAAACGGGGATCAAGATCGAGGTCGACCAAACCCTTCCCTTTTGAATCTGTCAGCTTATCTGACATGGGATCCGCGAGGGCGAAGGTAGTACAAAGGCCCCAACCACCTAATTTTTCGGTGGCTTAAACACCAAGGACATTGTTCCCCGAGCATATGACGGAGAGATAACGTCATGTTCTACCTAAGACAACAAGCCTACATAACCAAATTACGAATTAAAGTCGCCGATGGCCCTTTAATGCATCGTAGGATTTGAATTTTCGATATGCACTATGTTGTTAGCGAGTGACGTGGCTCCTTACCAACTTTCTGAGATATCATAATGAGATGCTCTTTCTATATAGCTGGCCGAGCCGAGAAACGGAGAATCGTATGACTCTCCAGATTTGTATGGGGAGATCGATCAGTTGACTCAAAATCGATTCCCGGGCAGGCTTTCAGCCCAGTCTAAGTGCTCTAGCTCTATATATGACTTGGAAAAGATAGGTTATTTCGGTGTGTTATGGTTGGCAAAAGCCTTGCCGAAATGTCCGCAAATAACTCGGCAACACGTAGCGTAACACAATCCCACCCCCGGACAAAAGTAGAGGGGCCAGTTCTATTTATTTTGAGATGTATCTGTAGTATAGGTTCTATCAATCCGCACCTCCTTTCGAGAGTTGTAATGTCACCGACAGTTTCTTATGCCAGGTAGGATGTCGTATCATCTAATACATAGCAGCAAAATCTAGCACTTTCTCTCGAACATAATTTAATCTTAAAACCCAAGGTCTGAAACTAACGATGTGAAATGTCTTAGATAATAACCCAAGGAGGTATGATCAACACCCAGATTAGGTACCTAATTGAGTATGGATACTTGGCAACAACAACGAGAACAAACATATGCGTAACGAACCGGGCTCTACCGTTTATTTGTACGTTCCACTCCTGTCACCACTTAGAAGCCTACATGCCGCTATGATAATAATTAGGCGAAAACACGCTGAATGTAGATGCTATGAAACGTATCGCTTCACTTAGTCATTCCTTATAGCTGGGATCTTCTCCGGACCTCGGTATATCACCTACTCAAGGCCGATGCGGTGGTATTGGAAAATGATACCCTGAGGCATGTAATATAACCTACCTAGGTACGCAGTCAAGGGTATCACGTGGTTTATAGTACTCGAAGACTCCCGCCTAACAAGTTCAAATTTACGCCTGCGAGTCACCTAACCTTAGAATTCCCTCTCCTATCTAGGTACATAGGTGACCTTAGGGTTTATCTGGAGTGGCTTAGGACGTATTATACCCAGAGTTTACTGTAGGGCTACATATTTCTTCGTATACCAATAGGAAATCTTAACCCTCAATACACTAGTATCCCGCGTTTTATTTGGAAGGGGTTGGCGTAGTAGGTTGGATTGCTATGGGTGAAGCGATATATGTTGGGAAAATCAAGACGAAATCTGCCGTGGAACTCCTACTACTATACGTCGATGATATGTCAATTTTGCTTTTTGATTTGGGAATCGGCTCCTCGTGACATCGATACCCTGACAATACAACATCATGATCCCGGCGTATCCCCGCTTCTCTTTTCGAGTTCTCCCAGTACCGGGGATCTAACGATAGGTATTAACTTACCAATCCCCTTAATAATAAGATTGCTCGTTTCCTAAACATTCAAAACGACACAGTTGTCGAATTTGAGTACTTCCGAACGGGAAACTATCAAAGGGGCTTCATACATAAGATCGGCTCAGACTAATCAATTGATGATCTTAGACAATGTAATCACGAATGATCTTCAAAAGAAAACCATGGCCACTATATGCTAATATAAACATGCGAAGGGCTGAAAAAAAAAAGGATGCTTACAAAAGGCCTCCTACGAAAACGAGTTGGGTTATATCTACCAGGGGCTCGAAGATTTAATAGTTATTTTTGCATCTTCTCAACTAAATAAGGAAGCTACATAATCATTGAATCAGTCTCCAATAGCTATATGGTAATCTCACTTACACAGCATCGGCTGTCACCCGGTTATTTTTTTCTGTTTTCTGGATGGTGCGAGTCCGAGGGAACCGACAGGATGCGAAAGGGTTACAATAAATTATGTGTGTCGACGCCAGCTACCTTTTATATACCACCCCCCCACTTCCTTTCAGGAGTTTTGTGTTCAGAATGTGAATTTTGATTGGTCCTTGCGAGGGGGAGGGTAGGACTTCTCATTAGTAGGGTTGTACTGATGAGGTTACGCTGCAGGTAATCCTCCAAAATCTCGTCAGCCACATGGCGAACTTATGATCTGCAGGCCCATAGTGCTTCCGATAGATATGGTTATTTTTTTCTCCGAAAAAAGAACTAAATGTCCTTCGTGATAATATTCTAGGTAATGTATCAAAAGTTGCGAGCGACACATTTAAATATACTAGGTTGTGTGAGGCCGTGGTATATATAAACACATACAATTGCCGGAGGATGCTTCAACTCCAATAGGGTACCAACTCCTCCTTCGTAACCAAAGTTGCGGCGGTCAGGATGAACTCCTGCTCGCTCTGGATAACCTTATGCTGTCATGCGGCTCAGTCGCAATGTCGACATAAATCAAAGAGTATTAGACCCAGCCCCCGTTGCATTTTTTATTTCCTAGCCTGCATTGATTGCCGCGTTTGTCGATTACTGTTACATTGACTGTTACCCGGATCCAACCCTACTTCCTAGTGAGATGACGGCTGATCTCAAGCCGATCGATTTTTCATCCTTCTCGCGAATCCTGCCTTACTACACCCTGTCTACCTGTGTATTTCAACGATAAACGTGCATTATGACCAGGTTGCCACGCTCACGGGGACATTCCGACTTAAATGGGGGGGGGGGGGGGGGGGGGGGGGGGGGGGGGGGGGGGGGGGGGGGGGGGGGGGGGGGGGGGGGGGGGGGGGGGGGGGGGGGGGGGGGGTGGGG